CCTTTGGCACAAAGACCGCACACCCATACACATACTTATTTATTATTCCCCAAGCGTTTGACCAACAACTAACCCCGAACAGAAAAAAAATATATGGAAAGAACGGAGCAACTTTTGGGCCAAGTAGAGGACGAGCCGCATTCAAATGCCGTCTAATTTAGTTGCCTGCTGCATTGTGCGGTCCTGCCTCCTACCAATTCCCATACATCCATATCTATATCTGGCCAAAAAGTAGCCCAACTTTATGACCTCAGAGTTGTGCAACAGCATCGCGCGAATCGCTTACATGAGATTGTAATTACGATAAGCGACTCGGCCAGGAGCTTGGAGATGTTTTTGCCCATAAACCGCCAAATGAGCCAAATAAATGTTATTTATAAAATCCAGACAAATACGGAGAGGGTAGACGAGTTCTATAGTAGAGACTATCTGATACCTTATATCTTATACATTTTAAATAAATATATTCTAGGTGAACTTTACAAAGAATTTACTTTTGTCCATTGGTTTTTAAAAAGGTTTTGACAAGATCTACAAACATGGTTTTAAGTACCTGATACATACTTTACTTATCTTACATTAATATTTTTATGAAGAATAATGGTTCTTTATGTATTATAATTATGATTGTCCTTTAAGAGCGGACACAATAATATTTGTTGTATTTTGTAAACAGTTTGAATTTATTGTAGGCATTTTGTTTTTATTTCACCTAAATATAAGTTATGTTACAAATAAGTCCACAAATCCGTTTTACCGTCTTCCTCCACAATTACCGGGTATTTAAATTGGAATGGGGGCTGAAGAAATGCTGAGACCGCCAATCGCTCGACTTTTGTGTGCAAGCCAATTGCGATTTATGTTTATATTTATATTTATTTTTATATAAAATTCATGAGATATCAAATCATGCTCGCATATAGGTAACTAAATATGCCGAACACACACATGCTCACACAAACACAGACAGACGGCGACCATTCAGGCATTCGACTTTTGGTTTTGGCTTACAGCTTTTGTGCCACGGCGTTATGTAAACATTCAGGGCATCGGATCGCTTGCCAGCAATGAGCAGGCATGCCATGCATGGATACATATATCTATATATATCTATATAAAGATAGGGGCAGGGGCGTGGCAGGTTGAGGGCGGGGACAGGCGCCGTTTGCCGCGTTTAAGCGATTGAGATATATTTATTAAGCGCCCAGTCGCAGCGACTCAGTAAAGAAGGCTTGTTTATGGCCAAAAGCAAATCTTGCCAGCATTTTGAGGGGGCGGAGAAGGAGTAGATCTCAAAGTGGAGAGAAAAGGGGGAGAAAGGTGAAAGCTACGAGCGGCAGACGCACCTTGTGCAAAACACATAAATAAAGAGACAATTTAAACGGATTCGAGAAGCAAACATGGAATATTTATTTATGGTCAAGAAGGAATAGGATACACTTCAACAAAACGTTTATTAGGAAACGAATAAAAAATTTATAAGTGAAGCCTTTTCTTGAGAAAATGTAAAACTAAATAAGGGATCTAAAATGGGATTTCTTTAAAAATCGAATTCCACTCAGAAACTTTGTTCAATATAAGCCGAAAGTCACTTGCAGTCACAAAATATCTTACATCCCAATATATCATTAATTATAATCAATACCCTAATAATGTGGTTTGTTCTTTTCATAAAAAACCAAATATGACAGGACTTAAATCAAATTTAAAGATTTAATTTAAATGAAAAACTTAATGAAATTGACGCCAATTGATTAAGGTAACTTTAGTAATTATAATCTAGTGAAAATAACTCAAGGAAGTTAGTAAATTATGAAATCTATTTTTCAAGATACGGTTACAGATACGGTTAGTTCATAGATACGGTTAGTCCCCCAAGCTACATCGACTGGTTTCTCAATCTGGATCTCCTAAAAAATTCTGAACAGCCATATTTGATTTCACTTCAACTTGCAGGGCTGGACACTTGGACTCTTGATTGGTGGCTAATTAAAAGGAAAACTCGAAGGCCGGGCCGAGTAAATGTTGACACAGCGCAGTCACAATGGAGGGTCCTGATGGCGGTGTCGATGTTTTGGGGCCGCACAAAGCGTCATTAATAGAGCGTGAATTTTAGCGCAAACATACACAATCTCGCAGGCACACACTCACACACACACTGGAGGGCTTTGTGTGTGCGCATTTATAGCCCGCAATGTTTTGCCAATCAAAACCCCAAAGTCATTTCATTATTGGCTTTGCGTAATCGACGTCAAAGCGTCCCCGACCAAAAGTCAACAGCGGAGAAAAGGAGAGCCCAATCCGCGGCGGCAGGAGTAGCCCAAAGGACATGGTGTGGGGAACCGGGATCCTGCAGCCTGTGGATGGAACGTGCATGCAGTCAAGCGAATTGAAGGCAAATATTTTTACTTTGACACGGCGAAAGGGAATCGGGGGGAGGGGTGTCCTTCTGCTCGTCCTGGATCCCGGCAACTCGACTTTATTGTCAAAAAGTGTAAATGACACAGTTCGTTAAACGCGACATCGAGACGCTAGATACAAAGATAGATAGATATACGTATAGATGGGCTGCGACAGATGGCAATGGGGGGATTTTCGGGCCATATCCGTGGATTATGCACGCTGGGGCGTGGCCCCAAAAGTAGCGGCCGAAAAGGATTGCAGGCAAACATTAATGGAGGATACACGTTGGTCGCCAGCAGAGTTTTGTCAAGAATGTATGACAAATATTTTATGCTCGCATCATAAAGGAACCGCAAAAGGGGCTCCACAAGCGAATGACTGCAGCAAAGTGGAGGGCAGGAGGGACACGGCTTCGGATGGCGAGTATCTTTCAGATTGCCAGATACAAATCGCAGGCCCCAAAAAACATGTACAACGAAAATAAAGCAGAAGGCTGAGCAAAAGCGGGACCAAGCATAAAACCCAACAACGAAGGCACTAAATAACAACAAAAAGGAGTCGTACACGGGGAGAAAGTATTGCAATGAAAACGACATAATTATTATTCAGTGAAAAAGGTTACAATTATTAACATAGAAATACACATATTTATTTAACGTTATACAAATATTTAATAATATAAATTAAAATAAGAGTAGAAATCTATTATAAATAAATTTTTGATATATATGTGATATAAAATAACATTTTAAACATAATCTTAAAATTTAGGGATGGTTTAACAAGTAAAGTTCTAACAAAGTTGATTTAAAATAACAGATTATGATTAAATAAATAATCAAAACTAAACAAATATGATTGTGTTTGTAATCAATTCTTATACATTTATGATTTCTTGTCGTGCAGGATGAAGCTTTGAAGTTGCTGGAAAAACCCGAAAAGAAGAGGTTGGAAAATAAGAAAAGTAAGGATGGCTAAGGATGCCGAAGATAACAACAGAAGCAAAAGGCGAAAGGTGCAAATAATGCCAGGCCCCAAAAAGTATGCTACACATGTTGACATTGCCCGCGCGAGTGCGTGTGTGTGTGTGTGTGTGTGTGTGCGTAAGCGTATGAGCACAACGGTGCGTGTGTGTGTTTGCCAGTGGTTTATGTGTGTTGACGTGAGAATTTGCACGTCCTTTGTTATGCACGCGTGTAAATGTTTCGCCGGATTCTGATTCCATTTTGCAAACCGAAAGAAAGAATTGAAAAACTAAACAAACTTCGCCAGCGAGCAAATGTTTTATTTGTCTGCCGCACACAAACAAACAGCCGCACACACACACACACACATGCGAAGATGTCAGGGAGATACCCACAAATGCACTGCGATTTCTGCTCCCAATTCGTTTCGATGGCAAAGGGTTTTCTCCAGTTTTATTCCCCCACCACCTCCCTTGTTTTGTGTGCACACAAACTTTGCGGCCTCCTTTAGTTGTTATAATATAACAAAAAATAACGAAATGTATATAAACAGGACCTCGTGTGTGTGTGTGTGTGTTTGAGGTCGAGTTGATTGCTTAAGTAAACGCACTCGGGGCAGGCAAAAACGCTTCTTGGCCAAGTTGATTCGCTGAAGTTTGCTGGCTGGGAAATTGCTCGCTGGCTTTTCTTATTTCCCCCCTCTCCTCACCCCTCTTTGATCGGGTCAATTTCGGTCGCCCAGTGATTTTTGCTTATTTTTATTAATAGACTTTTTGTAAAATACCAAACAATATTTTTTCGGCCGACGGAAGTGTGCACTTCAAATTATGCTACATGCTTGGAAAACCCTTTTCCACCCGTCTGTGTGTGCGTGTGTGTGTCTGTGTGTGGGTGCAGGTCCAGCGGCTGTTTATAAAGGATAAATTTGCTGGCAAGGAGGCAGCTCTCTGTATGCCTAATCCGCAAATGGATATTTTGGCAGGGGGAATGGATTGGTCGAAAGGGACTGGGAAGTTCACAACTTTTTATTCCCGCTGATTGCTGATTGAAAACCGAACGGAGACCCAAATTCGGGTTCATTTTTGGTCCGGAGTGATGGTCCTGGGAAGTGAGTAATTAATTCTTGTGTTTGGCTTTCGGTGGGCGGTCGAAATGAGGTCTATATTTCTTTCTATATGGACTCTCATTAAAACAACTCGTAACCCTGTGGCTCCACTCTTTGAGTTAGTGATTAAAATGTCTTAAAAGTGGATATGAATTGTTGATAAATAAGTTATACATATAAGTAATCATACATTTATTTCCTACAATTGAATTAATTTGGAATTAAATATAAATAAAATAAATACTTTTAATATAATTTTAAATAGCTGTCGAGTGTTCTAACTAACTAATATTATAATCTTACCCTGAAAAAATATACACAATTTTCTAAATATTAGAAATAAACACATAAATATACATAGGTATCAACAATATTAGTTTAGTTTTCTTTGCTTAAGTCTTTCAATGTTGGGTTGACCTACGATTTTACACTTCGTTTGCAAAGCAGAAAATGGCAGCTATTTTCCCATCTTAGTTTTCCCCCAGCTTTCCCCAATCTTAGCATAAACAGACAGTCGGTTGACTCACCTTTTTGCCAGGCAGCGGAGACTCCTTCTCGTTTTCGCTCGCTCAATTCGGCAGGCAATTGGGCACACACATCAATCAAGTACTTCAACAAGTTTTTCTCTATTTTGTTTGGTCTCTGGCTTGGTTTAGTTTGGATTAGTTTAGACTTGGTTTAGAACGAACGGGGGGCGCCGCGCTGCAGTTGGCATAGTTATTGTAAAGGAATTTATTGATATTATTGCGGCTCACTCACGCGAGCAGCCGAGGAATTTTAGCACTTTGCCAGCCAATTAATGGGTTAACTTTCGAGCTGAAATTAACACAAGGGGAATGCAGGAATGCAGTGCACGAGAATAGGCCAGAGGAATGTTCAAGGCAACTTAAAGGATAACGGGCAAAGGACGCACATGTGGCAAGTTTCTCTCTGGCATTTCGGCCTCGTCTGAGTGAGCATTTAAGACCGAGAGACAGACAAATGTCAGAGGTTACGGTGTTAATGTCGCTTTTATTTAAAACGGATATCGGACCAAGAACAAAGGCGGGTCGAGTAATAAAAAATAAATTAAATGGAAAATGCACAGAGAGTCCTGTGCAAGTGGAGACGGAGAGAAAGAGAGAGAGGCGCGAATGTGTCACGGATTTCATTGCTCATTGAATACGCATTCATTTCACAAAGGAAAAAGGAGCACAGGACCTGCCAGCCATTCAGGCAGCCGCCTCAATCGAGTCACTCAGTCTGCGTACGTAAGCAGCGAAGGACATTCACACAGATACGGATACGGACACACACACACACAGGACTCGGAGAGCCACACGCACACACACAGAGAAACCAATACAGAGGAGAGTAAGCCACAGAGCCCGCAGAGAAAATCAAAACTACGCGCACACACAGGCGAAATTTCTGACAAATTTCCATGTGTATGTGCGCATTTTGTTGTAATTTGCCATTTTGGCAATTGCAATCCTTCGCATTTTATTGAATTTTACAAACACACTCGCACACAAAGGAGCCACACACAGGCACACACACACACGGACACAAAAGCAGGCCACACACTCAAACAATAACAACACTTTTTGTCATAATATTTTCATAATGTCCTCCGAGTTTTGACTTTCATTTTCCACATTCATTTCAAGTTTTTTTTTGCCGCAAAATGTCTTTGTTTTGTTGCCCACTGACTTAAGTATTTTATTTTATTTTTCTGCAGCTATTTATTGTGTTTTTTTGGGAAAAGCGGAATTTTCATACGCGTTCGAGTGGAGTGTGCTTGAATCGCAGGAGTCGCTGCTGCTTGCGGAACCGCCCTAAAACAGTCGGGAGAAAAACTGAAAATGAAAATTGCTGAAAAATTCACCCAAGGCAAGCAGCAGTGGCAGCGGGAAAACTGAAAAAGCTTTTCCGCGCTCCCAAAAAGTACCAGTATTTTTCATTTTTGGGGGGGGTGGGAGGCTGGCCAAGAGCGAGGAAAGCTCAATCAATAAGTCGAGCTACTCTCTTTCCGCAGGACACCCCCCAGTCGGCCAGCCAGCCCACCACCACCCAACCACCCACCACCCCCTGGGGCCATAGCACATGCTGAGTTTCGAACCTTTCGTGCCCCGTGATTTTCCTCCTTTTCCCAGCGACTCAACCACTTCTCTTCGGCTCGAAAATCACACTCACTTTTCCCCGGAATAGCCCGCTACCGTTGACCGTTAACCGCAACCGTAAACCGTTCACGGACGCAACTCCACGGCGGAGAATCTGCGTGAGACTTTTCCTCCACTTTGCACTGGACTGTCGGGTTATCGGCTCCTCGTTTTCCGGATTGCGATCCACACGTCTGACTGCCAGCCTGGCCACAACATGAATGTCTGAATGTCAGGTGTGCGATGCTCCACGATGCGTTCCGGCTGAGGAGTCGCAGGACTCGTGCTCGTGCGAAGTCCTTCTCCACGTAGGCGTCTCTCCGCCGGAGAAAATGTCCCGATAACCGTTATTCCAACGGACAGTCGGAGCTGCCAACTTAACGCAGGGTTGCCTTCGACAACTGCCAGGACCTCTGACATCGCACGGTTGCATCAAGCGGCTTTTACAATTTCTCTAAGCTTTGAAAGCTTTGCAGGACTTATACGCAGCTAAAAAGTATTTGAAAGTATTTTAATATCCTTCACGATATGTGACAATTACAACGAAAGGTTGTGGTAAAAGTTCTACTACGATTATTAACTTAAGCAAGATAATATTAAATAAATAATCATTTTATGGCATCGCGTTTGAAAATCGACAGTGAATTTTCTATTAAATATTGGATTAGAATTTAGTTTGTTTTAATTTTTAATGTTTTCTTATATAGCTATAAAAATAGGATTAGATAAAGTTTATTTGGCAAAATTTAAAAAGGGTTAAAGGAATTCACATGTTTTATTCTGACACTGAACATTCGAATTAGGCCATTTTCATAAAAGTAATGCAGAAATTAAAGTCCTAAAACTTGACCATTTGATAACTAATTATTTACATCTGCTTTTGATCTAGACATTATACTTCTTATTTCGGTAGCATTTGTTACCAAGGAATTATTTTAAAATCTTTAAAAAATATCATCGTTGTAAGGTCAGAAAATAGTACTAAAAGAAATGAAATTCGGAAGGTATAACAAACCAGCTTTGATGTGCTGCAGATAGGACTAAGAGATCTATTATTATTCAAGCTTGCAAATAATTAACCCTCATGATTTCATCTGCGATTGTGCTTGGCTTTCCATTTATAGAAGCTTTTTTGTATCATCTGCATGATCTGCTAATGTGGGAACTGCATAATTAGAATTTGCATATTAAATAACCCCTTTGGTCGCGCAATCGTTAGAGGGCTGCCAATGATGATGGTAATCAAATGGGTAGCTCAAGTGGTCGACACTTCAGAGACTGGCCCTCAAAATCTGCCAATCAGGCTCATCAATCTGTCAACTCCTTGGAGGAGTACCATTAGAACACATGGCCACATTGGCGAGGACAAAGGACCTGCATAAGGCGAGCGAGCAGCCTCTCAAGGTGCAAATTAGCAGAGCAGCAGGATAATAGCGCAGAGGTTCTCGAAAGGTACTCAGATCGCAAAGGCAGCTGCCTTGAACCCGCAGAAACGGGAACTTGTTGGACCTCCGCCTGCCACCTTATGCGGGTCCCACTGTACAGGAATGCCCCGTGCCAAGGTGCCAACTGCAACTTGGCCCCGTATCGCTTTTCGAGATCATTTTATTAGTATAGTTCTTTATTGTTTGCTATATTTTGGACACAGATGTCGGGCTGCTGCATCACTCCCTTAAAAACAGCGAAGGGTAGTTTTTGGTGGACATGATTTTACACAATTTTATACAAGGGGATGGGCTGCAGCAGGACATCTCCTTAAATGCTATACGGCTCTTTTGACGCTTTAAATTGATTCACACCGCGCACGCAACTGCCACCCCCGCACCCCTCAAATTGGTATGCTGCTGCACCCTCGCATCCCAGTATCCTGACATATCCTGTTCGCTCGCCTTTTTTCCGTGCTGTCATGCATTTGTATTTGATTAAACATTTTTTACGCGTTTCCGTTGAGGGCATCATTAGTTTGGCCCGTTTAGGGTTTCACTCTGGTCCAGAGAGCCACCCCCACACCCAGAATTCCACCCCCTCATCAAGTTTCCCAGCCCTTTTCCCTTTAGCAAGTTCCTATTTCCCAGTTCCCAGTTGCATCTGTCCGATTCCTAAGTCCACTTCCGCTTTTCCGCCTTGGCAGTAAGTGTGTTTTGGTATTTGTTTTAGTCGGTCCCAGATCGATGGCCCATGTCAATGGCCCTTAATGGCATTTCATTACCAAACTGCAGCGTTATTTGAGCATGATGATTATGAAGAATCACCCAAGAAACACTCATCATTATTGTTTGCCAGAGACTTGCAACCCCCACATAGATGATATATGACCACCTCGCCACAATTATAAACCCATCATTGAGGGTTTGTTTTCCCTGACAACCCAAAGAACAAGAAGTTTCCATTTTCAGTTTTTCGTTTTTATTCAAGTGTTTTTTATAATTTACAATTTTTATGGTCTTTTCAAAGATGTGTGTTTGTATAAAAATATTTGGTTTTTTAGAAAAATACGTTTTTGTGTTTAGTTTCTATAAAAGAGTTTCGTGATTTACAATTTTTATGTTCTTTCCAAAGTTTTTCTTTTTGTATAAAAATATTTACTTCTTAAGGATATATTACATATAAAAATATTTGGTACAAAGATCTGTTTTGTTTTTGCTTATTGTTACTGCACAACGAGCACAACGATTCTCTTGTAAACTTTAGGCTTAGCATTTAGTATCACAAAATCTCAACCGATATGGTTCCATATGATATAGCTTATTGGTAATTAATTCCTAAATTGAGCGAAAGTTTCCCATTTCGTTGTACTCTGCGGTTACAACCAATTTACATATACAGATGCTAAGGAACAATAGCGCTGTGATATTGCCCCCGATTAAGGGATTTCTTATTTTATTGCTTTAAGTACACAACCGCCGGTTCTGAAGCCTGGGGCCTTTATAGCTAGGTTGTACTGTTCAATACTTTGACTGGTAGTGAGACGCTGGTCCAATGTCCGTTTTCTATGCCTAACTAAACTAAATTAAATTAAACTGAGAATTACTCGATTCCCCTCACTTAGGAGCCTAAAAAATGACTAGAGCTCACACTCGACTTTGGTTCACCTAACACTGGGTTTGGATTTTTGTTTAAACTAGGATTTGGTTTTGCTTTTTTGGTTTGATTTGAACTTAAGATCTATTACTGCACAATTTTGCCTGAATTTTGGTTTCGGTATATAACCAGAACATGACTAAAGCTGTATCCGAAATTGAAGAATGATATATGTTTGTACAAACTTAGTAAGATCGAAATGAAGCTGACTTATAGAAATTATTTGCCTAAAATGACTAGAAAGAATGCAAGAACTTATGACTAGAATGACACGAAATATTTTGGTAAAAGGGTTGAATTTTGGGTATGGATATTAGTACGGAGATGATTTGCGAAAAATCAGAGATAAAGTGATAAAGATGATCGGGAAAAGATGAGTATGAGAATGAGAAAAGTCATGAAGAATGAATTTCGGAAGTGTGAAGGATGTTATGAGATGATGAGAAATAAGGAAAGTGGGGGATTAAAGAAAGGAGTGATGAATGATTTATGAAAGTTGAAGTTTGAGAAATGTAATAGGAATTAATGAAATATGAGTGACAGATGTAGTTTAAAGAGTGTTAGTTTTGAGTCTTTGGTATTTTTATAAGTAGTTGATATTGGAGTAGGGTGGATAGAGTATGAAAATGGTTAGTAATGAATTTTTGGTTGTTTTCTTTGGTTCTTTTGTTTAGTTCATTGCACTCCCAAAAGTTCCTAAACTATCTAAAACTAAGGACTACAAAAAATGCCTGCCTGGTACTTATGAGACACCTTTTTCGAGAGATCTTTTTGAAGCTGACTAGTGCCAAGATTCTTTGGTTTCACTGACTAGAACTAAAGTACCTATGGAATGTGGACCGAAGTACGGATACAAATCAGAGTCTGACTAGAATTGAACTCATTTTGCGAACGAAACTAAATCGGTTTAAGAACTAAACTTTATACCTAACTAAGAATATGAAGAGGAAACTGAAATTTCCGTGAATAAAACTAATTCTTTGGTCTGTTTCAGCTGCATTGACCCCCGAAAAGGATTTTTTTTGGGGGTTGTCAACTAATAACTAAACTTAACATTAAAACTCTCACTCGATTTCAATGGGCCATGGTGGTGTGTTGAATGACGGAAGCGCAGTTCCTTAAGTTCGTGAGGGCAGCGGCGGCAATGCTCTCCTCCTCCGTGAGACCATGTTCCACGATCTGCAGACGACCATATCCCGCGGATGAGGCCGAGGAGCTTGAGTCCGAGAGGTAATCGTTGTCGTAGTCGTAGTTACTTCTCGTATTGGCCCCCACCACATAGACACCCTCGTCGGAATGGGAACTGCTGGCGGAGGAGGAGGTGGAAACCCCCGAAGATCCCGCCTGATTGAAGTGGAAACTGCCTGTTATGGTAGTTGTACTGGCTGGCGGCAACATTTCCACCACTTTCTCCCCCGACTTTTCCTTCTTCTGGTGGGTCAGTTGGTGTTTCCTCAGGTAGGCGGCCCTCTTGAATTTCTTGCCACACTCCTGGCAGTCAAATGCCAGATCCTCCGATGCTGATTTTTTCTCCACTTGCTGCTGCGATTGCTGCTGCTGTTGTTGGTTAATGGTATTGCGATTCTCCTTTTTGGCCGCCTCCTTTCTCGGCTTATGCCAACGGCGATGGGAGGCCAGGTTGGCAGGACAATTGAACTGCTTTCCGCACTCGGGACATCGGTACTCCAGCAGGACTATGCAGGCACACCGGTGACGGGCCAGACCGAAGGCATCCTCGAACTTAATCTTGCACAAACGGCACACATAGTCCCCAATCACGTTCTTGATGGCCGCCAACTCTGCCTTGGTTTCCTCTGTGATCTCGACAATGTTGTATTTGGGATCAATGTCACCATTGCTGTACTGCATCGAACCATCGGTGATGTCCTCGAGCGGTCGGATAATCGTACCGGACACAGGTGAACTGGTCTCCTCGTCGAACTTCAGTTTGCGGGTGGCCTTATTGCGGGAGGGTTTCCCAGAGGAAGTGGAGGCCTTGCTGGTTTTCGGAGCCGAGTCCGCCACTTTGACAGGTTTCGCTGGCGTGGCTTCTACTGTTGGGATGGGCTGCTCATCCTCCTCCTCCTCCACCTCCTCCTTTTTGGCCATTTTAGCGGGGTGTCCATCATCGTCACAGCTCAATTTGCGCTTCCCTGATGGACTCTGCGGTGGCGTTGGGGGTTTCACCTGCTGCTGCTCCTCCTCCACTTTGGCTGCCTCTTCCTGCGGAACCTCCACCACATTTTCGCTATACACCTCCGTAAATGTGGCCGCCATGGGCACATCGCTGCTGGGCAGCGGCGAGGGCAGCTTCACCGTTAGATCCAGTGGTATTTCGCACCTGGTTTTCAGGTTCAGGTAGCGACTGCGGTATTTCGGAGGCAGCGAGGCCACCGTGGTCAGCAGACCCAGCCCGTGGGGCATCCCCTTGTGCTGCAGCTGGATGCCAATGCTGTGCGGATGGTTGAGTTTCTCGGTTTCCGAGTGGGATTGCATTTGCGTTTGCGTTTGTGTCTGTGTCTGGGCCATTGCATCGATGGTGGGGGTTTTATTTTGATTAACTTAAAACTTGAACTTGGGCAACAGAAAACGGAGAACGTAGAACGGGAACTAAGCAAACTTAACAACAAACTGATAACGCTGATCCTTGCGGACTGGACTTTAGTAGAAGACCTCCAGTCGGCTCGACGTTTGTGCTGCGAATGACGTTCAGTGGATTCGGCGGCGGCTATTTATGTGTGCCACAGGCCCAAAGGAAAGCGAAACCGAAACCGAAACAGAAACTCGAAATCATTGTTTGTGCCGGCGTCGCCGGCGTCCTGGAAATATATTTTCAACCCCCTTTCAGCCAAGTCGTTGTCCTTTTTCGACGTCGGCAGAGTCTTTTTTGAACGCCGGCAGAGCCGCAAAAGCCGGAATCTTTTGTTAGCAATCACACACACATTAGTCACCCTTTTTTCCACAAGCACACACACACATACTTATAGCACGGGGAGCTGTTAGTGAAAGTCCTACGCACACACACACTCTCACATTTCGCAGCTAGGACAATGCACTCGGAGAAATCAATGTGCGACAGCTGTTGTTTCGGGCCACGAATTGCCACGCACCAAAATCGCAGCACCTTCTTTGGCAAAAACACAAATTCGGCGGAAATCGGAGCTGCACATTGTTCTTTTCTAAATTTTTGGCAAAACAGCTGACAGCCATGAAGTCGTTAATTGAGCGTGTAACCATAAGGTCATCGGGGAAGAATCTTCAATGGGACAGCGGGTATCCCACCGCTTGAAGGAGAATTGCTTCTTTGTTGCCATTTGGCCCAAAACAGCTGTTGGCAGTTGGATGCAAGATGGTTATCGAAGGTAAACAAAGTAACAAGTAAGAACGACCTGAGAAGGATTCAGACCCCGAATGAAGAAATAAGAGAACTAGGTAAACAGAAACAAAATTTTTAGTTTTAGAAAAATCTATAATTATAGAATATAATGATGTTTTGGTACCAAGTTCTATAAAAACTTAATATCTAATTAATAATACAATAACAGAAACACATAGAAAAAGAAATCTAATTTTTATAAATTCAGAAAATCATTTATTGGGCCCAAAAAAACCAGATGGTATACCTTGTTATTAAAATGGGTTTTAAATAAAAGGATATGTAATTCCATATTTTCCTTTCTAGTTTCAGTGCTTTCTTTTTTTAACACGCTCCAAGGATTAATATAAAATTATTTGAAAATAAGCTCTTTCTTATAATTAATTGTAATAAATTTCTTATTGTGTAGTCGCTGGCACTGCATTTATCAGTTCTTTGCGACCTCAGACGGCGGCCAAGCTTGTCAAGTTTGCTTTTGGTGGGGTAGGTATCTGACTAGCAGACTAGCAGACACAACTTGGGTTCGAACTTCGAACTTCACCACCGAAACACGGGGCACAATCGCTTGTATCCTTGTATCCTCCTATCCATGTATCCATGTATCCTTGTAGCAGTGTCTGTGTCTGTATGGAAGTATCCTGGACAGAAATCTGTGTGTGTGTGAGCTTTGCATTAATGTAATCGAAATGCGACGCCGACTGAGTCGGCAGTGGTTGCCATGAAAGGGAATGCACTTTCGATTCCCGTCGAGGGCTTTCGTCGCAGGACTTCGCTCCTGGAAATATGGCATATTATGTTGAACACGCCGCCATTGTTGTTGTTCTTGTATTACGGTAGGCACGTGCATGGCAACGATGCCACCCCAAAACGGGCTGACAAAAAAAGGCACTGAAAGAAAGTTTTATTAAAATGTACCATATTTTAAATCACGACACACTTGTATGTGACTTAGAAAAATGTTTAATTAATAGACAATATATTTGGGTTAAGCCAGCTGTTAAAAAAAATGTATATAAGTTAAGCTAGAAATTTTATAATTATAAATTTGAATCTATAATATTGACAGAAACTGGTTTTATTAGATCTTAACTTCATTTGAAATACCACAATATATTTATCATGTAATGCAATCTTATAAATAAATAATATTAAAAATTAGTTTGGGCAACCAATCAAATATTTGTAAGGGACTTATACATTTTTGGAGCTTTTAGATTCAAATACTTTTTATTAAAACCTTTTATAAAAATATTTTAAATGCATCGCTTCTATATACAAGTTGCATATAATAATTTTGCAAGTCTATACCCAATAATGTTTTTGTTTTCTCAGTGCACAGTTGAGAGTTCAGAGAGTATTCCCAAAGCGATCCACTCGCGGCAGGGTGGCCATTCCATTCGGCAGGGGAATCGATGTTGTTTGCCATGCAGCTTAGAATTAAAATAGCGCACGCATCCGAGGCCAAATCCAAGCAAAAACTTCGCATCGAATGAATCGGAGAAGGCAACAAAAGTCTCAGAAGTGCGCCAGCCACGCGGGCATTGTCCTGATGGCCCTGTCGTCCTGTCCTTCTGTCCTCCTTTCGTCCTTTTGCCATCCAGAAGTCCTGAAAGGCATCGCAGATACACGGAGGCTGCGAATTCCAACCCCGCCGGGTGGCGAAAGTCCTCCCCTCCTTGCGATGCGATGCCAACTTATCCTTGTCACTCACAAATGCCGCCTTATTTGCGATTCGATAAAGTGAGAGAAAAAGGAAACGAGAAATCAAGCCATCAACAGAATGAAGTTTGATTAATCTGGGACAAGCCTATTCCAACGGATTAGTGCGTGTTGGCTGGAGGTTTCTCTACGGTTATCATCATCCATCAGTTCGGAGTGCACTTTTATTATTTCTTATGAATATGATCTCTGCACTTACGAACAATGAATAACTCGTATTGATTTAATCTCTAGAATGGAGGCTTCCCCCAACAAGCTTATATAATTTGATCTTTTAATAACGTAGCAGTAATAAAACCTTCATTTATTCATTGTATTTATCTCCACCAGATTATTTTTTATCAAAGGAAACAAGATATTATTATTTGGATATTTTTTCATTTTCATTCAAAACTTTTTTTTATTTCTTAAAGAATTATTTTGTTTTACAGGTAGTTTTTAAAGGGTTTTCCCATTTCTTAGCAAGGGATTTGTGCCCTTACGAGTACTTTTTCAAAGGGTTGTCCCATTTCTTAGCGTGTACCGTTTGAAATCTCCTTCGACTGCTCTGATTTCTGCGCTCCAAGGCGTTCTTGGCACAAATTTGCACTCCACAAACACCCACGATGGCCTGGGGAGTAAACCCCCCCACCGTCCAGATTTATATCGTCCCCCGACAAATCACCCACATGCCCCCCATAGAGAGGTACGCATTTTGTTTGTTGTTTGTTCCCTGGCTAACCCTTAAGTGCATCTTTTTATGGTAATTTCAAGAGCACCCCGTGCCCCACCTCGGATCTGTCTGCATGTCCTGGCTGGCATCCTTCTATCCCTCTGGCGGCTCCTTGGCAATAATTAATGTTCGAAAATGCATCGTTTATGCGGCATAATGCATTTTCATTTCCATTTCCATTCTCGTTTTCATCGGGCTATGTGTGTGTCTCAAAAGGCTTTTGAGCCTGCAAGCCGCGTGCACTTTTGCTTGGGCAGCTCCTCGAGGATCCACTCCACTTGTAGCACATGTTACCCATTGTGGCGATGAGGCTGCCTTTTTGGGGGTTCAGACGCTGTCAATCCGCGGAAAAGGACTTACACTTACCCACTCCTCGCCGCCTGCCACTGAGCTGTAATTAAATTTTTCGCTTTCATAATTTCATGCAATTTCTGCTGCTCGAGCAGGAAACTGATTCGGTTTTCGGGGCGTGAAGGTTTTTTAATTGCATTTTATGTGTCTGGAGAAGGAGCGAGAAATCTGCTACCAATTTGGCTTACTCCATTGGGTATTAAAATGAAAAGCTCCCAATTTGCTGCATCTCCGGGAGATTCAGCTGCCAATAAGCCAATCGCAGCATGTGTGGCTTAATAAATATATATCCCATTGAGCTTTGGCTATTTCCGCAAGCTAATCCTTATTGAAGTAAACAAAAATACTCGAAGATAGCTGGTGGATGAGACTGCAGTGGAATCGAAGCTTAAAATTATCTGGATTTTTACTTTCCTTTAGTTTTAAATTGCCTAATTTCCTTAAAAACTTTATAAATGAAGAAAAGGAATTAAACTTTATTTGGTTTGAAAAATGAAGAATTAAAGCATAAGGTTTAAAGGAAAGGCCTCTGAATGATCGATCTGCCAATAAACCAATTTCAGGATGAGTGGCTTTGGACAAAATCCAAGGAGCTTAGGAAATCTGCATAATAATCCTTCGAAGGGAAAACAAATATAGCAACCAACTAACCCCTGAAAAATAGCTGAAATCAAAAATAAGGGAAGTCCTGTCGTAATTACAATAACAGTCCTCCTGTTGTGCGTCATGCACAAATTTAAATAAAAACAATTATAATTTTTTAGCTTCCTTAATCATATGCAATTGGCAACTGCAGCGTAAAGTTTTCGGGGTGAGAATATTTTTAATTGCATTTCAGATGAATGATGACGGGGTGCCCCAAAAGTCCATAACCGAATTACTTTACTTGGTTGCATCTTAAATTGAAATTCTAATAAGCCAATTGCAGCATGTGTGCCTGGCTTAGACAGGACTATCCATTCAGCTTAAGGAATTTGCTCGCAAATCCCACTCGCAGTAAACAAAACTCCCCGAAATATTGCGAGTGACTAACCCCAGGAAAACCTGGCATAATTATGGTCGTATTCCTCCAGTTGTGCAGCATGCATAAATATAAATACACACAATAAATTTGCGCCGCAGGACACAGAAACCCACAGAGCGAGTGAGATAGAGAACTGGGAATATTCATGGGTAGGGGTAGAAAAAAACAATCACAATTCACAATTCAGTCGGGTGTCGAAGTGCTCCGGGCACGCGACCAGCGACCAACGTTCTTTTGCCGTTGCTGCTAATGTCCTTTGCCAAGGATTGTAAACTGCGAATTAGTCCGGTGCACATATGTACGGCGGCATGTGCGCCGGGGAAATCACAATGCAACCACCACGGTCCACAATCCAAAACCGAACCCAATACCGCCGAATCCCAGTTCCAAGTACCCCCGAAAGAAGTCAAAGTACTAGGCACAGCAATCGAAGCCGAAAATTTAGCCAGGTGCATTTTCAAAACACCAAAACACAACACACGAGCCACATAGCAGCACCACTATGAGCAGGGTGACAGGGGCAGACAGTGAGGACTGGCTATGGGGAAAGTAGCACCAAGATTATTACTAATTTCCCAAACGGTTCCACTCCTATGAAGTCATAATAACAAGTATTGGTAGCATTAAATTTAAGAGTTTTAAAGATATTTTTTGAGTGTTCTAATAACATTCTCCATTTTGAATATTTTAAGATGTAGGAAAATATTTTATTAGACTATATTACTAGACTAGGTTACATTAAATTTAAGAGTTTTAAAGATATTTTATGAGTGTTTTAATAACATTCTCCGTTTTGTATATTTTAAGATGAAGGAAAATATTTTATTAGACCAAAGAAAACTGAATTTATTAGTACTCAATAAATTTAAATTAAAAAATAAGTCATCTTTTGGGCGAATACAATATCACATCTTAAACATACAACTTTTCACTAAGTTCTTTTGTATAGTTAAGATCATCTACACATTTTTTACTGTAAACGTTATAAAGCAGAGCTCAAGCGTGGCGCGATTTTTATACCGCTCGGGTCTGAGGCTGTTGCTGATTTCGAATAGGGTTTTTTTAAAGCGCTTTAAGGGGTGGCAAAATGCACCCAAAAAGGAGGTGAGGGGAGGGGGGTTCTCCGCTCGCATATCCGCATGTCAGTCACAGTGCATGAATGTCTAGGGAGGGTTTAAGCGGCAGCGAAATATAAAATATTTCATTTTTACCCCTTGGCTCACTTATCAGACTATGCATATAAAATTCCAATTGGACGCGTTCACCGCAAAAGGACGAAGGAAAAAGGGAGGTGGGCCGGAATTCTCCCTTCGCGTTTTATGCCTAAGTCTGCCAAGATCCTGTGCAGGATTCCCCTTCAAGCAGATGCTGCACAATAAAAAACTAAAAACAATTTTACATTTCATGGTTTCTGTTGTATTTAAATCGTTTCTAATAAGAGCACACAAAATAAAAGTTGGATGTCTTTTTATATTCGTGGCTTTGTGTGGAACCTGATTGGGTATAATTTAAGGAATCAATTGAAAGAAAAAGATATATTTCTTTATTTGAGAAACTTAAGACTAAGGATATGACGATGGAACTAGAGTTTATGGGATGGTTATGTGTAAACATTAATAATTCTTAGGTGATTCAGGTCCCTAAACTCAGATGAAAAGTGATAGATCATGTATTCAAATAGTCAACTACAAAACATTTATTCTAATATAGCAAAATAATTATCCCTTAAAAACTCATATTACCTTTAGACATTACTAATCGGAGAAAATCGGACCTGATATAAGTTATCATTAATTATCAGTATTATCAGCAATTCTCCGAATATATAACTTTTAAGTTTACAACATAATCTCAAATACTGCTGACATTTTCTCGCAGTGTCCCCTTGCTGCTGTGTGAAAATTGCACGACTTGCGCTTCTGCTTTTGACAATGGCCTCACATTAACTAGTTTCCGCTGCACTCCCAATCGCAATCCCAGTGCCGAACCCAATCCCAATTCCACTTTTAATGAGTAACTGCACGGAGCAGTGCGAAATGGGAACTTCATTACAAAAGCACCCCATTCGCAGGACCCTTTCCCAAGTCCCCAGGACGAGGCCGCTTCCTGTTTGGTTTGTTTCAATTAAATCGCATGTGCGAGCCACGAACAGGCGCAGGATACCAAGGCTGGCATTAAAACAGAGGCCCAGGACACATTGCAGGACACATGGCTCATCTGTTACTTAATCATGGCATTGCCATGGATACGCGTACCTTGAATTGCGAGGGTGTCGTATTTGAGCTCGACCTTTGAGCAGCCAGTACGGATATTTATTGTTATTGCCCTGAAGGGGAGAACGAGATTTTTCGACCCTGTCTTAAAGCCCTGGTGAGATTCTGATTTGGTGGCATTTCTCAGGACTTGAATTTCCCTTTCAAGTGGAAATGCTTTTCATGATTGATTTATAGTTGCTTATGACAGAATAATTCGGGTATAAAAGTTTCTGTCTCAAAATGATTTATATTCCAAAATAAGCTGGGAATAATGTTATATCAATGGGATATTATTAGATTCATTAAATTCTAAACAAGAAGTAACCTCCCAAATAATCAAACAGTTAAAGAATGTTCTTCCACACGTATAGATATGTATTTCAAATCGGTATAAGGTTGTTAAATAGGATTAATATATACACATAAGACCAGAATTTATAGATTTGATACACTTATTAGTTATGATAATTAAATACACTTTTCAGGAATTCAAGAAGTTCTTGGCAAAGATATCAACCCTGAAATGTAATTGAACTTTCGCATCTTGTTGTTCAGTATCCGTATGAGTAGTAATTGTAGTTGGAGAACTGGGCTGCCAAAGTGACGTTGCTCCAGCCGAATTGATAGCGAATAAGGGCATCCAAGCCACCCACATCTACGCCCAGTCGCTGAAGTTCAGTGACGATGGCCTTGCCCGCGGGAGTGGCCAAAATCCTTTCGTAAACCGGTTTCAAGGCCACCAGACGACGCCAAAGTTCCGAGAGTTGAGCACTAGTTTGGCTGGCACTCGGTTCCAGAAGGGATCGAATCAATTCCACTGGATAAATCTGCACCAACTCAGACTGGAATCCACTCACTCCATTGACAATCTGCGACCAGTAGGGATACTTATTGAAGATCTTGATTTCCAGTTCCAGGTACTCGAAAATCTTGGGGGATCCACCGGACAAGATTATTTGTTGGTAGATCCATTGCTGCAATTGTCGCACTTCGGGTTGATTGAGCAACTGCCTGTAGAATTGATAAGCCGGTATCGAGTTGATAGCCCTGATCAGACTCTGGAATTCGGGATCGTTGAGTAGATAGGTCTGAACGAGTTTCTCAATTTGACCATTTGGGATCTGGCGAATCACTCCTTTCAGCTCCAAGGCAAAGTTGCTCTGGGGAACAAGTGTTCCATTCTGGCTAAAAGTCCTAATAGGAGCCAAAAGAGCTGGGTTGGCAGCTGAGAAAGCCACCAGGCAACTGAAGGCCAGGAAAGTACAACCGATGAACCGCATCCTGATCTGTGTTCACTTCTAGAACTAGTTAGCATTGCCAATCAACTCGCCGCTTTTATAGCGAAAAGAGATCTCTGTTATCTGACTTTCTGTTTGTGGCTTAGCTTCCACAGTGGACACTCTTATCGGAGACAGTTTGCTTTACAATATCTGACGTGGTCCATACATCTGGCCAGGGAGAAGGTCTGGTGAGAGATCTGTGTACCGGAAAGTGCCAAGATAAAGGGAGGCTATTTACGACACTTACTCATTTCATAAACAGTAGAGATTCGGATTTGCTAAGCAGGCAATTATTTATACCCACACGTCTACATTTTAATCCCAAAAGTTAGAGAAAGGGTTCAGAAAATCAGATTGAAACCGAAAATGAAGTTATCAAAGTCCTAAAAGGAAATTAAACCCTATTTAATCATAATGATATTTTAATTCATACTGAAAATTCCAGAACAAGCTAAAATCAGCAGCCCAAAATAAAAAACAAATAATGTGTAACTTCTTGAAATAGATCCTCCATGAAGTCATCTCCATGATGCATTTTTTATAATTCATTAAATACTTAAGCAAAAACAGATAAGATAAATGAAAAACATTTCATTCATACCTCCGGAAGGCACAAAAAAGCTATCAAAACAGAACAATCAACTTTAAATGTAAACGTACCTTCTATTTGACTAAAGTAAATTCTTAAAACATTTAAATCAGACAGTGACTTCTGAACACGTACTTGTGATAACGGAGGCCAAACAAAAGCATCAAACAAGTTATTATAACTATCCAAAGCAGACGGTTTCACAGTCAATAAATCGCGTTAGTCTCAGCTGGCAAAATTCGGTCAAGTCGGACAGCTTTTTATGGAGCATATCCCACACATGAATAAACAGAAAGCGACAGTGAAGATAAGGAAATAAATTTTACAATTGCCTTAATAAAAAGTATAAAAAAAGTAAAAGCGATGTCACAAAAATAAAAAAGACAACTTGTGATAGATTAAAAAAAAAAGGTATCCAACATTTTGAAGAAAGATTGTTAAAGTCAAAACCTTTAAGTCCAATTTTATTCCTTTGTCGTTGAAGTTTAAATGAAATACATATCATATTTGTTCTCCATTCTGAATATTTGCTGATTAAATAAGAGTATAAGAGAGAGAATAATGAATAGAAACTGACTGATGAATACATCAAAGTGACATTATAATCTATATCTGAGATCTCAACACAATATTTAAAGGACTTCCCTTGGTCAAGTGCACTCCTTTGGATTCTGAGGGAAAAGTGAACAGCCTGGGAATGTAAATGGACAGATGTGAATGGGTAATTAGTTAGTTAGTAACCTTCACTACTCGATCGCATATCCGGTCCAGCCGACATTAGTTCCACTCGAGGGGAGTCCTATAGGAATGTAACATGCACATAATTAGGATTGGCCTGGACACGCCTCCTCTTCTGTGACCGAAAACAATAGAGGGAATTCCAATTGAGCAGGAAACTGACAGATTTGCTGTATAATTTCGAAATTATCAAACTTTTGAGAGAGTCTGCAGAACTGGAGAATTCATAGAGATGCAGGACAAAGCCACCCCAAAAGCAGAAAACTGGGAGGATAGGGAGATTTAGGGTGATTTTGGTTAGGGGGTTGGTTTTAGTTCGACCGAGCATAAGTATTTTTGTTGGCCAGGGGCGATCGCATGTTTGGTTATCGGAATTGTAAGGGGAGTTGGGTTGGCAGCTGCAAAAAAAATACATATATCTGAAACGTACACCCTTGCAGTGCTTGATAAATCATGTGTAAAGGTATTTGTATAAACTTTTTCGGGTTTTTATTTTCTATCTTTCATGTTCGATTGGCGGCAGCTGCAGCTGAAAATCCTGATGCTGGCAGCGGAAAGGCTGAAAGGCGGAAAAACCAGTGTTGCCATGGAAAGTGTGTTAAAAAACAAACGAAGAAAATATTTCATTTTTAATTGATTTGGCATGCTTCAATTTAACGCTTCGCTGCCACTTCCTCTTTTGCATGCGAGTCCTGCACGTGTCCTTTTTGTAGTTTTCTATAAATTTCAATATTTTTATATACGTGTGTATGTAAAATGCAAGAACTGGCACTTCCGCCTTATGACATGCCAATGAGTCAGAGTCCTGCAAAAGGAACCTGAACTTGAGGTCCTTTTTAGCTACAGGTATGTCTTGGGGTTATTCCTTTTCTTCAACACCCTTCCCCTTTTTCTTTGGCACGCGTCAAAAAACCGAAGGGCGAGAAGTCAGTGAATTATTTTTTAGGGGTTGCTCGCTGGGTTTTTCTTACAAGAAGCATTCCTCAGCCGGAAGAAGCAAAGCAACACGTCCAAGACATTGTTGAGTCACCACTGAAATTATTATTACCCCCGAGGACCTCCCCCCCCATCCACACTTTACCCCTGTGTGCTGGCATTTACTTTCATTCAAAGGACCAGGATCCTTCGGGATCATCGTTCTTATCGGAGGCGCCTTCCTTGAGGTTTGTCCTTTTAGGGTCCTTTCAGTCACTCATTCATTCATTCCCTCGTCACTTAATTGAGATGTGGCGGAGGGAAAAAGGGAAAGGAAGAGGAGAGGAGAGGAGGACAAACCAGAACGAGCCCATAAAAGGGGCAATTCCTTTTGCCGGGTAAGTGCCAATTGTAGGTTTCACTTTAGGCTACAAATTGAAACGCCCCTTGCCAGGACTTCTTCCCCTCGTCCTTCGTCCTTTGTTTACCTTTTCTCGGTCTGCCTTGGCTTCCCCCTCCTCCTTCATCTCCTCCTCCTCAAGGAGAAGCCATTAAATTGATTATAAGACATTGTTGAAATGTGTAAACTGTTCCGTCTCAGACACTCCGTCGCCGAGGGAAGTCCCCTTTTTGTCTCCGTTTCTCTGACTGTGCCTCCGTTGCTCAGTTTCTCACTTTCTCAGTTTCTTCCCATAAGTATGTAGGTATTCTGGAGGGTGTGGCATAGTTGAGTGAAGTCGAAGCTAAGGAATTCAACTAATTAGAGGGGCAGAACGAGAGTTGCTGGTAAAAAATATGTGTTGAGGGACCATTTGAGTTCGTAATGGCTTCACCTCAAGGGGTTAATGAAGGTAACGGAGTCATTGCTGTTTTATTTGGGCAAAAAGGTGTGTCTGAGCTGGTTACCAAGGAGTTCCCTGGAGAAGTCAGCTGAAACCACAGCTTATAATGTGCTGTTCATGGGGTTAATGCACGGAAATGAATCAAGGTGTCAACGAATATCGTCGTACGGGAATTTTGGGATAACACTAAAGGGCTTAGGAATAGATAAAGGAAAAATCTAGTTTATTTTTATTATTATTATTTATTGTTTATACAGATATTATAATATATTATAAATAACGAAATTGTTAGGCGGCCACCAAAGAATTTTATGACATGATTGTAACAAATAATTTTAACTTTAATTTGCACGAAACGCTTTGCGATTTAAGAGGATAATGTAATAATAAACAATAATCAGAAAAATTAAGATAAAGTGATATAATACTAAAATTTGTTTAATCCAAAAATAAGGAAAAGCAGGATAAGTTAAATGTTTTAACATTTAAAATTTAAGAGGGGGAGAAACTATAATGATATTCTTTGTCAAAAGAGGTGTGACTGACAACTGGCGATAAAAGCATACCCCACAGAAATATGACTATATTTCCAATGTTAAACAATCGAACAAATACAAAATCAAATGCAAGTTTTAGACAAAGGTCCAATGACTTTCCCCGCCCCACTGCATCCTGTTTGGCTGGAAAAGTCAGCAGCTGCCGCAGCCGAGCCTTTATCGCAATCACCGATAGGAAATACAAGGCACAAATCTGTCGGGAGCCTGTTTACGGCCCGTTAACCAGGACACGTGTGTCGCTGCATTAGCATACCCAAATGGATAGGAAAAGGTATAGGAATAGGAATAGGAATAGGGAGCCGTATGACGAAAGCTCCCTCCACGAAAAAAAAACCCATGCAAATGGGCGACTATTAGGGGAAACAAAGCAAACAGCGCAGGCGCAACTGGGGTTCGAAATTCAGATACCGAAACTGGGTTGGGCACGTTCCAAAGGTTTTCTTTTCGAATAGGGCCACCCCTGGGTTAGATAACTACACACACGGGCATATCGGAGTACCAGCTGCCGACTGCTTTGCCAAAAACGAGTTTATCCTTATCCAACAAATTCAGGACTCTCTGAACTCGCGTGCCGCCAGTCCGGTTACCTCCCCTTCGAGCTCATTTCGTTGCTCATAAATAACAATGCAATGATCCCCAGGTATTTTTCACGTGTTTGGCACGTTTCACTCGATTTTCCGGTTCTCGATTCCCTCAATTCTCTCCACTAATCCCCCGGAAAAGAAGGTCGCTGGCTGAGGCACGCGTCCTTTTTGATAAATTGTGCTTTAAAGCGCTGGGGTCGGGCTTTTGGATTCTGTTTCTGGAGCAAACGCCTTGACAAATGGCCAAAACAACTCCAGAGGACAGCCCACGACGAGGAAGACGAACCATTGTCTGCCTTATTGCTGGAATAAATCTTCATCGTCTGCCGGCTCCTGGTTTATTTATCAAGGTGGAGCAATTACATTAAGTCAGCCATGGTTATCGGACACGACCCAAGACCAATATCGCAGCTGGGCATGCATCTCCCGGAAGACCAGGAAGCGGGGGCAACTCCAGTGCCCCAAACGGGTTGCCAAAAACACTTACGCGATGCACCAAGAACTCCCAGAGGTCAAAGGCATACTCGCTAGACGGGTGAAAGCTGATCAGGCAACTGGAGCAGCAAACTTCTGGCTGAAATACAATCCACAATTTATGACTTTTAAATAGACAGATAATACAAATCCTAGAGAATTATTTATGTTATTATCAAATGAGCTATTTAGAGGCGTTCCTCTCAGAAATTGGAAGGGTTTTTTGTAGGCAAACCCAATAAGAAATATAATATAGTCATTATTCCTTTATATAATGATCCAAGATTTAACATAAGATAAGAATAGCAATGGATTGGAAATTTTGTATCGAAAATTGCCAAATTAAGACGGTAATTTGGTAATTTTTTTTTTTACCGATTTTGTGGATTTTTTATAATTTTTTGCGAAAACTGGGCCGAAATATATTTTTTTTTGCTGAGAATACCAATGGATTGGAAATTTTGTACCAAATCCAACGAGGTTTGACATTCTAAGATCTGACCATTATTTTCAAGGGTTTTGATAAAAAAAACCGAAAAATCGTCTTGATTTTTTGCGGATTTTGGACATTTAAAACCAAATATTTAAAAACACATTTTTTAACAGGCTTTTGCTGTAACTTTGCCAAAATAAGACGCACAGCGAAAAGAATGACTGTTTTGTGCAGCTGAGAACCCATACAATCAATTTTAGGTTGATTTGGTAAAATTTATTTTTTGACCGATTTAGCCGTTTTTGATAAGGGGTAACACTTGATATTTTCCGAAAATCGGCTCAAAATAAAATTTTTTTGCTGAGAATACCAATGGGTTGAAAATTTTGTAACGAATTAAACGAGGTATAACATCTCAAGATCGGACGATTATTTCCCTCAGTTTTTATCAAAAAACCGACAAATCGACTAGATTTTTTCCGGATTTTTAGCAATTAAATACATTTTAAAACACATTTTTTAACTGGTTTTTGCTTTAAATTTGCCAAAATAAGACGCACAACGAAAAGAATGACAGTTTTGTGCAGTTAAGAATCAATACAATCAATTTCAGGTTGATTTGGTAAAATTTATTTTTTGACCGATTTTTGAATTTTTGATAAGGGGTAACATCATCATTTTTTGCGAAAATAGGCTCAAAACATAATTTTTTTGCTGAGAATACCAATGGATTGGAAATTTTGTAACGAATCCAACGACGTATGGCAATCCAAGATGTGACCATTATTTCCAACGGTTTTGATTAAAAAACCGATAAATCTAATTGATTTTTTGCGGATTTTGGACATTTAAAACCAAATATTTAAAAACACATTTTTTAACTGGCTTTTGCTGTAACTTTGCCAAAATAAGACCCTCAGCGAAAAGAATAACTGTTTTGTGCAGCTGAGAACCCATACAATCAATTTTAGGTTGATTTGGAAAAATAAATTTTTTGATCGATTTTTGCAAATTTGATAAGGGGTAACACTTGATTTTTTGCCAAAATTGGGCCAAAATAAAATTTTTGAGCTGTGAATGCCAATCGATTAGAATTTTTATAACGAATTCAACGAGGTATGACATTCCAACATATGACCATTATTTCTACGGGTTTTGATAAAAAAAAACAGAAATTTAAGTTAATTTTTTCGGTCTTTTTGCCATGAAACACATTTTTAAAGGATATTTTGTGTTTAACTTGTCAAATCTTTGCGCATTTTTTAATGTGTACGCAGATCAAGTTTTTATATCCAATCAATGAATATAGCCTATAGTTCTCTTACAATCGATCGGGTAATATTAGATACATTTGGTTGCATTCGAAGACCTCGCTGTTTAGCTTGAAGACTTATACGTATTAGGTAATGATTGCGATTAAAAATTTATAACTTTTTATGAAGAAACATTTATTGGGGAAGTTTTACAGTAGTTTACATTTAATTGTGCTTAAATAATTGATGCATGTTGACGTATTTATCCTTTATTGTTTGCTATCCTTTATTGTTTGCTATCCTTTATTGTCGGTGACTTGGTGGGACCAGTATTGCAGACGCTCGTTCATCTGCCTGAAGCCCAAACGCGATGGTAGTGCCCTTTGGGTCCTGTGTAGTCCAAAGACCCTCAGGTAATACAGAAAGAATTCAAAAAACTCAAACTCGACGTCTTTGACATAATGAAAGGTTATGGCCGATGCAGAGCAGCAGTCGCTTCTCTTAAAAGAGTAAAGCAGAAGTTATAAGATCAGTAAATACAGAACAAGATAGAATCTAACATTTGGCTTGTGAAAGAAGTAGCCATCCGTCCAAGAACCAACTCCGATGGAGGGAATTAAATCCCACGGACTGATGGGCAGGAAGCGGTGATGTCCTTGAAAGTCCCGCGTATCACCCGCTATCACACCCACGTCCTGCAGGCAGTGTCCAATCTGAAGGTCCTCAGAATCACCGTTCAGCTTGCAGGTGGTGGTGCTGTTCAGGGCAAACAAATTCAGGCGACGAAGTGCGTCCCGGCTGAGCACATATCCCCCACCACCGGACATGTAACCCTGGGAATAGGACGACTTGAAGCGGCAGCCAAAGTACACAGACGATTCGGGGTCGTAGGGATAAAGGAACAGACGCAGATTCTCCATCACAATGTATCTAGAAAGGTATAATATTCATTTATTATTATTTCTTACCAAATTATATAGTATCACTTACGTGTCATCATCGGCCTTCACAAACCAGTCGTAATCATTCAAGTGATGCTTGTGGACATACGACATTCCTGTGCGTACTTTCGCGTACAGATTACTCCGCGATTCGGAAATGTTAATCTTGAGAATATTCAGGTGGGGATCCGTTTTGGTGCTCATGAAGATCAGCTTATTGCAGCGGGCGCCCCATGTTCGATTCACACGAGCTGCCTTCGTCCTGTGAGCAGATGGCATGGTGAGCACCAGGCAGAGTATTCGCACCTCCCGTCTCAGCCAGATGGCCAGGTGCTCCTCCGTTGCCACCGGATATGTCAGAAGCGCCGCCTTTTCACTTGCCCTCAAATCGTTGAGTTTCAGATAGCCAACCAAGTCCGTGAGTCGCACGCCTATAATTATGCCTAATACTAAGAACACTATGTTCCGAATCATTACCAGGATCATTTTAAACTAATAAGGCAGCGTTGTCTAGCTATTTAGAGATCCCACGCTGTGACTAACTGGTGCAGAAAATTCATTTCGACTTTCCAATTAGAGAGTGCGTGAAGTCTTTAAAATCTATCGGCTCTTTACATTTTTTTAGTGAAAATCAGACTGCTTCTGTAAACAAATCCTAAGGATATCCATATTAAAACCATACAAATAATGAGTACACAAAATTGTGAATTTAATATTTTATATTAATTGATGTAGAAATGTTTAGCATGCATAAAGAATGAGATCTAGATAAAAAAAGACTCAATGTTAAAAAATCTACATCTTAAGTGAACAAAAGCTATTACATAACGTTTTTAAATTAAACCTTAAGGGATTAATTAATTTAATAATAATTAATAATTCAACTCTTTACTCTTTTCATAAAACCCTAAATCTATGGCAATTTCTGGTATGTGTCTTAAAATATCTAAACTGCTTTAGAGAAAACATCCGCGAATTGGTGGTTTTCCTTTTCAATATCAATCCTGCCTTAGCCAAGGATAAGGATTCGTGCTGTTTTCCTGTGACCAGTAATTCAGCTGGTTCTGCATTTGCTTGACCTCAAGTCTGGGTGGCAGCGATCTCTGGGACCAAGGAGTTCCAAAAACACGAAGTCGATACAGCAGGAACTCATACATTTCGAACTCGTGGTTCTTTACGTAATGGAAGCTAATGCCCGAGCTTGAGCCAGTTTCATTAACCTGAAAACAAATATTGGTTAAGTACAGATATTATTATGACTATCTCGTACTTACTGGCTCATAGAAAGTCAGCATGTGTATCCAATTATCGGTGGGGAAATTGGGCAGCATAATTTTAAGAGACATTGGCAAAAATCGATCCCGACCTTCCTCATCTCTGGAATCGCCAGCCACCACGCCCACGTTCTGCAGACAGAAGCCAATCTGTCTGTCCTCTGACATGTTGTTAATCGGACAGAAACGGGTATTGTTAAAGGCAAAGAGGTTGAGCCGACGCAGTGCATCCCGACTTATCACGTAGCCAGCTCCTCCGGACATATAGCCCTGCGGAAAGGTGGTGCGAAATCGGTGGCCAAAGTAGAGCGCTGCCTCGGGATCGTATGGGTAAAGCATGAACCGCAGGTTTTCCATTATCACAAAGCTGTAATAAAGTAAAGTTTACTTGGACTAAATGATTACCTAAATCCCCAAAAACTACTTACGTGTCATCGTCTGCCTTGAGGAACCAATCGTAATCCTCGGCGTAGTTTTTGTACACAAACTCCAGGGCCTTCCTCATCTTTAAATACAGATTATTGCGATCCTCCGGGACGCCCACATCGATGGCGCCCAGCTCATGATCCTCCTGGCTGCTGATGAAAATCAGCTTGTTGCAGCGCTTGCCCCAAGTGTGCTTCACTTTCCTGACCCTGGTTTGGTGATTCTTCGGCATGGTCAGCACCATGCAGAGCACCCTTGTCTCGTTGTAGAGCCATCGCGCCAGCTCCTCCTCCGTCGGCAGTTGGGGCGTGGCCTCATCATCGAGTTCGGTGAGCGCCGTGCTTCCGAACTGCGATTCGGTCAGTTGGAAGTACTCGAAGAAATCCGTCAGCCGGATGCCGATGATCAGGCCCAGTGCCAGGCAGAGTATATTGCGATACATGGCGAGTGTGTTCCAGGCAGCGGCTAACCAGCACCAGCTGGCACTTGGCTCTTCTCCGGAGGGGTTTTATGGTGGGCACTCAGCGGAGAACGGGGATTGGAGTGGATCTCTTACAAATTGAGCTGGGGGCACAGCGAATGCATTTCGCGGCGTCGCTCATCGCCGCCAGCTGATCAGCGACTGTTCGATGGCTCAGTTCACAAACGGCTAAAAAGAGTCTCCCACAACAGAGAAAGAAATTGGTAATAAAAGTCACTCGAAAAAATCATTTTATTTTAAAAGTTCAAATAAATTAAATTGTATTAATTGTTCCGAAGTCATTAATTTTTACAAAATAAAAACTGTTATTAAAGGAAATATAGTTTTATTTCTCAAAGTATGTATGAAACTAGTACTTGTAATTTTTAACAAAGGATTTATGGAAAAGTGATAGATGTAATTTAAATATTTATTTATATTTTTTACAATTTTTATAAGGAAAAACAAATAAATCTTTGCCAATAATATAAGCCAACTTATTCTTATTCGTTATGGCCATGGATAAGTTAAGGTGACTTAAAAAAACGATTGATTAATAATTAGTTTAATGTTTAGTTTCCTATAAAGGTCTTCAAGTTTTTAAAAGTATCAAAAACCATTAATCAAGTCCACCTTTAAAAACTTTGCCGGAACTAATTTATTTAAGAATCTATTGCATAAAACGATAAGTCCAGGAAAATTATAAATTTACCACTTTGTGAAGACTGAAACTATAGTTTATTATAACAAAATTATGTTTACCATTACTTCCTGCAGGTTTTACTTCAAGTGCACCCTCTCAGCTCGGCTAAAACAAGTTTTCGAATTTGGCTTGTGATTGGCATTTGTAATGAGTCACACGTGGTGCGTTCGTCTTCGCTCGTGTATCGTTTGTCGCCTTTACGCAAATCTTTCAAATAGTCAACAATAGGAAATCAAAACAAGACTCACGGTTGGTCCAAAGCAAATGCCATTTATCGACGAATGGTTTCCCTTTCCCTTTCTTGGGCCATGATCATCCAGAGCATCGACAGCTATTTTTGGGGGTAACCGGTTTGGAGCCTCCTCTTGACCCACTCTGGCATAAATTAGCGCCTCTCGCCCACTGCAATCTTAATTTAATCCACCGAATCGAACCGCTTTGCTTGTGGCAATGAAATCACTCATTTTATTTTATTGCTAGATAATGTTTCATTTCATTTGTTTATGTTTTTGCTTTCCATGGTACAATATTATCCGCTTGTTACATTTACTTAGTACAACTGAATTCGTTTTAGTTTGTAGATTTACTTTAGCATGGTTTCTTTAGACTAAATGTGGACTAATTATTTCACTTCAGTTTGTTTTGTTAATCATTTCGCATTGTTAAACATCTAGTGTCTTGTTATTCTCGTTTTTTTTGGCCAGCGCTTTTCTTTCCACTCATCCCTGGCCTTAGAAAACTTGGTTACAAAACGTTTAATATTAGTTTGTCTGCTGGCTAAACTTACTTAGAGCTGCTCTATTATTCCGATTTCTTCCCCGATTAAACGCTATTCCTCATTATACGTTTAGTAAGTGCACTTGCCAATTTCTGTTTATCGGAGGAGCCTGTCGCCAGAGGCCTCAAAAATAGGAAAACGTGGCGAAATAAACAAAAATTGTCCGGCAAACTCATTTACAACAATCGTGAGTAATGATCCCGCTCCACACCTGACCATACGCAAAAAGTGTTAGTACTTATTTTTAGTTAGTTACACAGCCTTAGAAACTACTTAGAAATTATGAAATACATAAATCAAGGACAACAAAATGTAAAAGAATATTACAAAAATTATGAAAAATCATGTTTTGGTTATACAAAAAAAAAGTAGGACATAGGAACAGTGCGTTTGAAGACTATTAGGCAGTAAGTGGTTTTTACAAAATAAAAGATAAATGGTTAAATATGAAATAAATTCAGTTTTCGATTCCGTTTTCAAAATAGTTTTAAAACACACTCTTCGGGTTGGACAAAACAATTAGTGCTGGTTTAATTATAAAATTAGTTTTAAAATAAGAATAAACAAATCCTATTTTGGAGTATTCCATAAATTACATAACAAATATGACAAAAAAAATTAATACATGAATATATCCAAAATGTTACAATTTTACGTCTTTAGTTGTATTATTAATCCTACATGTTTTTTCGTTTATGTTTGACATTTTAATTTCGCTTGCAAAAATATATGTAATTGGTAATTCAACTTTTTTCAATCTTTTTCATTCTTTGCTTTGCTTGGTTTTTATATAAATTGGATTTATAAATTTATATGTTTTGTAGGTTTGTTTGTTTTCAGTTTTATTTTAGTGTTTATGGGTTAAGCTTGGCTTTAAACTACATATATCAGTATTAATATTTTTTAATATTTTTTGCTTTCTCTGCTTCAACATTTCGTTACGTTTTGTGGTTGTATCAATTTATTGTTATTATAACTTTTTTTTTTTGCTTTTTCGTAAAGTTTTAGGAACCTATTTGTAACTAGCAAAACGCTGACGCGTACACGTTTCTATAAAAAATGTTTTCCTATAATTTGGCTTACAATTAGTTCATAATTGTATAACATCAAAATATATATATATGTAGATTTATATTTATGGTTTCGCTTTCTGTCCTATTCATAATATACGTTAAATATGTCAATGCATTTCTCTAGTATACGATTAGCTTATTAATATTTCTTTATTATATTTCAAGATTTCCGCTTTCCCCACTGAAGTCCTGGCACTTAAGTAGATTATGGGATCACAATCCATTTAAGAGCCAACACTTTTCCTGCGGGAAAGTCACGCATACCCATGATCAATGAAGATCTCAAAAATTTTCAGTCTCCAAAAAATTATAGCACGACGGTCCAAAAGTATGCAATGAAATTGTATAGAAACATATTCCGTTACCATGTTTTGACGCCCAAACTATTGTTTTTAAAGTCACTGAAAATTTTAGTAAATCCCCAAATAGATTTTAAGATACGTAATTCTTAATTGATTAATTGAATATATTCCTTTCTCGTTTAGCCGCTGACTATACAAAGCTTTGACAAGTTATTTAGCTTTTCTTATTCAAATTCCTTTTTTTTTTTTTGTAAATTTTTAGATGTTTTAACATTGGCACGATATCTATAAATAATATATATGCGTTTTTATAGCTTAAGAAAATATATATGGGTGTATACGTTTGTTAGATAGCTATCAACTAGTATGATTGATTAGTTTTAGTTCTGACCCCATTACACATTTTTATTTTTTCCCTTTCAAATCTTGTGTTTCAATCCCAACAGAATTCTCTAACATGATGTACAAACTAAATGCTCTAGACCTAAGAAAAGTTAAATAGAACTCGAATATCATCAAGGCAAACAACGAATCCAAGCCAGGGACAATTCCCAAAAAAGTTTCACTAACTATGAATAACAAGTTTTGTATATATATATGAATCTGCCTGTCCTTAATTGATTGCATGTAAAACTAAACAACATATAAAATAAATTACAAAATTACCGCGCTGTTAACTTATTATCTGCTTTTAAACGTGTACAAAATAATGAAACGCACAGTTGTGGTCCAAATAATAATAGCCTTGAAGATTACATTTTTAGTTCTTTACTTTCAATTTCATTTAAAATATTGCAGGCTGACGTTCAAATGTTTTGCGGCTTCGATATGAGCAAAACTCGTTAAACAAAATAAGATTTTAGTAAGGAAATATTCAACCTAAATTTGATCTTCCAGACCGTTTACAAACTAACACAATTTGGCCTGTAGATTTCGAGATTTATTCGGCTATTACTATGACCACCACTGCCTGTATTTACTCTTTGTGTCGAAAATACCCTGGTTCTAAATGTATATTTCATTAAAGCATATTCAAAGCATCCGATATATTGTTGCTGGGTTGGTTTGTTTAAATGCATGCTGCATGTCGCGAAACTGATCAACTACAATATATGATTATTTGTGTATATTTACAGCTCTAAGCGTTTGTCATAACATATCGAAAAAAATTCTAGTGTATTTGGGGGCTTTCCTAACAGCTATGCACACTCACTACGTATAACGGCTGGGAGACCTTTTTGTGCCTCAGATAAATGGGGGAGTTTCGCTTTGCTGAAGGAGTTCGTAGATTTAACACTATATGATAATTTGCTCGCTGTTTAGTTTACAGAGTTCTTCCGTTCCTCCTACTCTTTGTACAAAGTTTTCGTTTCAACGAGTTTTGTTGCTGCTTATGTTTCTGCTCAACTTAATTCTAGTCTAGCTTAGAGCTAAGTTTCTTTCTCACACAATCGCACTCTTACACACGGACATGCGCTTTGGACTTTGGGCTTAAATATATACCGCTCGAATATATCTAATTGTTAATTTGTATATGTATATGCATATAAAACCAAACTCGCACTCTCGCTCACACGCACTGACACAAAAATATATATGGTCTATCGCCTAACACTTAAAGTTCTGATGTATTTTACAACGCCCCGTTGCGGTTGGCTTTCACTTGTTGTCCCCGGCATTCGATGAGGAGGAGCTGCCCAACACTCCGCCGCCAGCTCCTGATCCACCGCCGTTGGTGGTCTGCTGCTGGGATTGCTGATGCTGCTGCGGGGGCAGAGTATCGGAGCGGCGGTAGTAGAGAAGATAAGGCACCCGCGGCGTGTGCGGCTGGAGAACGTGCTTCTCGCTGACCGGCTTCACCGAGCTGTCGTCGTAGCGCAGCCAGCTGTTGTAGCCCGTGTGGAACACGTCCGTGATGTAGTGGCCCTTTGAGGCCTCCTTGCCGTCGTGATAGACAACCGCAAACAGACGGTAGGCGCGCTGCTTCTGCGAGGTCTTCTTCGAGCCGAGGATTTCTGTAACAAATAAAGACAATTAATAGAGACGTCGTATCAGCGATTTCATTGCAACATACTGGCATCAATCTTTAGTTCCACGGGGAACTCCACCTTCTTCAAAATCTTTGTGCACCCATCAGAGCGGTAATCAAAGTACTTTAAATGCAATATCAGGACGACGGGCAGTTTCTCCAGCGTCATTTGCTGCCAGGCCACCACCTCCTGCTTGGTCTTGCTGCCGGTGACGCCCTCCAGCTGATCGCGACCCACCAGGATCTCCAGCGCCTCCTTCACGGATGCAGCTTTCTATAAGGAAAAAAAATTCAGGAATGTAATACATATTTAAAATCTAAATTTCCTGAAGAACTAGATATTTTGAATTGTTTGTGCCCACTGTTTAAGAGAGAACCTATTAAATAGGATATTCTCAAATGAAAAGCAAAGCACGTGCACCAACCCCAACGTCAATAGTGACTATCGCCAGAACGGAGACAGTCACCAAACGTAGGCGGGGTCGGCGACATTTCATCTCCCACGAACGTAACACAGACGCCGGCTGGTTAATGGTGCCGAAGTGTCTGTTGACTTGTCTGTGGCTGGGCTTTGAATGATTTAGTAGCTATATATAGTAGCTGTTCAATATTAACAGCATTCAGGGATCTCAAACAGACAGAACATTTTAGACATTAAGAGTTGGTAACTTAAGATTCTTCTTATCAGAACTACTACTCTAAATTTCACTAAACTCACTTCGATGTTTAATTGAAGCGTAAAGAAAGGCTGAATCACATCCGTGGAGTGTTCTCCCTCTCGTTGCAGCCGGGAACGCAGTTCTCCTCGGAAGATTTCACTTATGGGAGTGCGTCCGAAGTCGGTTTGGCGGGTGACACTGCCCTTGTTACGATTGTTGCAAATCATCTGGTGGGACAAATATTTAATTAGTTTAAATTAAATTATGATTGCAGCATTCACTTACCTGCCAGACATCGCCGCCATCTTCTGGCTCTGGTGGCTCCTGACCATTTTGCTGAGAGGTGGGTTTGTCAATCAGTTTAATCACCTGCAAGAAAAGGCAAAAGCCAATGAGTAAATTGTACAATCCAAAGATTTAGATTTATATTATCCACCTCCAACATCTCATCGTTGAGCTTGTTTAGCACATATCCCAGAAATTCCTCGGCATCTTCCTGGCGACCTTCGACATGCTCCTCGCGACTGTCGTTCCACAACTTGTAGATATCTGTGGGTTCAAAGGCCATGTCGCATTGCAGATCTGAGCCAATAAACTCATCCTTGCCCTTGCTTTGAGATCCCTTGTTTAGGTTGTTCAAGCGCAAGCGCAGTCCGCTGGGTAGCGATGAAAAGTTGGTCATAAAAGACATCCTATAAGCGGTAAAAATAGGAATTAAAATTAGAATATAGTTTTATCATAGACATCATATCGAATAAATTAGCAAAAAATTTTAAATTGTAATTAAAAGTGTATGTGACCGCTTCTGCTTAGGAAATCCATTAAATGAAGGTCCTCTGCTCAAAAGTGGGGCACGTGCACCAACCCCAACATTCACCAGCTTCCGCCAAAACGGAGGAAACCAGAGATTGCAGACGGGGCTGGTGGCATTTCATCTTCCACGAACGTAACACAGACGCCGGCTGGCAATTGGTGCCGAAGTGTCTGTTGACTTGCCTGTGGTTTGTCGTTAAATAAATTCCAGGCAATAAAAATAGACTAACCCCATATTTTTTTTTACTTCATTTTGAGAAATGTGCAGTTAAACTATGTATACTATTCCTAGTTTTCAATCAGAAATGTAACTGATCAAATTCCCTATCTTAAATAGCGTTTTCCATTACTTACATGGCATTCACCGTGGGCGTTTTGACCTCGCTTAAGACAGCTGCCTGCTTGGGAATGGAGCGCAGCAGGTTGTAGAACGGCGAGCAGCCGAGCAGGGCCTGCAGGATCGAGTTGATGTAGCAGTAGTTGGACCTGTTGGTCAGTCCCCGTGGACGCAGGCTAATCGCCGCCAGGTTGGTCTTGTGGCGTGTCAGGTACTCGGCGTACTTGTTGGTCCACTCATCCAATTGTTGCTGCACCGGACGCAAAGGTTCCGGCTTCAGGGGCTTGACGGAAGCGGAGGCGGGACTGGGAGCAGGAACAGCCTGAGCCGATGCTGCCGAATAGGAGAGTGCGCCTGGGGTGATCAGCGGAGTGATTGGCGCCGGCACAGGAGCTGGCAACTGCGACTGCTGGTGAGCCGTGGGCAGGGGCAAGTTCTGCGGCGGTGTTGCCTGCTGAAGAACTGGAGCGGCAGCTGCCACTTGGACTGGCTGCGGTGGAGCCAATTGGAGCACTGGTTGTGGTTGCTGCTGCACAGGTTTGCTGGCCTCATAGGGCGCCACCTTGGCCACGGGCTTGCTACTGGCAAACAAACTGGCCCACGAAAGCTGGGCACTGTCGCTGCTGTTCTGTGATGCTGGCGGGGCAGGTGGGGCAAGATTGAGCGGTGGTTGCGGGTTCGATGAGGAACTGGAGGACACCACGGAGCTCAAGGCCACGGTTTCATGGCCCTGATGCTTCTTAGTAGCATAGGTGCTGTACGATTTGGTTGGTGGAGCTGCTGCTGCTGTGGGCACATGTTGCTGTGGTGCAGGCTGATGTTGCTGGGGTACAGTCTGCTGCTGCTGTTGCTGCGGGGCAACTACTGGTGCACTAATGTTGCTGGTCTCCTGTAGGAATTGATTTGGGGTAGCCGTAATGCTGGCCGTTGAGGTAGTTGCCGTTGTGAGTGCCACAGGCGTTGCAGTTGCAGGTGCTACTGGCGGTGGGGCTGCTCCCTGTTGGCTGTTTTTGCGCTCCAGCGTTGGCGCTGTACTGGCCACTGGCGATGAGGGCACCTTCATGGTGCCGTAGTTGCGCACCTGCGGCTGATTGTTGCTGCTGCTCGAGCTGGTGCTACTATTGTTGCTGCTGCTGCCACCGCTGTTGTTGTTATAGTTGCTCTGATTTTGGTAGTGTTGCTGCTGCTGCTGGTAGTGCTGCTGGTTGGTGAATGTCTTTGTGGTGTGACTGTAGTTGGATTTGCCCGCCGGGCCACTTGCAACACCCACTCCCGATCCATTGTTCACACTATTGGGCGAAGCAGTGACCGAAACCGATTGTGTGGACTTTTTTGTGCTGGGCGGAATTGGTCCAGGACATCGTCTTGGTAGTCTGGATGCCTGTATCGCTGCTGCCGTGCTGATGGTGATGGTGATTGTACTCCGATGAGAACTTGCGACGTACCTGTTGCTGCTGGGATTGATTATATTGCTGCGGTGGCTTGCGCTGGGGCTGCGGTTGTTGTTGCTGCTGCTGTTGCTGCTGCGGGATTTGATGTGGCTCATGGTAGCTGGTCTGCTGCGGTGGTTGTTGCTGCTGCTGTGGCGGCACCACGACCGGTGATGTTTGCTGCTGCTGATGTTGCTGTGGTGCAGGTTGATGCTGCTGTTGCTGCAGTGGTGGAGGCTGTTGTAATTGAGGTGCCACTGTAGCTACTACAAGGTTTGGCACTTTTGTTGGAGGTTTTTCGACTTGAAGCGGCGGTAATTGTTGATGTTGCTGTTGCTGCTGCTGATGTTGCTGCTGTATTTCTTGCTGCTGCTGTTGCTGAAGCTGCTGTTGTTGTTGCTGCTGCTGCAATTGCTCCTGTTGTTGCTGGTGGAACTCCAATTCGATTTGCTGCTGCTTCTCCTTGGCCAACTTTTCTTCCAAGGCCACCTCGTTGTTGTTGTTTATCAAACTCTTGTCAACTGCAAAGAGCAAGAAAGTAAATTACAATCAATAAAAGTTTTTACTCTGACCCTAAATGAGCATTTCCCAGCACCCGCTTTTGAAATATGAGAAGAAATTCAATTGCCGCATGCAAACTAATTTACAAAATCATCATAATTGATGCCAATTGATGCTAAATGCTGATAACTTCAACAAGCTCCGAAGGAATGTTGCTGATGGCAATGAGCGCAAAACAAAAAGAGTTTTTGGTAGCCATAGGCAATTAATGCTTAATTAAGCCCTTAATTGATTTGTTATTATTTAAAGTACTGGGGAATTTTACAAGCAATATCCACAGTAAACACGGATAAAGGCCAGCTTATCTTTGTTCATATATACAGAGCAGATCCAAAAAGAGAGCATACCCCTTTTTTTTCGATCCCATGGGGTCGGGCATATATAGATAGTCGAAGAACTGCCGCAGGCATTGTTCTCACATGTCCGCTTTTCTGCTTTATTTGTACTGATAAGCGGTCCATCGATTGCAGCTATCAGTGCAAATAGAAAACATAACTAATCCATGTCAAACTCAAGTAGGGAAAAAACAACACCAGAGTAGTAGAGAGTAGACCTTTTTCGACGGCAAATTGTTATTAAATCACTATTCGATTGGCCTGTTGCTAGGTGTTTGAACTTCGCACTCGACCCTGATACGGGGCACAAGATAAACGGCATTGCCAGCAATTCCCGATTCGATAAGGCCCACAAAGTTGAGCCGAAATAAGGTTACCCCAACAACAGAGGAATGGGAGTCAACCCCCATGTGATCTCCCATCCCAGATTCAATGCAAACAGATCGCTCCCTAAATTATTCAAAGAGGATGGGACAACATTCGGATATGGATTCAGATTATTATTGCAATTTCAGAGATATAAAATGCAGTATCTTTTATTATTGAAATAAATAAATCGATTACACATCCCAACATTAATTTCATGGAGCAAATAACAATATTATTTTTGTACATGAGAAAAACAGTAACATTACAACATCGTTTTTGCAAGCGAAAATATTACTCAATACAATTAACAATGACAATACATAACTAATACAACAACTAGAGGAACAACTTTCATTATAACGAAAATATTGAATAAATTATGAAATGATAATATTTTGTAATATTTTCTTACTTCTCCCTTATTTTAAGATTTTATTTTGAAATATTCATCTTCTGTACTGATGACTTGGCTAAATTTTAAATAGTCTTAATTGTTATTATATGGAATCAATCTAAACATTTAAACCACTAAAAGTTAAAACTCTATCAATGGCTTACATACCTTACCGGCCTTCCTTTCTCGATTTTTAAATCCCTTCAAGAAATGCCTTAAAAACTGGGAATTTATTCCTCGATCGAATCTCAGCTCACAGACAACTTTCCCAGGGCAGTCTGTACTTGTTGTTATCATTATTATTTATATCTATTCGGCATTTTAAACGTGCTAAAACTGGTGGCATATCAAATATATTTATACAACTTCTTTTGATTCTTTGCCGGGGAATTAGCTGACACCCACTAAGTGCTCTCAAAGCGGGGCGTTCAAATCGGCAATTTCGGCAATTGGGAGGCGCTGGTAAACGCCTATTTATGAGATACATTTCCACCCCCGCCAGGACCCCGTTTAAAAGCATCATATGACAATGAAATCCCCTCAGTTTCCCCCTCACCGGAATTTCGAGTGTGCTAATTAATTTCAATTAGCGACTAACAAGCCGAGAACTAAGTGTGCGCGCAGCAATGTTATTCAATAAATATAGGTGAAATGGAGCAAATCGAGTGCAAATATTGTATGGAAATGTGTGGAGCGGCAGCTGAGATTAATGCATTTAAATAGTTGCAAATGTATAGGGGAAATCTGTGCCAGGGTGTCAGTTTGGGTGCAATAACAACAGCTTTTGAACGTGTTGCCATAACGATTCGATAGAGGGGGACGCACAGAGTTGGGGTTGTGTGAAAGAGAGATCCGCACTGTCACAAGGTTGGATGGATAATTACAGACATGAGTGCACAGGTAAATTGCAATAAGTTGACTGCAGCAACAAAAGCAAACAAGGAAATTGTCAGGCACGAAACAACAATATAATACAGAAACGCAGCGAGACTGTACCTAATTTCCATTTGTTATTCCATGTCCCATGTGATAAATGAAAAATCGACGATGTTGGGGGAAGAAGGGGAACCAAAACAATGTCAATCCATTAGAATAGCCCCCTCTTTCCGCTTTCGAAAAAACCCACTTGTCTTGAAAATTCCGCTTTCGGTTTCATCTGTATAACAGTTTGCCCGCCAAGCTTCATTAATTCAAATGAATTTGTTTTCATTCTCAAATTGCACTACATTAGGCCGCATATAAATTTGAAGAGACATTTAATTGAATTTTGGTAAATGTTTTCCCTTTTCTTAAATTGAAAACAAACATTCAATGAAAATGGGTCAACATTCGGTTCATTTACGGGCATTCCTAATGCCCCCTTGCCACCAGCCACTATTCATTTGTTGCTGTTATTGAACGCGCGATTTTATTCAATTTTTTATTAGCTAGCAACAGAACTTGGTGGAAAGGGGGGGGCATAGACCCGGTCTATGAGTAATTTACGCTTATTGAGCTTCGATTCGATCCGAGAGAGCTACAAATTGTAAACACGATATGGGCGCTTTTTAATTGAGAGAATCAACAACAAGCAAGAAACATTAGCCTTCCCGCCTCTATTTTTTGAAATATAGTATTAACCACAAATCAATTATCAAGATATAAATATATGATATATACGAAAAATAAATAAACGCCCACCATTTTAAGATTTTATTTTAATTCTCACTCACCGTGAACCAAAATTAGTTCTCGATATTAGCACACAGAAAGAAAATAAATTATGTTTTAGTTTTTTAGGGACATCATGCACTGATCTCAGATCAAATAAATAATAAACAGAATTAAAGATAAGTAAATTACCTGCTATCCAATATACTCTCAAGTAAAAAAATAAAGAAAATTTGTTATATTGATATAAAATTATAAAATGAAAGCAAACGTCAAACAAAATAAAAAAAACATTTTAGCTCTCTTTGATTCATAACAAAGGAAACTGGTCACAGAAGAAATAATTATCAGCATAAAAATGCTTTTTTGTAATGTAATTCTATGCCTACACCCCTTCCATAGGAAGTTATTCATTTTGTTGATTAGTTGTTAATCAGTACTCCGCAACTGAGTCACAAACAAAAATAAACGCAAGCCAAAGTGCGGTTAAAGTTTATTTTGGAGAACAAAGAAACCAGTATAAAGAATACTGCAATATATGCAATTATGGCACATATAGATAGCATGGAATTGTCTTTTATATACTCTAATTATACAAGCTTTGCACTTCTTAATATTTCTTTGAAGAATGTTTGATTTATATAGCCAGTAAAAAACGTCGTGTCGCACTCAAGAATTTATTGCACCCAGATGGGTTTTATAAATAATATATACAAAATGTAAAGAAAGTCTTTAGCCTAATTAGCCGACTAAGAAAACACTTTCAATGTGGAAAATGTATATTTTCTGTACCTTAAAAGCAATTGCATGTAGAGCAGAAAGCAGGATTGGCAGGATGGGGTAAAAAGGAGAAATTTTTATTTTGCAGCCCACGAGGCGAATGCGTAACGTGAGTCACACACATTCCCTTCATTCAATATTGATTGAACTGACCCGTATGCGATTTAACGAGTGGTCTCTCATCATGAAGCTTGTTCCCAGCACTTTAACTGTCGCTGCCCCATTGAAATTGATAAGTAATCTGCTCAAGCGTTGGATCATTGAATGGGGTAAGCAAGGGGGGACGGGGGGATCGGGCGATGAAAAACCATATACAAAACAAAGAAGAATGAGCACAGTATCCACCGCCTGGCAACAGGGCCAAAAACGAATTGTAGCAGCAATTCAATTGAATTCATTTGTGTCAATTTACAATAAATAATACCCAAAGCAAAGAAGACAAGCAGCGAGCAATTGGGGGCGGGGAAAAGCTAAAAACAATAAGTGAAATTGAGTGCGAACGAAAATTGCATAATTCTATGAGCCACGCGACCTTCGCCGCAGAGGAAAAACAAACAAACTATAAAGTTTTTGGTGAGGATAGAGGGTTTAAGGTTCCACCACCACCTTGCCTTATCGCCGAATTATTTACGAGTGGGCGGCTGTTGACGGTTTATTTGAAAGTGACTTTAAAGCATCAACTGATAAACATCGATGGTTAGACGAGAAATCCGAAGAAGTTAAGGTGAAGTGACAGCTGAGGAATTCAAGGACACGCGCTGAAATATATCCTTTGCCCAACGCCCACACACGCCCCCCGCCGCCCACATTAACATATAAATGCGTGTAACAGATTAAAAAAGGACGAGAACTCGCTTCAATGGAACCTGTAGATACAGTCGAACTTCTTTAAAACAATTGACCATTGAGTTCAAATGATATTACAGTTGATTGCTTAACTAAAAATTATCTTAAAGTCGAAAAAATAAATATTTTTTAGGTACTTGTGTACTTTAAAGTTTAAATTTCAAGACAAACTAAAGTTTTAAAAAAAATTATATAATATTCAATAAAATCACCAAGAAGCTAATATTTAACAAGAAAGGAAAGCTAACTTCGGGCAGAGCCGAAGTTGATATACCCTTGCAGAATACTCTGTAAATTATATTCTCCAAAATTATTCATATGATGCATTCTTAATACTCATAAAAAATCCCAACTTCCTAACTTTAAAAACACCTAAGTTATGACACTTCCAATCGTTCAGTTATATGGCAGCTATAGGATATAGTCGACCGATCCTTATGAAATTCGGCATTTCGGATTGATTAGCCAAATATAAAACCCATACCAACATTCTAACTTTACAAACACCAAAGTTATGGCATTTCCGATCAATCGGTTATATGGAAGCTATAGGATAGTCGGCCGATCCTTATGAAACTCGGCATGTCGGATTGATTAGCCAAATACAAAACCCATAGAAAATCCCAACTTCCTAACTTTACAAACACCAAAGTTATGGCATTTCCGATCGTTCAGTTATATGGCAGCTATAGGATATAGTCGGCCGATCCCGGCCGTTCCGACTTATATACTGCGTGCAAAGGAAAGAAGGGTGTGTGTAAAGTTTCAATTCGATATCTTTAAAACTGAGAGACTAGTTCGCGTAGAAACAGACAGACGGACAGACAGACGGACAGACAGACGGACAGACGGACAGACGGACATGGCTATATCAACTCAGGAGGTGATCCTGATCAAGAATATATATACTTTATAGGGTCGGAGATGTCTCCTTCACTGCGTTGCACACTTTTGACCAAAATTATAATACCCTCTGCAAGGGTATAAAAATGATTGCTAAAAGAGAAAGTCTCTCTTAATGCGTTTTTAAAATTTCAGACTTATTTTCGTCTAAGTTTGACTGTAGCTACCAGATACGCGACGTATCTGACAGATACAGAGGCCAGGCTCATCGGAAAATACATGCGATGCATACCAAGCAACGCAACAAGTTGAGCGGGCAAAAAACGGCAAGGTAAAACAGGCAGTCAAAGCAACAAACTGCGTCATTTTGAAAACACAATATTCTACAAGCTGTATTTTTGTATCTGTCCCCATGTATCTGTATCTGTATCTGTCGGAGCAATGGCAAGGAAAGCGTTGTCAGCGTAAAAAAAACGCTTAGCAGCCAAACAAAGCGAGAAAAGCATTGACTGCACAACACGGCGTATGCGCAATTTTCATTTTCATTAACAAAGAAAGCGCGGGGTCTATGAGAAAGGGGGGTGGTCTTAATGGGGTGCTGCAAAAGAGGTGGGGGTGCAATAATTGAAGAGTCATCACTGGTTCATTCAACCTTTAAGCAACGAGGAAATAAAGAAAGAAAGAAAGCTCTTGGCCAGCTGGAAAAGACTTTTTATATTCTCGTCTCTGTAAAGCACTTTTTTCTCAGAAAAAGATTGAATAGTTCAAGGATAGTTTATTCATTACTCAAAGTGAACATCCCTGACAGTTAAAAAAATAAGGAAAACTTAAATAATTTAACAAATGTAATACTTAAATAATGAAATAAGTATTGAAAGTATTTTAATATTTTGTGTTTTGTAACAATTTAAAGTTTAAACTCAATATACATTTTATTAAGAAGTATTAATCCCAACATGTATGACCGTATTAAAAAAGGCTTTTAAAAATTATAAAGTAAATATTTTTTAATTTAAATATAATTTTTTAGGAATTACTTTGATTAATTTTTTCCCATGTACTTCTCTTTATTACCGACATTCATCTTGGGTGCTTTTGATTTTTTGGCACAGACTGCGGGCCGAATTCTGTTTTAAATGGGGCAGCTAATTCACAAAGACACCTGGTGGAAGCGCCCACCAATCCGCGCCCTGCATTCATCCCCACCCCCTCGATTACAGTAACCACTGAAAAACTTTTTCCACGTGTCGGATGTCCCAGTCGTTTCCTCATTTTCCCAAACTCCTGTGTAGTTTGCATTTTGTGCCCCATGCATTTTTAATGAAAATTCTAGCCACACGCATTGCGGTATAACAGTTTTGCTGCGATTACCGCTATTTCGTATTACATTTCAGTTTAAGTAAAGTCAAGTTAAGCGTAATTCGCTGGCACACACAGATTGTTGGCCAAGATTGGAGGCGTTGGCCATTTGAGTCCCACGTAATGCCATAATAACAGGGCAAACAAATTGAGTTAGGGAAAACGGAACAGAAAAAAATTACGGAAAGTACCGGAGGAAGAGCCAAGTGGCGCCCTCTAGCGTTGACCCACAATATCGGGTAAGTGTATGTGTGCCGAGGGGTTTATGTTTTCTCTGTGTTCGTGTGTTTGACATGGAATTTTTATGAATGACATTGACCAACCACCCAAGAAGAAGAATAACTGCACACATCCCTCCCCCTGAAGAAAAGAGAGTGTCAAAGAGAACGTGCTAGACCGTCGGAAACAATCTCTTAAGACATATCTCCGCAACAACAACAAAAGAAGTGCTAACCAAGCCGAAAAACTGTTATAAACCAGAAGGCGAAAAAACACATTTTTACGATTTTACGACATGGCAACAGTCGACAAAAGTTGATAAACAAAATCACTAAAATATATCTCAAAAGGCCTTCTTATCAGCTGCGTGTCGAATGCATTTTATTATTTAGGTGAGCCAACTGTTAAGATAATGCGCGGATTATACAATTTGTCGGCGCCTAAAAGGCGGCAGACAAAAATAACACTTTCACCCAAGCACTTATTTCAAGTAACAGTAGGACCTCTACAACTGGAGCTTTGGAAAATAGAGTTTTTGGACTTTACATTATTATTCCTTCTTTTTAAATTGTGGTTCGAGAACAAAATTTAAAATTTAAAGAAGGGTGTTTTAAAATGAAAAATTGTGGAATTCTATAACAGTTTAGAATTATATTTTGTTTAAAGATAGTATTGAAGCAAAAACAGTATTGTATTTGTACATAAATACGGTTTAGAATTAACTTAATACCATTGGCAACATGAAATCTTTAACTTTTGTCTTCTTAGAGAAAAAAGTACATAAGGTGATGGAACAGAATATTTAATAAGATACAAGGTGTCCTGTACAAAAGAGCGTGGGTTTTTGAAAAGTAAAAGTCTTTTGGGGGACGAAAAACAGTTAACCTTTAACCTAAATCGCCAGCAAAGAGCAACAGTTTCGGCGCTCTTTGATATTTCTTATGGTGTTATACGACTGTTATACGATAGAATAGTTAAAACGGTAGACATGTGGCAAGGCGGTTACCGGTTTTTCAGGCTTTACTTTTTTAAAGCAAAGTAACGAAAAGACAATAAAAAGAAGAAAGACAAAAAGACAACCCTTAGGCAAACAAAGGGGGGTTGTTTGTCTTGTCTCTCTCTGTGTTACTCTCTGTCTCCCTGCGATTTGTTTTTGTTTCAATCAGCTGTTTTTTGGGGGGCCAAGGGAGCGAGCGAGAGACCGCCAATGGAGCTTGCGCTCTGTGAGCTTGAACTTCAAATGCACCGAGAGAGAGATTGAGAGAGCGAAAAAGAGCGACCGAGTGTGTTTTTACAGAAATTTAGAATTTGTCTTTGTATATCGTATAACAGTCGCTTTTTGCTGCCGTTACGAGGAATTTTCATTTTCATTTCACATTTCGCAGCGAACGGCGCAGCAGTCCAGAACAGAATCGGGCAAATATTAATCTGTTTATACGAATCGGTGATTGTTAATTTTTCGCCAGATTCGCAAAAAATCCAATGTCGCTAAAATGCAACTGCAGCTAAAATATATCGAGTAGTGTGCGTGTGTGTCTGCGAGTGTGTGTGTGCTCTTTTTATCGATCACACGCTTCGCACTTCCCTCCTCCTTTTCTCTCACCCACTCTCTCCAATCAAATTTCAAAGCTGAAAATCGGAAAATTATACAATTGCATATTCGCAATTACGACGTATACACGTACGTACAGCACCCCCGAAAAAAAAAGCTAAGGCAATTCACAAAACGCAAAATCAAAGTCAGACGGGGGTAAAAACCAAAAGAAAAAGCAAGGAAACATCTAAGAAAATCTAAGGAAAACAAACATTTTCTAGTGACCTCAGCTGCAGCTGCAAGTGCAAGTTAAAAATATACAAACAAAGCGGAAATAACCGAAAAAATAAAAAGCACAAACGCAAAAACCGCAAAAAAAACAGTAACGTTTAAGCTAAAACCAGCACAAAGTTAAGCTAAAATTGGAGCCATAATAACTATTTATTTACGTGGTTATCAATTAATATTTACTTAAATATAGGCAGCCCACGCCTCTTTTATCGCTTGTGAATTTATGAATTTATCAAACTAAAACGAAAACAAAAACTCAATAACAATTGACACAAGCACACCAGCACACAACTGCAGTGGGAGAGCGAGAGAGTGAAAAGAAAATAAAAGAGAGTGCCAGATAAACTTGGGTTCTCTTTTTGCTTCGGCATTCGCACGCGGGCAGCGACGCCAAGCGGACGTTCCTCCTCCTCACCGCATTCGCCCGCTCCACATTCTCAACTCCACCAAAACCGCGTGTGCTTAGGAAACCCTTAACCCTTAACCCTCAGCCCACTAACCACCATGGTGGATATAAACAGTTCAAATCCTGGCAATGCCGGTGGCAATTCCGCTTCATCTGCACGCTTGAGGAGATTCGAAAGGACAGACAGTGAGTTGGCCTGCGAGGAGGCCGCCCGACTGACAGCCGAACAGAGTCCCGAGGACGAGGATAATCAGGACAATGAGGAGGAGGACGAGGATGAGGAGAGTGTCTACGGGGAACTTCCCCCTCCGCCGGACGGAGGATATGGATGGGTCATCTGCTTCGCTAGCTTCATGTGCAACATGATTGTGGATGGCATAGCCTACACGTTCGGCATCTTCCTGGAGGAGTTTGTGGCCTATTTCCACGAGGGCAAGGGCACAGTGGCCTGGGTGGGCAGTCTCCTGTCCGGAGTTTACCTTAGTGCCGGTCCAATAGTCTCCGCCTTGGCCAATAAGTACGGATGTCGCGCTGTCTGCATAGCGGGGAGCATCATCGCCTGCATTGCCTTCGTTTTGAGCACTTTTAGTACCAACGTGAGCATGCTGATGGCCACCTACGGTTTCATGGGAGGATTCGGCTTTGGCATGATTTATCTTCCGGCCGTCGTAGCCGTGGGCTATTATTTTGAAACGAAAAGAAGTCTGGCCACGGGAATTGCCGTGTGTGGTTCCGGTTTTGGCACCTTCGCCTTCGCCCCCTTGGCCACCTATCTTCTGGAGGAATACGGCTGGAAGAACGCCCTGCTCATCTTTGCGGGTCTAATCCTCAACTGCGCCATCTTCGGAGCCATGATGAGACCCCTGACCTATCCCAAGAAGAAGAAGCAGAAGCCCCTGATGCAGCGAATGTACGAGGAGAAGCAGTTGCAGCTGGAAAGAGGTTCCTTTGCGGGTTCCCATTTCATGGTGCAGCTACCGGATGGAACCATGGAGCGGAAGCTCAAGATGCCACTGAATGCGGATCCCGGCGTCCATTCCAGCTTGAATCTGGAGCTACTGGCTCAACAGGCGGCCGGCGGCGGAGGTCTGCACCCCGTTTCCACCCTGCCCACCATCACGGAATCCAAAGTGGTAGATGTTCATCGGCAGAATGGCGCACAATCTCCTCCAAATGGTGACAGCAATGGGCAGTTATCGGCTCGATCTGCTGGACGTCGTCCTCATCGGAACTCCGAGTCGGAGAACAGCCCCTATCACTCGCAAGATGCCATGACCCGAAATGCCTCGCAGCCCGCCTTCCTAGCCGGAGATCACCAGAGTCTGCCCAAAAACGGATCCGTGCCATCGTTCACGCGGGTGAGGAAAACCTCCGCCTCCGAGCGCTATCAACCTTCATTGGCCGCCATTCGAGCTTCTTCTCGCGGGGATTTGGAGGCCGGAGCTGGCGGGGATTTCGCCACATCCAAGTTGTCACTCTCGCAGAGGCAGGGCAGTCAATCGGGCAGCAGCGGCAGGATGGTGAGACCCATGTCCCGCAAGGATATCTTCTACTCGGGATCCGTCACGAACCTGCCCCAATATCAATCCCAGAAATCCCTAACGAACTACAGGAACTCAGTTCTATCGCTGACAAAATATGAGAAGAGCATGCAGAGTGTGGCCAAACTGGATCCCTTGGCGGAGGCCGAGAAACACCGCGAGGAGTACGACCTGTGTCCCTGCCTTGGCATCCCGGATTCCGTGAAATCAGTGGTCAACACCATGCTGGATGTGAGCCTGCTGAAGGATCCCGTCTTCATGCTGATTGGAGTCTCGAATATCTTCGGCATGGCTGGTCTGTATGTGCCCTTTGTCTACCTGGTGGATGCGGCCAAGGAGCACGATATACCCAAGAACGATGCCGCCATGCTGCTGTCCATCATTGGCATCACCAACACAGTGGGTCGTGTGTTCTGCGGATGGGTGGCTGACCTGCCACAAGTGAACTCGCTGCTGCTCAACAATTGCTGCCTTTTGGTCTCCACAATAGCCGTGACTTTGACCCCATTGTGCTACAGCTATTCGGCCTACATCACCATGTCCATATTCTTTGGACTGGCCATCTCGGGATACATCTCGCTGACGTCAATTATCCTGGTCGATCTGCTCGGCCTGGACAAGCTCACGAATGCCTTTGGATTGCTGATCCTGTTCAGAGGATTTGCCGCCCTGATCGGAACACCCTTGGCGGGAGCCATCTACGATATTACACACACCTACGACCTGCCCTTTTACATGGCCGGTGCCTTGTTCGGGATCTCCACGATAACCAGTTTCCTGGCGCCCTGCCTGAAGAGGTGCAGTCCCGCCGAAGAGACGCCCGTGCATGTGGAGACCCTCACGCCCATCGACGAGGAGCAGGGCGAGGATGCAGAGGATGAGGACGAGGATCAGCCCATCACCATAGTGCCCAAGATCATCAAGACATTGGCGAGTCCACAGCAGGAGGAGGGACATCCGCAGTTCCCCCAGAAGACAAACGAATCGAAACTCTAAACGGGTTACGGCAAGATGATGAATTTACGGGGCATTGCGGGGCTCAAGAAGATCCGGTGAGATATTTTTCTATTTACTTATACAGCAGAGGAGAAGATCAGAGATCGAGCACACCTATATACAAAGAGAAGAAGGCGGATATATATAGCCAGCCCCATACCATATATATATATACCTTTAAGCCTAGGCAACAGCGGAGGAGATGCGATGCGGAAAATTCACTTTTCTACCAGGAGAACTCAGCTTAGCTTGCGATAAGATATAGAAAACCTTCGGCTATATATAAATTATACTACGCTCATAAATTACCGATCGAAAACTGATACCGATCGTTGGTAGATTGCAACTGTTATACAGCAACCACAAAATATTGTAAAGTAACTTCTATTATTATTATTTGTTTGTTAAACCCTACGATTACTATGATTACCATTATGATTACTATTAAAGATTATTGTGTACTACTACTACATAGTTGTTGGCCAGCCGTTATAAATGTGTCATACCGTAGAGATATAGCGATATATAGCGTGTGTGTAAACTGTAAACTGTAGCTAAGTAGAAGTGGCCCGATTAACTTAAATGTGCAGCAGCAACTATTTCGAAATTTCGAACTAATAAATTGTATATTTTTTAAGAAAGAAATGAAAAGAATGCTACACAAAAAAAAAAACTCAAAAGCGAAAACACAAATGAACCGCGTTAAGAACTAAAATTGTTTTCAATTTTACACTAATCATTTAGGTGGCAACTCAAAATACAAATTTACGGCTCATTTTTGTAAGTTACTAAACTAAAGTCCAGCAACAGAAAACAGAAGAGTAAATGAATTTTTAAGGCTTGTATGTGTCTGTTTTTTAACTATCCAAATAAATAGCCTAGTAGCTACGAACCATAAGCAATACGGCAAGTGCAGTTCTATACAAACGAAATTGTTCACGCGGCTAACTAATTAAACAGTATATAATATGTACCACAAGAAATATTCTAAATCTGTTATACGCATAAGGACAGGAGCAAACAACAAGTGAAAAGTGAAAGGGAAACACATCAAAAGTAACATTTAGAACAATAAGTGTTGAAGGAATGAGAAAAGCAGCCAGAATAGTAATAAAAGAAATTGCCATACATTTTAAAAACTGTAAGAAACTGTACTTTTTTGGGTGTGTGTATTTTTGGGGAATACGGTTTTTCACTCCACTCCAATTGATGGAACCAAATTGCATTCAAAAATGATTACCTTCACAACATTCGGTTAATGGAACAGCAAACATGGACTCTTTGGATTCGCTTCTATTTGATTAAGTACGAAATAAGTACATATATCAGAGGTAAATCGTGAAAGCCTCAGCACAATTATAATCTCACAGGGAAAGCGTGTGGCGCTCTAAAAACCATCGATCAAAAGTTCGCCTTGGACTTAAAATATTGCGTTTATCAGTGAATTTGAAACCCCTCCGGTGTCGCTAAAAATCAGATCATGGCGTGCTTCGCGTAAACCCCGCGCCCCAAATGATTAGGCTAATCAATGGGCAGCAGGGGAGTTATGGCTGCACTTCAGTAACATTACTAATTTTAGGGGACCCGGGGGAATAATATCACCTATCAATCTAGTCTGTGGACAAACACTTGGCGGTATCGCCTCGCTGTTTATATGAATTCCCGTCGACAAAGCCAAGTGCTTCGAAAACAGCCATAAAAGGAAAACCTCGGCTAGACGGACCCCGTTCACACAAACCCAGACATAGATACAGATACGGGTACAAATCCAACTGGAACTCAATCAGTAGACCTCCTCTCTGTTACGTGCGATATTCCTGGCTGTTCCCTGTGCATTTAAACACAAGAGGTAATAAAAATAACACTTAAATAGCACTCAAATATAGCTGAAATGACCATAAATCAATCAAAATCTTGTAACCTGCAATGTGTGTTGAGCTTTATGTGAATTCTATGAAGTAATCTTTATAATTGTCTATACATAAATCAATTATCGTTTCCTCAATGTCGAAGTATTAGCACTGAATTGTAAGAATTACATTGAAAACATCAAACATAAAAAAAAAAACTCAAATATGAGGTTGATCTAATAAATATGATTAAAATTGTCTCCTATTATTATATCCATTTGGGTATTTCATCCATTGGTAAAGCCTAGGATTTACTTACAAAATAAATGAATAGGCAATCAATCTAAATTTCTTTTTCTGTTTGTCAATTTTATTTCCTCCGAACACCTCTGAATAATACTTAAATTTGTTTATTAATTAGGCCGACACCTAGCAAATAAATTGCCCTGCCAGCCTTGGCTTAGATGAATCCCTTGCTCCGGCCACATGACACACTCAATTACGATTAGAATGCAAGTGGTCGAGACGCCTACTCCGGCATTTCCACTCAGAATCGTCCATTCGATTGATAAGCGTGAACAATGCACACACCAAACGGGCAAACAAAAAATAATAACAACAGTGAGCTGGACGGAAGCCACTTGTGCTGCTGATTAGAGAGTAGGTGTGTGGCTGGATGGGTGGGCGGTGCTGTTGTCGTGGGCACAACAAAGTGGTCAACAAGCTCAACACCTGTTGGAGACTCCACGAGGAGAGGACGATACGCAAAGTAAAATTTTATCGGAGGACAAGGGCTTGGCAACAAACAGGCCGAATAATTAAGGCACAGAAACTATGGCAAAATGTGTTGACATCAACGTTCTTCCCCAGAGACTTTTCAGCTATATACATCATGTGACACCTGAGAAGAGTATAAGCCAAGTAGAGAGAATATCATATAGTAAAAGAGAGCGTGGAAAGGCAAAAGTAAGCGAAAAACTGCATATAAACACGGTGGCCAGGCGTCGCAATCGAAGGCACGCCATGACAAATTCCAAAATACAACATGGAGAACGCTATTAAATAAGTTCAGAGCAACACGAACAGCAGATACTCTGGACATAAGTCCGGTTAAAAGTCCACAAACCGCTCTGTTTGAAATTATCTTTGACTAGTCGTGGCCTCGCTTCAAAACAATAACAAGATAAATCGAAAGTTATTTTATGATGCCGAGAATATGTGGTATGATATCAGGCTTTGAGAACTACAGTTTATAAGAAAAATATCCCTTGAAAGGGTATCATACAGAAAGAACAATTAAACCTTATCAGCGAAATCGAGCAATTTAAGTTTAGATTATAAATGATCGAGAAAACCACTCAGCATATAATTGATTGTAAATAATTTTTAATAAATCATCATGAGAAAAGTATTTAAACGAAATTTTTGGCAATTATTGCAAAGATTAAAATAAAATATAACACAAATCATCGCTTTAGTTTAGTTTAAAATACAATACTAACAAATCAAGTTTAACACACTTCTGATAAGTTATTGTATTGATAATCAACTAAGATGAAAATCTAATAACATTATTAGCAGCACTTTCAGCATTCTGATAAATGGAAAAATCAAGTAGTGTCATTGACCCAAAACAAGGAGATAAATCTAATGCTGATGATTCAGCTGAAGTATAAATTGTGCATTAATCAACTGCTGTTCAAAGTTGAAGATTTGCTTCATTGAATGAACAATTAATTCTTATCAACTGGCATCAAAGTAAATTAGAATAAAAACAACAACACAAACAATGGAAAATAGGAAATTAGTCAAAGTGCAACTCATCTCGAATTATAAATTCCAATTCCCAAATGGGTCACTAATCAATATTGTGCACTTACCCATTTGCTCCTGATGGGGTTGTTGCTGTTGAGGAGTTGGTGTTGGGGGCTGCGGAGGATGAGCCTGCTCGATTAACACGGGCGATGTTTGCTGCAAGATGTGATGCGGCGGGGGCAGCAGAGCTGGCTGGACGCCATCCGGTGCCAAGGGCATGGCAGCAGTCCAGGCCACCGGAATAGCGCCAGGTGGAGGAGCTCCGCACTCAGCAAGCTCGTCTTCGTACTAAAAAAAGAAAAAAGGGGATAAATATTATGATTATCTCATTTTACATCTGTTCTTATCCGGTTTGTAGTGTTTTGCGAACCATTTATCAAAGGTCAGTTGGTAGATATAAGAATCATTTGCTACTAAGCATTTAAAACCGAGAAAGAAATTGGTTTTGATGGATCCACTTACCTGCACAGGAACTGCTCCTGGGTGAATGGGCTGCAGGGCGGCTATCTGACCGTCGTCATAGATCTGCATCACACCCATCTGGTGTTGGATCTCTTGCATCTGGGGATCGTAGATGGGGTAATTCGGACTGAGCATGCTGGACGTTTCCGAGGAGGGCAGCGAGGAGCTGTTGTGGTTGAGCTCATCGACCACATGTGCGACTCCGCCATTGGGATGCATAGCAACCTGTTGCTGCTGCTGTTGTTGCTGCTGCTGCTGGAGCGCTTCGAAATCCTCGGCGAACATGGGGGCCGTGTGCCAGATTTGGGTCATTCCTCCATCCTGCTGAGCGACACGCTCATCCACTCCAGGCTGCCCAGCATCTTCCGGGACGAACTGATACTCAGACGGATGTATCATGGGATAGATGTACCCACCGGGATTGAACCACGCATGATTGTACATAACCGGACCGGAGATGAAGAGCGGTGATCCGGTGGCCTGTTGGGCAGCAGTGGGATTCGGAGGAGGCTGCAGATTCGCATGCTGTGGTGCAAAGTAGGGCGAGGGATATGGCCCGTAAGCGTAGGTATGTGGAGCAGGGTAGTACTGCGGCAGGTGCTGCATATGGGCCTCGGGCGGCGGCATCTGCTGACCAATCTGATCGGCCTGGAGTTGCAATCCGGGATTGGATCCATCCGGCGGAGGCAGTTGCTGCTGCGGCGGCAGGGTAATCAGCTGCTGCTGCTGTGGCTGCTGGAGATGACGTGGCCCGTGGTAGTCATTGCGTCGCGGTCCACCGCCACCACGAGGGCGACCGCGGGGACGCGGACGTCCTCCGCACATTCCAGGAGTGTGGGGATTCGGAGAGCCGCCCTGGGCAGTCAAGTTGATGGGCAAGGACTGCAGATGCGGCATCACGGTGTTGCCCTGGATAAATAATAAATTACAGAGTTAGTAATGAATACTCAGTTTAAATACTCTTTAAAAGTTATTAACACTAGGTGGGATTTAACAATTACGATCAGTAAATCGAGTCAAATCTGCCACCAAAATAGGTTCAACATAAGGAGACTTCTAGTTATAGAATCGTGAATGGGTATTTGTTTAAAATTATATTAGTAATTTTTATAAGGCTAATCCCTTAACTTGTTTGACATTCTGTACAACACAATTAATTACAGGCTTTATGGACATATGAGTGTAATGTCTGCTCTGCTACACACCTGCTCCTGCGGCATGTCGCCGTGCCCGATGTAGTGGTGCTGACCTCCAGCCTGCAGATAAGTGGGAACCCCGTGCGGCCAGCCATGCAGATTCACATTGGCAGTGACGTTGTTCACGTAGACAGCAGTGCTGCTGGGCGTCGGAGCGGGGATCATGGCCGGATAGTGGGCTCCAGCATGCGGATGTCCTCCATGGGCGGACATGTACACTTGTGGATTGTACACGGGCTGTCCGGCCGGAGTAAAGGCCTGGACGGGCGTCAGTAGATTGTTATTCCCGGATGGCGAAACCAGGTTGTTGTTGTTGTTGTTGCTGAGCGGACAGCTCACTCCAGCCGGCTGTGGCGTCGAGGGCGTTGAGATGGGCGTGGCTGCTCCGCCACCTGCTCCTCCACCTGCTGCTCCAGAAACCGCCGCCGTAGAGGCCGGCGTCGACGTGGGCGGCGCTGCCTGTTGCTGCGGCTGCGTTTGCTGTGCCATGGCCAAAAAGCCTCAGTTCGGAACTTGGCTCAGATCCTGATCGGTATTATTTGTGGCTTAATCGAGTCTCAAGAGTCGCAGCAGGCGCCAAACATTGAACTTGATGTTTGCTGTTAAGAAAGAGAGGGAAAACCAATTAATTATAGTATTAGAAGTAATATAAAATAGTTATTACAAGTAATTAAAGAGGTATTGATTGGTCTCAACCTTTTTTCCTTTTAAAAATATGAAAAAAAAGATCGGATCAATTCGTATAGAAATTCTACGTTTCGAAATATATATATACTATATATATAATACTCTAAGAGGTTCTGTCTTTTCGGAGCTCCAAAATTCCAATAAGAGGTTTTGGAATTCCAATTAGAGGTTTGGGAGATTCAAATAAGAGGTCTTTAGAAAAATTGGTATTATGTTTGGAAAGAAAGTTTAGGAGTTTCAGGCATTAAATAGCAACTGTTAAGACCTGCAAAAATACTATACAAATTTCAACGATGTAAGCATAAAAAAAGATCTTTATAGGGATTTCATTTGAATAAAATTATAAAATATATCAACTGCTACAAAAATACTAAAAAAAAACTGGAGTATACTTGAAGCGCAGCAGGTGTTTATTTTCTACACAACCCCAATTAAATACACAAAAGAATCGAAATATAAATCCAAATTAGCCACATCTGCGGGCGGCGAAGCACATTTTTTCCGTTTTCGGACACGGGTTAAATTCTAATTAAATGCAATTTTCATTTCACGCCACTCCGCGTGCCGCAGCCGCAAGACAGTCTGGCAACGCCGCACAGCTGTCGGTGTAATAAGAAAATCAAATAAACAGAGGAAAAGAGACGGGGAATGCGGATGGGGATAATGGATGGGGTGTTTTTAGACAAACACATCAAAACTACCAAATTAATCAAAACAAAACCAATACCGGCGATTTAAAATCGTATTTTCTGGTCAATTTGCATGGTGCCACACGCCGCCCGCTAGAGATGAGCATTCGATGGGATTTGCCGGCTCACGATAATATCGGTCACGAATGTAACAGGTTCAAAGGGCTAATTTGTCGGATTTACTAGGTTAAATTGTATATAGGAAGGGGGAAGTACGAGAAGTAAGTAGTTTTCTTTGGTTTAACGATTTGTTTGTTTTTGGGTGGCTATTTTAACGTATTTTTGCATTGTTTTTGAACAGTTGAAAATTACTCATCTCTGCCGAACACAACACACACGTAGTCGCACGCATTCACACACACACACATGGAGAGGCAGGGCAAATGAAAGAAATTGGAAAATAACTTTTGCTGGAAGTAAAATGCCTAGGTATTTCGAGTATTTTTCAGGGATTACAGAATAATCAGGGTCCAAGGTTTAAAGAAATTGAGTGTGCCGGGTTTTTGGATGCTTCTGTCGGAATTCTAGGGGTGGGGGGATGACTTTATCGAACGTACCTTTTGTTGAGTGGCCAATTGAAATCAATTTTGCAATTTGATCATATTTTATGCGTGCGGCAATCTCTCTCTTCTCTTACTCTCTCTCTCTCTTTCTCCGAGCGGTGCCACGATAATTCCGCAAGTTTTTACACGCTGCCTGCTCCGATTTTGCTGCTCCAACAAATTAACACTGAAACACGCACGCTCGCGGGGTCACACGTCACGGGGTCGAGAGTTTACCGGTTGGCACGGCACTCTCTCTTCGCTGGCGATCCTTTTTGCTGCGGGCCCACAAAAAGTTTTATCGTTCTTTATTTTTCGTTTGGGCCGAAGAACCTTTTCCTGCTGCCAGGGTTGTCGCACATCGATGACAGTGCGATAATTTGCGGCGCGTGCAATCGGTTGGATAGGGTGGCCACCCGAAACGTTATCGAAATATCATCATCGAGAACAGGTGGCAACGCTGTGCGATTGGGCGGGCGAATTTAAATGGCTTTATCGGTACGACAGTACTGTAAGTTTTGAAAATATATTGGAAAAATTATGTATTTTATTATAAAACAGATATGAACAAATGCTCTTAAAGTTTTAAAAGTAAACTGTTTAATAGGAATATCTTTATTAAGTAACCAAGGTTTTTACCTTTAATAGAATTTTTTTATTTCTTGAATCGAATAAAATTTAAGAACAGCTCAGAACGCCTTTCTTTCGCACCAAAAATTCCGCATCACTTTGATAACAAATAAATCATTTTATGCAGAAGAAATTTTAAAAATGTTGGAAGTATTTTCAAGCATCAAGCGGCTTTAATCCAATTGTGTTACAACATAAAAAAGAAAGTTTCGTCATTAAATACTAGAATTTTGGGAACTCTTATCAGCAGCTCTGAAGGGCAGTTTGCCGGTCAGCCACGCAAAATTTAGAAATTAGTTGATAAACGATCTCGCTCGGAGCAGTTGAAAAATGCTAAGGCTAACAGAATTCATTTTGTACGGATTTCTCACATTGTGCTTTTTATTTTCGGCATGGCATTTATGGACGGATCCTTTAATGTGCACCCAAGCCATGCGCCACTGGACACATGGACAAAATAGCACAAAACAACTAAGTAGAGTCCTGGAGAGGCTGGACAATTTAGAGGCTCAACAGAAGAGATTGGAAAATCAATTGGCAGTCATAAAGAAAGCTCAATATAGAGCAATGTTCGAACAGATCGGCTCCAGATTCTTCTATATTGAAAACCAAGTTAATCAGGATTTGCATACGGCCAAAGATACTTGTCGTCAAATGGGAGGCTCTTTGGCATCTTTCCAAAACGAAAAAGAGCTAGACGCCGTTATGGCAAAACTGGATCGCAAAAAAATGTACTGGCTGGTCATCAACTTTAACTATAAGAGGCTCGTATTTGAAGCCACCAACAAGCCAATAACACCTTTGGGCTTAGAAGATTACAAATTACCCTGCTACGGTTTTGTATATAAAGACAAAATAATTATTACCAATCCGTACAACCAAGTCAATTTTATTTGCCAGGCAGACTTTAGTTAAAACAATTCATCAATGATACATTTTCAGCATATCGTGCACAAATAATTAGGTATAAGTGAAATGGAAAATCAATAATTGAACTACAATGTAAGCATAAAATAAAATCTTAAATGCAAAATAGCAACATTATTACTTTTATGGCCTCTTTGAAATTTGTTGTATGACGAATTTTTATTTTCATGGGGGAATAGGTTAAAAATCGCCAAAATTATGATGACGTAATTTATGGGCAGCTTCTAGAAACAAATATGATCGAAATAAAGAATTTGATGCCAAAGTACTTTAATTCTCTGGGGACAGTACTGACGCCGGGTGACTATATATAAATTTTAGGAAATGTTTTTTTTCACATCTGGGGCCTTTTTTGATAAAGATAAGAAACACTTTAACTTCGACATTTCTGGGGATAAAATTACTTATCAGCAACTGTGAAAGCCAGACGGTCAACCCTGGAAATTGAAAAATATGTTCATTCAATCGTTTCCTCAGAACAACAAAGTGCTCAAAATCTGAATTGATTAATGAATTTTAATAAAATGTTTCTATTTCTTGAATCAAATATATGATAGGAACATCTTAGAACGCTTTTTTTTGGCTCAAAAAACTTTTATAATAAATAAATCATTTTATGCAGGAGAATTAATATTGTATTGTAATGGTATGAAGTAAACACCATGCATCTTTTTACTTGCAAATGGGTATATTTAAAGATCAAGCTGCTTTAATCCAATTGTACCACAACCTAAAAAAGAAATGTTCGTCTTTAAATACTTGAATTTTGGGAACTCTTATCAGAATTTGAACTAATAATTATTAAAAGCCCGAAAATATTAGACACACATTGTTTGCTTTTATTTATGCAATATTAATCATGCAATGAACATTATTACAAAATTCGCTGCACATCAACAGGGTTTCGATTTCGGCTTGCCATTAAAATATCTCCATCATTTTGAGTTGCGGGCTTCTGTGAGATTATCAACACTTATGGAACAAGAAACGTTGTAATTGCTTGGCTTACAAATAAACACTCAGATATATAATCGTGTAGGTACTGTTCACTGTCGGGATTAACACTGAGAGCGTAAAACTAATTATGTGTACGAACTTAATCCGTGTTCCGATTGCTTTTCATTGACATGTTTTCCATTCGCTGTTGACCAATTTCGTAAAACAAGTTGCCTAATCAGTCTTTACTATAAGCTGATTGTACTTTTTACAGGGTATGCACAAGTATGGCTTTTATTTGTCTTCGCCCTCGTACTTAGATCGTTGTGACTACACATCCTCGTTTAGATTAGCATTAACAGTAACCGATAAATAGTATTGATAACAACGATACACCCATAAGAACTTATTTGCCCAAGATATAGGCCCAGTAATAACGTGATATATCTCATATTTTAACAATAGGAAGACTAGTGCCCACAACTGCGATCAAAATAATAACTATGGTGTTTTATGAACAATTTTGAAGATAATATTTTATACGATATTGTTGAAATTGTGTTAAATAAATTATAAATTTAACTTATGAAATCATTTAGTTTCTTTTTAATAACTCACAATTTAAAAGTAAATAAGTAAATGATTGCTATCGAACTTCTCTTCTAATTTGTTGTGGCTTTAACCAGTTGGGAATTATAGCGCACTATTCAAAATGTAGAAAATTATACCTTCCACTTCCAAACCCCATTATTATATCGATCGCAACTGCAGGTATTTGTACAGTAACTTCAGTAGTTAAAGTTAATAGACATCGTTGAAGATTCGTTAGTTCATTGCTTAGGCCCGAGGCAACACAGATATTATTGCTGGTGTATGTAATATATATATAACACTTATCTAGGTACGATCTAGGGGTTATAAAAATAAACGACACGCACACGCACAAAAATACATATACAAACATCAATCGAGTTGCTAAAGTAATTGTCGATGGCCGCTGGTTAAACGCTATGAAGTGGGATGATATCTAGATCCTAGGGATCGTCTTTCTGCATTTTGTCAAGCTCGATGACCGCGGGTGGAGGTGTAGCAGGCGGAGGAGGAAGTGGTGGAGGAGGAGGTGGCGGTGGAGGAGCCGGTGGTGGTTCGTCCGCATCCATTTCGATCTCAATGGAGTTCTCCCGCTCCGTAATCTCCGGCATTTTGAGGGAGAAGCTGCTCAGTTTCCGTTCCGCCGATCCCAGCGAGCTCTGCGAGTCGGCCTTCAGCAAAGTGGTTCTCCTCTCGTTGATGACCCTCAATGAATCGTACATCTGCTCATCCGCACTGGCACTCCCGCCATTGCCGGCCAATCCCCGCTCCATGGAGCGGATGTAGAACACGGAGTCATCACGCTCGTTGGGCACCCCCTTCTTGGGCCTGTAGAACTGCCTGGAACTGTTGCTCCTGTAGAGCGGAGCAGCCACCGGCCTCTGATCCTCATCCTGTTCGCTGCGGGCGAGGGGCAGAAAGCCGGGACGCGCCTTCTTCGGCGGCAAATTGCTCGTGTGGTGCTGCAGCTCGGTGATCTCCTCGTAGGACGTCCTCGGCTGCGAGGTGGTCTCCAGCTCCTCCGACTGGTCCAGACTCTCCTCGGGCACAGCCGGCTCCATGCTGGATTGCCCCGACAATTGACGCACCGGAGGAGGTGGCTCCGAGCACACAGATAACTGGCTACTGCAAGGGAAATTAAATAAGGAATTATTGGAAATCAAAAAGGTATCCAATAGGGTAATATAATAAAAAACAAGAGAGAACGCTATAGTCGGGTGCCCCGACTATCAGATACCCGTTACTCAGGTAAAGGGAGTGCGAGGGAGATGGAGATAGAAACTTTGATCACGCATAACTTTTTAACGAATGGTCCGATTTAAAAAATTTCTTCTACATTTCGATAGGTATTGATAAACACAATAAAACTGCATTTTTACTTTTTCGAAATATTTAAATTTTTAAAATCGTATATAAGCGATTGTGGGCGTTAAAGGGGGCGCGGCACCTTGCGCTGCGTAGGAACTCCTAGAATCTGCATGCAAAATACCAATCTTCTAGCTTTTATAGTTTCCGAGATCTCAGCGTTCATACGGACGGACAGACAGACGGACAGACGGACAGACGGACAGACAGACAGACGGACAGACGGACATGGCTATATCGACTCGGCTAGTGACCCTGATCAAGAATATATATACTTTATAGGGTCGGAAACGCTTCCTTCTAGCTGTTACATACTTTTGCACGAATACAATATACCCTTTTACTCTACGAGTAACGGGTATAAAAAAAAAAAAAATTAGAGTACTTTACGTAACGTAGTTGCTCTACGTTATAAATCCATAAATCCATAAAAAAAATTTAATTAATAAAAAAGCTTTGCTAAAATGATGAAGAAGATTATAAAATAAAAATCTCTTTTAATAAATCGAAACCATTAAATAACTAAACAATGGCTTGTTAAAAAAAGGTTTGCCTAATGATAAAAATTTTTCAATTTAGTAGCTTTAACTGAATTCATAAAGTAAGTTATACATACAATAATCTTTAAACATCATTTAAAGGTAGTTAAATAAAGGTTCTGTGTGTAAATCCATAGAAGTCTTACCGAAATTCTTTCTCCACGGAGGGCGTGGCTGAAGGTCCGGAGCTGTAGCGCTTGGGGGATCGCAGTATCGACTTTGGCATCACCTCGGGACTGTGGAGATCCACCTGAACACGCCGGGATTCGATACTGGATGTGCGACTGGCGATGGACGCACAGCGAGCCGTCCAGCGGCCACTATACGAGGAGTCCGACATGGTCGAGTTTCTGTGGGAATGAGTTTCTTAAGCTTAGTTTAAAGAGCATTCTGATTTAAATAGTTATTTCTAATAAATAATATAGAACGTTTGATTGAAAAATGTTTACCATAAATTATATTTTCCCCTTGAGATTTTTAAGCTGATGTATATATCAGGGTATTAGAATTTTTCCCTCAAGATGATTACAAGATGTTTACATGATTTACATATCAGGGTATTTCAATATTCCCCTCAAGATGTTAAAGATGATTTACATATCAGGGTATTAGAATTTTGTATATTTCCATACGGAAAATAGTTTATATTAATTAAAATACCCTTTAATTTGATAATGTGAAAGTTTATAAAAAAGGTAAAATGGTAAAATTCATTACACAATTTTGTGTGTTTTATTAATGAATCTTTGAGTGCCTAGGATCTTTTCTAGCATGATTCAGTCTTAAATTAACTCCCTCATTATAAAGTTTTAAGTGCAGTTGCTATCCACTCACCGCCTGTGTCCCAGTGGACTGCGACTGTGATCCCGTGCCTCCTCCTGCTCGATGGGTCGCTGGCGGGCGAGGACGTGCCTCTTGGCCGTGTCCGATCGCTTGTTCCGCTCACTGCGCTTCTCGGCCCCGGAACTGATGCCCAATCCGGGCGGGGGATTGCTGCCCCCATCGAAGGAGGAGGCCTGCCAGTAGACGCGACTCGCGGCCGGAGGCTGGAGCAGGGAGCACTCCCTGGTGGCCCTCTGGATCAGGCTGGAGGAGTTGCTGATGATCCGCGCCGACGAAGAGGAGCCAGCTCCTCCGCCGCCTGCTCCTCCGGCGGGATTGGAACCCGCTCCCGAACCAGGTCGCCCTTGGCGCACCCGGCGCACACTGCTGCTCGAGGATTTGCGGTGGTGGTGCGAGTGGCGGTGGTGGTGGCGACGATGTCGGCGGTGCGAGCAATACAGTTCCCATTCCAGCGGCGACAATCGATTCAGTGAGAGCAAATGGCAGTAATTAGTGGCGGTGGTGGCGGTTGTGGTGGTTGGGTGGTTTGTGTTGGTGGTGGAGTTGGAGTTGGTGGTGTTGGCATGAGCATGAGGTCCGGACAGATCCGGAGCGGAGCCAGCCCCCGAAAGGCGGCGCCACTGCGGACAGAAGCGATTGGATGCACTGATGGTTGGTGGAAGCGGGATGCGGATTTCAGATGCGGATTTCGGATGCGAATTTCAGATGCGGATTTCAGGTGCGGATTTCAGATGCGGATTTCAGATGCAGATTTCAGATGCGGATTTCGGATGCGGATTTCGGATGCGGATTTCAGATGCGGATTTCAGATGCGAATTTCAGATGCGGATTTTAGGTGCGGATTTCAGATGCGGATTTCAGATGCAGATTTCAGATGCGGATTTCAGGTGCGGATTTCAGATGCGGATTTCAGATGTGGAAAGCGAGAAGCGAGAAATAGCCAATTGGATAAGTGAATTTCGATATATACAAATGAGGTGATCTTGGCACGATTATACCTGAGTGACCTGGAGAACTTGACTAGTTCGGCAGTGAGTGCCTCTCGGTCGAAGGGCTGCTGCTGGTGCGGATGCGAATGCGGATGCGGATGTGTGGTCGAGATTAGGGCGGTCTGCGGCTGCTGGTGGGGATCCCCCGGCGAAGAGCGGAACACCCCGAAGTGCTGATCCCACCTACTCGACTGGTACTGGGCCCCTACAAATCGAAGAGATTCAATTAGTTGTAATTGTATTTGTAATTAATATGAAATTATAAGGCTTCAAAATTAAAATAAATATAATATATAAATATATATAGTAGAAGGGGTAAAAGTTTTACGTTTTCTTAAAAAGTTTAGTAATAGACAAATATAGAAAAGCAAAGAATTCTATTGTTTTAATGTTGTGTAAGACCATATAAACTTTTAATTCTAGAGCTTTTATAGATTACTTTTAAAAATGTTATTAATATTATTATTATCCTTCTTTCTAATACAATTCAAATAAATAACTTAAATGTAAATTAGGTTGACAAATTAAAAATTTAAAATATTTTATGACTATAAATTTTAAAAAAGTCTTCTTAGAATATGATAGGGTGCATTAAAGATCTATAAAGATTTTAAGGTCGTCTAAATGAGTTACTCTAATTTTCAGTGGGTTTTAAAGAAGAGTTTAATTAAGATTGACCAAATCGATTGGTTTAAAGGCTACTGATTGTATTTCTGGGACTCCCTACATAGCGCCCTGTTATTCCCACCCCCATTTAGTGCTCACCCATCCCGCGTCGCTGGGAAGCGGAGCTGCCCTGGTTGCTCCTCGAGGGATTCTTGCTGCTGCCGCCTCCTCCGGCCCTCAGTCGGGCGGGAACCACTTTGGCGGCGGAGTCGCGGGCCTCGAAGGTCATCACGCAGGAGGCCACCACGATGAAGCCGCCGAAGCCCATGACAATGGGACCCACATACGCGAAGTTGTTCAGGTGGAAGCCCTTCAGGTCGTTCTTCACCCGAACGGTGACATTGCCCCGCAACTCCGATCCCATGGAGAGGTGGTCCGCATAGTAGCCCAGGGTGGCCATTCCCGCTCCCAGGAGCATCAGCGTCAGTCCCAGTATCAACGCCCGGCAGGCGTGCCACAGGCACTTCGAGGACATCTTGCCCCGCACCACCTGCACGTTCCACGTGGCCCCGGATGCGGGATGTGCCCGCCGCAGGTTGCCCAGCGAGTGCTTCCTCTTGGTGGTGCCTCCGCCACCGGAGCGACGGGATGGCATCGCGACGGCTCCTCAATTCCTTTGGCCCGACTCGGCAGTCATCAATGCCCACTCTGAAAATCAGATAATACACGGTCTGGAGTTAGAGATTTGACCATATTTTTAAGAAACGTTTCCTTTTATTCAGAAGAATTACAAGAAACAGGCAAAAGCCATTAAAAAATATGTTGTATACTTAAAAGGTGTGATGAAGAATTTTAACAAAATACAGAATACAAGAATGTATATGATTCAATCATCAACTGCTCCCGAAGCAGTCTAGTCACTGTTTGAATATAGTCGTCTTTCGAACACTTTTAAGCCCATAACTTCTATATCAGACATCCGATTTTGGAATAACAGTAGTTTAATTCTCTAAAAGTCTGTGTTCAAATCATTGTTTGTATATTTGTTTCAATTTATCGTCATTTCAAAAATTTTCGAAAAATGGATTTGCAGAAAGGTGTCAAAAACTTGTCCATTTAAGCTGAAACTAGTTCTAGGTTTACTTGAACATACATGTATTTTAACAGCTTTTTTCGGACGGATTTACTTCCTATTTAGAAATAACTTTTTATGCCATCAAATATCAGGTGGTTAGATTGGAAGCACTCATCGATGGATGGCAGCCACCCGTTGCAGAACTCCCAGGTGGCCCAGGCGGACCAAGTCTGATGGCTGAGGACCTTCCGGGCGCAACGGACGGACTCGGTGATGTCGTCGCTCAACAGGGCGTCGCAGCTCACACCGCACACGTTGGGGGACTGGCGTCCGTGGGCCTTGCACCAGTAGCGATCGTTGATCTGGAAGATGCCGTAGTCGACGGAGCCGTCGGAGTTGGGAGGTCCCTTCACCCAGGTGCGGTAGTCGCTCTCGCGCTGGGCAATGCAGGTCCACTTGTCCAGTTGGGAACGGGGCACGCCCATTCGGTCCATCTCGCGGGCCAAGGAGCAGCGGTCGAAGGTACGACGAGCCTGGGCAGGAGTGGCCACAGCCAGAGCCACCAGAACTAAGAAAGCCTTCATGCTGCTTTGCTAAATCAAAACGGTTTGACTTTCTGGACTCGTACCATGGGTATTTATAGGGAATTATTTGTCTGGCATTTCGTGAATGTCTATCTTGTCTAGATAACAACAAAGTCAAATATTTAATTGAACGCCTTCGAAAGGTTCAATCTTATTTCTAAACAAGAAAGAAAGCAAACTTTGGCAGGCCGAAGTTGACATACCCTTGCAGTTATTACAAATGGACTACATTTCGATTTCTATGCCTATATTACTAAAAACAATGAAACTGTGTCGACTTTGCGCTGCATTTTGCCATCGTTTCTATGGCAGCTATATGATATTGTTGTCCGTTTTTAATTTAGTTAAAACCGTAATTTCATAATACTTAAATATTATCAAATTCCAAAGAAAAAAATTAAGAAACACTTTTTCGTTCCGACTTATATACTACCTGCAATAGAAAGACAACTTTTGGGAAAGTTTCAAGTAGATAGCTTTAAAACTGAGGGACTAGCTTGCGTAGAAACGGACGGACGGACGGACGGACAGACGAACGGACAGACGAACATGGCTAGATCGACTCTCCTGGTGATGCTGATCAAGAATATATATACTTTACAGGGTCGGAAATGTCTCCTTCACTGCGTTGCAAACCTTTGATTGAAATTATAATACCCTCTGCAAGGGTATAATATGATTTATTGTACTAAGTTGACAATTAAAAAGCAGCGCGCTAATCAAATAATGAATAAATAAAGGCTGGCAGAACAAAGGTAATTGCCACTGATAAGGAAATATAAACTACCATGAATATTCGGTATATTCTGGAGAAAGATAATAACCTTGGAACGCCTATAAACTTATAAGCAAAACTAAGGTTTAAGTAGGGATATGTGTCACATTTCCTGAAATCAAAGGAATCGATCGAGGTCCCCTTTCCTTATTTTCGAAAAATGGCTTTCCAGAAAAGTTTCCAATAACTGCACATTTAAGCTCATAACTTTTCTTACATACGTTCAATTTCAAAGTGGCATATTTCAAAATGATTGTGGCTTAATTCTGTAAAAATATGTATCCTCATCTTGGTTTGTATTTTTGGGTCGATTTTTCGTAATTTTTATAAGCTTACCCCTTTTCAAATTTTCGAAAAATGGATTAGCAGAAAAGTGAGTAAAATCCAGCACATCTAAGCCCATAACTTTTCTTACAGACATCCGATTTCAAAGTGGCATACCTCAAAATGATTGTTTTTTAATTCTCTAAAAATCTGTGTTTTCAGTTTGTTTTGTATTTTGGGGTCGATTTTCCGACATTATAATGATATTACCCCTTTCCAAATTTTCGAAAAATGGCCTTGCTGAAAAGTCACCTAAAACCTGCACTTCTAAGCTCATAACTTTTCTTACAGAAATCCGATTTCATAGTGGCATACTTCTAAATGATTGTGGTTAAACTCTCTAAAAAACTGTGTTTTCAGTTTGTTTTGTATTTTGGGGTCGATTTTCCGTCATTTTAATGATGTTACCCCTTTCCAAATTTTCGAAAATTGGCCTTGCTGAAAAGTCACCTAAAAGCTGCACTATAAGCCCAAAACTTTTCTTGCAGACATCCAATTTCATAGTGGCATATTTCAAAATGATTGTGGCTTAATTCTCTAAAAATATGTATCCTCATCTTGGTTTGTATTTTTGGGTCGATTTCTCGTCATCTTTATGAGCAAAAAGGCAAATTTATTTCTTAACATGTCTTCTTAACATACCTAGAATTACGGACAGGTAAAAATATGTTTTGAATTATTTACCTAGCTACATTGGTTTTAATCTTCGAATATTTAATTTTTCTAACAGCTGCAAGGGTATATACACTTCGGCTCCCCTTCATATTTTAATTTATCCTAAGGTGGCATGCCGCAATAATGTTTTGTCAACAATTCACTTTTCAATTATTCTCATTACGTATTTCGGGAATTACCTTCCAAAATTCTATACTTGGTTAAAAATCGCGCATAAAGTGGTAATGTATTACAAATAATAATGTTGCAATGGGGAAAAGGGGAGATTTTAGGCGTGCCAAGCAGCTCAACACTCCCACCTCCACACCTGTTGTCCGAGGAAGGTCACCATGCTCTCGGCTGTTTGCAGAGCAGGAGGTGGCATCCAGGGGGGTGGATTCCGGAGCAGGAGAGGGAGAACCCGAGAGGAGGACGAGGTGGCCCGCCGGTGCAGCCAGCGAATGCCGAACAATTAAAAATCCAAGGCACAATGCCAGCGACGAGAATAGCTGAAGCGGCTGACAACCGCGTGACGGGGCTTAAAGAATGGCCAGAAGAATGGCCGACACTCCTTCAAGGACCCAGAGTCGGCTAAAGCCGCAATTAAAGCCAAACAAAACGCACGAAAGTCTGATAACAAGGACCTCTATTCCCCGCTTTTTTCACCGAGTGCGGTGCTTGACACGTTTGCCTCGAGAATCTGCGCGGCTCAAATTTAGACATCTGATGCATTATTCAGCCAACACTCGAGTTAATTGCAGGTCACACACTCGCTTTTTCTGCGATATCAGGGAAAAAGTTACGCCGATAATTCAATAATTTATGGTGATTTAAAATCTTACTTTGCGTAACGACAATAAAAAAATTGTTTAACTAATTTTTAGGAATTTTGAGACAATTAAATCAAATTTATTTTCACAATACATGTATTTCAACGTTTATCAAGTTATTCTTTTACCAAAGCTTTTTATGCAGCCTTGATTATTTCTTTATTTTGCCTGAATTGAAATTCTTTTTTCTATAATTTTAATTAACAAACATTTCAAAGTATTTTAAACATAAAATATGAATCCTACTATGCTTTGTCGAGGAAGGAATATATTTTATGTGAAATCATTCCAATGAAAAATGAATGCAAATGTAAACTTTTGAGGATTTTGAACTTGAACTGAAACCGCCCTCTTCGCTTAAGAATTCAAGGTTAAAAATGCTTATAAAAATTATACTTGCATGCAAGCCAAATGCCACATTTTTGCATTACATGTATTCTTAATTTTTCAAGCATTTTTTGCGGTTTATTTTTGCTTTTGTGCCTGAGTTATTTTCACTGTAAAAGTTTTTTTTATTAGATTTATGAGTGCTTGGCTGTGAAATTTATGCTGCGTGATTTATGAATTAATGAATGTGCATTAATTAAAAACTTTATTCTGTTTTCGAGTCTTTTCAGGATGATTCTTTAAATTCTATTCCTATCTTTAAAATGTTTAATTTTGTGAAAGACAAAGGATATTTCACTGTTAGACTGAGGATATTTCACTGTAAGACAGAAGATATTTCACTGTAAGACAGAGGATATTTAACTGAAACACTTGCCCTAGAATTCTTTGATTGCATACACTCTATTGACTTAAATGGCAAATTAATGCATAATTTATGCAAAAGTAGCTATCAGATTACAATTGCTAGGACACGTGTGTGTCAGTCCTCAATCAGGCACAAAGTATCCTTGAAATCAGGGGAATTTCACGGGAAAACGCTCGGGGCTGTGTGTTTGCCCAGGGAGTCTAGGACGAACGGCATTTGATGGCTTACTTGTTGGCTCGTTCTTGGAATTCCTTGGCTGCTCCTGTCGATGTTGATGTTGCTGTTGCTTTAGTCCTGCTGCTGCTGCTGCGAGAGCCTTTTGTGTGACCTAAAAGCAGATTTGCCTTCGCTCCGTCTGTATGTATACTGGCGTGTGCATATATTTTCGCGACTTGGAGTGTAGGACGGCCAACATGTCATCGTCGTTGCCGCTGGCTTTTGAACTTTGTGGCCAGCATCCTGGCTTTCTGCGGATTCCGGTTGATTGCTAATTGAGAATGTGATTAATTTTCACAGGTGACAACGTTCCCGCAGGCAGCAGTCAACTGTGTCCCCATTAATCCACTCGATTGTGCCAGCTGTGCGAGACGTCTGCACACGAGCAGCTTCCACGCGCGTCTGATAAGACGAGGTCCTTCTGAAATAGCAGAGCCACAACACAATCATCCAATCATCCCTCTTGTTATCCACCAGGCCACTGCTAAAGATTGGTCTAAATGTACAGTGGGGATTCCTTCGAAGGAACCCAGTTTTACTCCTATACTCTAAGCTGAAGAGAGAACATTATGCCAGTCCTTACTGTGCCCCAAATAAATAGCGCCCTCTGTTGTACTTCTTCAATCAGGTCTGTTATATTTTTATAGTGTTGCTATAAAATGTATCTATTTTTATAGCCATTTTATGGATGACTAGAAAGAGCTTGCACATTGAAACTGACTAAAGCTGGGAGGTACAAAACTATTTGTAGAGCAAAAGGATATTGTATTATTAATATTAATTTAAAATCAATAAATTACTGTCTAGAAGTTAAAAAAATGTTTCCTTGTAATTGAAACAAGAGATCAAATAAATTTATTTACAATCTACCGGATCGATAGACTATATCATATATAGGAATAATAGGGAAAATATTTCTTAGCGCATATCCATATACTCCGAGTTATATTATTTTTAAGCAATTCCAGAAATATACATATTTATAATAAAAGTTATTTCTTGAAAACTGATATAAAGAAAACAAAATATTTCTTGGTAATTAAGATTGGACTATAAATAACAATTTGTTCCTACACTCAGACTGATTAATTTACTTTTTGAATTCACTTGGGTATTCTAATTGGTCTTATGAAAGTATTTATAAGTGGAAAAAAGCTTATCAACAACTCTACCGTCAGCACATTTATAAATTTAGAAATCAGTTCTCTAAAAACATTCGTTGGCAGCGGTTGCTCACATTTAAAATGCACAAGTCGGTCAGAATTTCTTTTTACGGATTCATTATCCTGTTCCTGTTTTGCCAGGCTGAGCCAAAGGATGACAGTACTCCAGTGTGTTCACTGTAAGACCCAACGGTCCAGGGTGCGCCCTATTGCACTTCCTTTTTATATTCTGTGTATGATACCAATAGGAGGATGCTTCAAAATTTGTGGCTTGAATCTCAGATGGATCTGCGCCGGATGGAGAACCAACTAGAAAATATAAAAAGAACACTAACTAACCTCACGAATTCATCGAAGTCAAAGGAAGTTAACTTCGCCAAATTCAAGGCGATCGATTCTAGAGTCTTCTACATCGAGAACGAAATTGAACAAGATTGGGATACTTCTGCGATGACTTGTCATAAAATGGGAGGCTATTTGGCTTCCTTTCAAACTCAAAAAGAGTTTTATCATGTCAAGGCGAAGCTCCCTATGACAAAAATTTACTGGCTGGGCATTATTAAAATTAACAATACCAAACAGTTCATAACTGTTTCTACCAAAAAACCTCCAAAATTCAAGAAGTTCTTTGCAAAGAATAATTGCTGCTCACAAAACTCCTGCTTCGTATATGTACATAACGGAACAATTGGTGTTACGCATCTCCCGTTCAAGGCTCAATTCATTTGCCAAGCAGATAAGCTTTAGAGAAAAACAATCTTTGATAATTATGTATTAATTAATAAAATAGCCTTTTGGCACACAATAGAATTTATTTTACAAAATGTATTTAATCTTGTGTCTTTTACCTCCGTTGGTATAATCAAAGGATCCTGCAAAAGCTTCTTTAAAAAATGTTGTATGTACCATGAAAGTAGTGGAAAATTGATTAAATAAAAACAATAAAATTATTTTTATACTTTTGGTACACTTTTGCCTTCAACTATAACAACCTCTTGACAACTTAAATAAAGAATATGAATATTTATAGAAACGTACGTTCTAGTTATTTAATAAATTTGAATTTCTTATGATAATTTTTGGAAGTTAAATCTGAGTGCCTATATACTGCTTGCTGACTACTTAATACTGCTTGCTCCGAACCCAATTCACCACCTACAAGTCCCCATTTAAACTCCGAAAGGTAAACCCACCAAGGGCACAAACACACCACGAGCGGGGGTAAAAACTCAACGAAACAAGGACATGCGCAGACCCACTTAAAGAGAGCATCCTGTGGGGAAGCCGAGAAGCCAGGACGAAAGGCAGACGAGCTGCGAACAGGACATTAACAACAACTGGGTCCAAGTTCCTGCCGCGACGTGGATGGCCAGTCATTGGCGGAGTCTTTAGGCGCGTTGACGTTCTTCGCAAGGAGCCGGATGCCGAATTCCGATATCCCGATTTCGACCAAATCGGTGTCGTCCTTTGTACGAGATGCAGTGATTCCCGTTCTCCCTACGATTTGCCACCGCCTTCGTTTCGGTCCATCTGAAGAATGCATGAGGATTGAAACTTCTCCTGGCTAAATGCATTCTCCAACTTCCGTTTCCTCGATCCAATCTTAATCCGTGTGTCCTTGCCCCCATGTGCATATTATAATCGGGTGTGTATAAGTCAGTGTCGGTGCCCAAAACTGTGTGAATCCCGAATATATATTACCAACAGCACTAAAGTGAAACACATCGCAGTTCTCTTAACGATCGTTCCTAGAGCACATATTAAGTTAATCAATAAGGATATCCCTGCCATATGTGAATTAATCAAGTTGATATTTACGTGACTTCAGAGCGAAAAGAAAGAAAAAACAAATGTCCAAAGTGCGTGAGGCGACATAGGTGACCCCAAAAAAAAAATGAAATAAAAGAAAAGAAAGAAGAAAGCGAAAATAGAAATCGAGTCCAATGCAGTTAGTTAGAGCCGACTACTCCAGATTGCAAAATGCGTTTGAATGAACCAGCTGAAAAAACGCGACCCAGACTAAAACCAACGATAGCAGGCAATAAGTTCGCATCATCGGGTGACCTTCACCTCGAATGTTCCACCCACAACCTGGTCAGGCTGCTCCTCCTCATCGCAACGATCATGGGCGGCGGATTCGTTCAGGCCAAGACCATCTACGACCCAGTTAACAGGATTGAGGGACTGCATCCGCTGGTGGAGCCATCGTTGGACTCCTCGAAAGTAGACCAGCCCACGACTGCTGCCACGCCCACTGCCGCCCCCCTCCAGGTGTCCACGTTACGGAGTAGCCACGGTAGGTGGGCGAATAATTGCGAAATTGCCAGTTGCAAGTTGCAAGTCGCCTATGCGGTTAATGCATAATTATATAATTGGTTTTCAATTATCCTGCTGACTCAATCGGTTGGCAGTCATTATTGTCTTTGACTGGTGTCCAAAATACATTGCACAATTTCACATGTTCTTGGTTTTACCACTCGTCAGGTTAACTTTCTTTAGCACTGACAGTTTAGAAAGGAGGTCAACACTATTAGGGTTATTCAAATTTAAATAAAGGGGTTATTATTTAGAAATACAAAGTGTGCTCAATTAAGGCCTTAACTGGTGTTATTTTAATGATAATTTACATCAGTCTACAGAATGTTTAGGGGCCTTAAAATATCACAGTTTTGGTTAGACAAAAAATGAAAACTTGTGAGTTTTACAATTTTTTAAAGAGGTCAATCTCAACTTTACTAACTAATTTTCTTTTGTTTATCTTAAAGCAATATTTATGGGTTTTATAAACGTGGCTTAATTTAATACAAACATTGCAAGTGCTGTGTCCCAAGCCATAATTTATTTATATTTATGTACATGGTTAAAAATTTAAATTAAATATCAAAGGCTTTAGCTATTTTTTTTTGGTTTGAAATTCTCTAACATGTGTTTCCAACCTAAACTATGCATAATTTAAAACTATAACGAAATTGTTTAAATAAACCTAATTTCTTCTTCGTTGCATAGAACACAAAAATTTAACATTTATGGATAATTTTTTAATATATTCCTTGGGAAAACACATTAATGGCTAGTGATTGCCATATAGTTATTTTTCGTTTAATTGTTTTTTGAAGTATCAACATTTTTGTTTCCAGTTGCCTTAACATTTGGTTGGCCAATGAAAATGTTGCATCCCATTAAAATCTAATCTTTAAGATTTATGTCAGAAAATTGTCTAATAAATGGAAGTTAAATAAAAACAATGTCCTAAACATTCAAGCTTCATAAATACAGATACACAAAATGTTTAAGTTAGTTTGAAAAATGTGTCTATTGAATTGAGTTTAGATTTTTATTCATATTCGTGTTATTTAATGTGTAGTAGTAGTAGCTTCAATTAAAAGATATTAAAATTAAAACCACTAGAAACTAATTAAATCTAATTAAATTAAATAAAGACGTATTTATAATTAGTGAAACTTTAATTCGTTACGGTATTTATCCATTACGCAAAACATTCCAGCCACATTAATGTTATCAAAACCTTCAAACCATTTGACTTTGATAAACACCAATGCATCCGATGACCGACAAAATATTTCTTTGTTGACTTTGGGAGAAGCAATCCAAACATTTGTCTAATCCCAGTGGGTTTCAGTGTACTCGCAATGAACAAACAAACTCCCCCGACTTCGCATTAGCATATAGCATATATATATATATATATATACAGATACACACATGAGTGGTTGAGCCAAGTCATCAATTCTCAACTTTCTCTCTTCCCCCAAAAACCACGAAACCCAGATTCGAATGAAATCGATAACTCCTTTCCAGCGGATGTGCCCGAGGATTCGGATGACTCGGATTACGCAATCCCAGAGGGCCAGACCTCCTCTTCGCCGATCCTCGCCCAGGATAGTCCACCCAAGGGCCAGGATCTGGAGTCCTTATCCCTGCAGTCGGGATCGGGCACAGTTGCCCCAAAGACACAGTCCGATGCGGAGGGACGGAAGAACTCCTTCCAGCAGATTGGCAGCCAGAATGTAAATGCCTTAGTGCCGGTGGCCACGGTGGCCACCACTTCCTCCGGCAGCTCGTCCAACGCCTCCGCCCTGGCCACGCCCACGGAGGCGGCGCGGAACCGGAGCACCGGCCATGTCCGCAACTCCGCCGTCAAGGTGGACAGCAAGCATCCGCTGTTCAAGGGCCAGAAGACGGATGCTCCCATGCTGAACTACATCTTCGACACGTTCTCCTCGGCCAACAAGCACCACCACCACGATCAGAGGTGAGTTTGTGCCGGGGGCGGGGGAGGAAGAGGGGGTAATCCTTCCGAGAGGATTGGGTACTCATCTTCCCGATGACCCGCAGGTATGGGCCCCACTTCGAGGATGTGCAGCGACTGGGCCAGGCCACCAATCTCACCGTGCAGGCGGGCTCCAGCATCCACCTAAACTGCAGGATCTCCTTGCTGCAGGATAAGACTGTGAGTTTTGATGGTGGTTTCAAAGCAACTTTATTTAACATTATTTAAAGAATTTTGGTAATTTTAGTTTTATCTACTCGTTAAAAATATATAAAAAGTACGTTTTCTTTTTCGTGCGTAGTTATATATATAGATGGGAATTTAGAAAAAAAAAGCATTTCCATTACGTGCTTGCACTTAAAGCGAAAATAAAGAAAAACACAATTAATTTCAGTTCTGAAAATACTTACTATACCTTCTATTCTATATCATCAATTTGATTTCGTGCAGTTTTTCATTTTTATGATGGCTACAAAGAACTAACACAAAACGGAAGTGGTTTTTGCGGGCAGCCATTCAACTGCCGTTTTAATTAAACCTAAGGCTATAATTTAAAGCGACTAATTTAAGAAACTTTTCATCAAAAATAATAGTTGAATTTTACCCAAAAATGGTTAAAACATTTGATTAAATTTAGTTTTAGGTTTTGTCGCTTGGGTAATCTTCCAGAAATGTGATTAAATTATCTCTTAGGGTTTTTTCCCTGGTGGAATTACTATTTATCCATCGAATTTAAACTCATTAAAGCAAAGGTTCATAATGACATTTTGTGTGCTCTTTAAGTTACACTATAGTTTTAAAGCATAAAATACGTTGCTTTGTTAAAATCCTTCACTGCAGCGATCTTACTTGTTTAATATACTATATTTTATGATTTTTTTATAAAGTTTGTTCTTTCTATTATTTTTAAAATTTAACATTTTGTTACTAATTTTTTCTTAAGGGTTTTATTTGCCTTGTAAAATAGTTTTTCCCTTTAATTTTATATCTTGTGAGTAAGTAAGCTATCCAATTTGTTAAAATCAAATACTTAGCTAGTAGATGTGGCTTCCTGAATTATTATTTATCGTGAGGAGTGTTGCTTTAACTATTTGAAATCCTCTCCGTGAATAGGTTTCTTGGGTGCGCCACAACACGCAGGTCGAGGACAATGCCCTGGACCTGCTGACAGTGGGCATGCACACGTACACGGGTGATAGCCGCTACAAGATGGAGTTCCAGTACCCCAACAACTGGCGACTGAAGATAACCAACGTGAAGAAGGACGACGAGGCCATATATGAGTGCCAGATTTCGACCCATCCGCCCCGCGTCATTCAAATCAACCTGCATGTGAATGGTGAGTGGTAAACCATTAAATATGAAAAGGAGAAAATTAAGGAAAGCAATTGCACAGCTCCGAAGGTGATGATTGTGGACGAGGTGGGGGATCCGCTCCAGGAGAAGTACTACGAGATCGACTCCACCCTGCAGCTGTCCTGTGTGGTGCGGAATGTGGCCATGACCAGTTCGGTGGTCTTTTGGAAGCACATCGACAACATCCTCAACTATGACGTAACTCGAGGGGGAGTGAGGTGAGTGTGGACCACAAAAAAAATAAAACAGTCATCAATATAAGCACTACTGAAAACTTTTTAGAATACACCTAAATAATCATCTATAAATTATGATTTTTATGATTTTGACACTTTGTTTTACTTTGAAATCGATATTGAATATTTTTGAAAACTTAAAGAGTCGACTATTATTGAAATTCAAGGTTTAATAGAATAGAAATTGATAAGACTCGTACTTAAAAAATGCTGTTTGGGGTCACCTTTTTTCAAGCAATTAAAAGCTTGAAATGGAAATTATTTGAATGCATTAAAAACTAAAGCTTGAATAAAAACGCTTATTATTTTTATCATCAGCAATATGATTACTCCTGTGGATTTTGTTTCAAACAGAATTGCCTACAAAGGATGATCATTAGACCAATAAGAAATATAACTACTAACTTTTTTAGGTGTACCACAACAATAGTTAAAATTATTTTCCGAGGAGTATATAGGTAACAAGAATACCCTTTTTTAACCTTTATTTTTAGCGTCAAAACGGAACTGATGGAGGATGGAGCCAACTCGACGCTCTCCATAGCCAAGATCAGTAAAACGGATTCTGGGAACTACACGTGCTCCATCAGCGAGTTCCAGAACTTCACCATAGTAGTGCACATTCTGAATGGTGAGTGGGGGTACCTAAGTTACGATCAACCAATGGATGATCCATTATCCATTATCCTTCCAGGCGAAAGCTTTGCCGAACTGCATCATGGTGGTGCGAGTGGATGCCGGAACTCGTGGTGGCACTCGGTGGTGCTCCTGGCACTCCTTATGCTAAGTAGTTTAAGGGGGGAGTTTAGCTAAGGTTCCCGATTATTTTCGGTAGGTTAAGTGGGAGTAAACAAATTGAGATAACATCGTTTTTCCTGTAGCACTTTTTGTTGATTAATTGTAAAGATTCTGAATTGGATAGGGCAGTTATTAGAAATAACTAAAAACAAAAGGCAGCCTAAGTTTAACTGGCTATTATAGATATGTTTCTACGTCTATCATCAATTTGTACATGAGCAGGCACGCCTAGGATTAAGTATACTAATATAAGGTAGAGTATTTCGTACAGTACAGGAGAGAGGCCAACGAATTTCCCTAGCAGAATGTCACAATGCCAGAGTTAAGGTCTGGCCTAGATCTAGTTGATACAGGAATGTAAAGCATAGTGTAATCTAAGTCACTGCAAGTTCATTATCACGAGCGGGTCTGGCTTAACTGAGGCTTTTGCAGCAGCAGGGATCTGAACTCCTGTGGAAACTACTCAATGTTGAACTATTATAAAGTGCAATACGGTCATATACATATTATATACATACACACACACACGAACGAACGAAAGCGTCGGTCAAATGATATGTTAATAAATGAATACTCGTATGTATGCAATAATAAAGTGAACTATAAATGAGTGCTATTTGAATTCAAATGCGACCTGAGCGGGAAAAATCGATAGGCGCACCGATATATCGATGGTGGGATTCGGCAGAGCTGCCAGATGGTTGAATTTAATTTAAATTTTATGCTTATCATGCTTTTTATATTATGCACTAATCTACATCACTTCACTTCATACTAAGATAAACAACAGATATTAATGAAAAAAGATGCAAATATCGTTATGTCACCTTAAATAAAAAAATTATCTCCTTTACCATTTTTTTTAAACATGAAAAGCTTCTTTTTATCAGTAATTAAAGTTCATATCTATTGCAATCATTTTTAAACATTATAAAAATTTGTTTGTTTACACCAAAAAGCATTTTTAAATAGCTTCTAATAAACACATCCAAAAAACGCTTTCAACTAGATTAAACCGTAATACGACAATTAATACCTTTAATCTAATCGCAAAAAGTTCATTTGTGTTGATCTCTATTTAAAAAAAAAAATACATAGCTTTTTTAGACAAAAATAAAAAAGAAGGAAATATGTATTTCAGGCACTTAAACTTTAAACTTATTTACAACTTGGACTTGGCTTTGCGGCTGGCGAAATCCATGATGGCCTGGAAGAATTCCGGATGCTGGAACTGCAAGAGCAATTGCTTGCACTCGGCTTCGTTGGCTTTGAGGAGCTTCTCCAGGAATCCCTCCTTGATGAGGCGTTTTCCTTGGAGCAAAGAGTTTGTGGGTAACTCGGAGTACTGACGCAATTTTGGCCAGATGACGGAATCCAGTTCGTTGGTCTTGAAAACACGGGAAACAAAGTTGAATTGATAGGCCTCCTGGGCGGAGAGGGGTTCGTTTAGGAGCAGGGTTTCCGAGGCTTTGGAACGGCCCAGGATTAGGGGCAGCATATAGGAGGAACCACCTTCTGGGACGAGACCCAACTTGGTGAAAGGGGTGTGGAAGTAGGCCTGAAATTGTATTTACTGGTAAAACATAATGCAATACTGGGAAACCATTGAGAACTCACTGTTTCGGAACACCAGGCCACATCGCTCAATCCCACAATGGTGGCTCCAATTCCGATTGCCGGTCCGTTGACCAAAGCAAACACTATCTTCTTACAGTTCACAAAACTCAGAACCATGGCCTTAAAAGTAGCATTAGACTGTTTAAAGAAGGCATCGATATCATCACTCTGGGCAGATTGAGTCAAGTCATTTCCGGCCGTAAAGATATCTCCCACGCCGGTGAAAACCACTAGGTTTACGCCCTCGTCGTCGTTGACCTCGGTCAGAACCCGGGTCATCTCCTGGTAGGTGAACCTGTTGATGCAGTTCTTCTTTTTCGGGTTGTTGAACTTCACCACGAGCAGCTTGCCCTGCTGCTCCACAAGTAGCTGCTGGTATCCTTGGTACGACATCTCGGTGAAAGAGCTCCGGAATGATTAAAGTCCAATTAGACTTTCCTTCAACTAACTCTGATTGCCGGTGTTTATTGTTGTTAAATCAATCTGATTAGAGGTATTCACACGCTACTTAATTGATAAGCCTAAAGATGTGCGATGATTGGTGAACAAGTCACGTTATAAATTGTAACGGTCTAGGACTAACTGCTTTATTTGTTTTTATTTTAAATTATACCTATATTTGTTCATTTGTTCTCAACAATTTTTATCTTAACATAATATCTTAGACAAAAGTTTACTTTAAGTTATAAGAAAGCGCATTTAAAAGCATTTATTTAATGACTACCTGTACCATTGCAACTTATTTATTATTTTACTAATTTTTATTCCTTAAAACCAAGATCAATATCTTAAAATTATGTATATCATATTTAGAAGTGATTCTTAAAACAAAAATACTTTCAAAAAGTCGTTAACTGTCACCACTGGCAAGCGATATTACCATAGCTCGATCTGGCAACTCTCAAAAAAGGCGCCAACTTTCAAAAACCCGAAAAAGTGAAAAAAACATTAGTTTTATTTTTGTTTCGCTGTACAACATTCATCTTATGATACAAAAATGGTTATTCGCTAATTTCATCGATCACGGGCACGTTCTGCAGCTCGGAGCACTTTCGCTTCCACAAGGCCAGTTGTTCCCTCAGAACTTTTTCCTTGGCGGCAGCACGAGTCAACAGAACCTTCGCCTTTTGCAGGAGTTGCGTCTTCTTCACCAGCTGCTCTTTGATGAACTTCAGCTCCTCGTTGGCGGCGTCCTTTTTAAAGATTAAACCATTGTAATTAGGAAATAATATCAGGTATATTAATGTCTCGTACCTTACTGCGTCCACCGCATTGGCTGCACTTTGTTCGCTTCTGTAGCTCCTGTTGCAGAGCCGTAATCTTCTCCAGCGCCTCTGCATTCTGCTGCTGCAATCGCGTTGCCTCCGCTGGCGTGGAATCCGTGGAGCTTCTGGACTCCGTGGATCGTCGGCCATCCTTCAAGAACTTATTCTCCGAGCGCAGTTTCTCCACGAGATTGCGCAGCGATAGGATCGTTTGTTCCGCCGACTGACCCTGATTCGTGTTCACTTTTAGGCCACTGCACTTGCACAACTCTCGACGGGATTCGTTGCGAGCCATCTCTTCCTTGAGGGCCAGGATGTAGCTGGGGAAATTGGTAAAGTTTTAATATGATCCATAATAGAAAACCCGATCTCTACTCACTCCTCCAAGTGCTTGATCCTCTTCTGCAACCGATCGCTGCTGTCTCCCTGCCTCAGTAGATCCGAGTCCAGTTGCAGCTGGAGATTCCTGGCCTCCAGTCGGATGTTCTGCGCCTCGATGGCCTGACAGCGTTCCTGCAACTTCTCGAGCTCCGTGGTCAAGGCATTGCTGCCCCTGCCCTCCAGTTCCATGGCGATGATCTTGCGCTGCTGCAACTCAATGCGCGACTTGAGGGCCTCTATGAGATCCGCCTGGCTCTGGTCGAAGAAGTGGCCACGATGGCCGTCCTGCGGCTGGGGATGATGAGCCGGAGAACTGCACTCGCTACTCGGACCCGTGTACGTTTCCGGACTCTCCGAAGGCGATGGCGTGAACTTATTGACACCCACGAGCTGGAGATTCGGGCAGGATGGAGTGCGGCAGCATTTGAGGTTATTGGTGGAGCCACTACTAACTGGCCCATTCCTGCCCAGCTTAGACTCGAGTATTTGCTTGTCCTTCTCCAACCGGGCAATGGTGGTGCGTGCCGCTTGGAGGAGGGCTCTGGTCTTGTCCAGGGCCAACTCCGTCTCCTCCAATCTGGCCTTGGTCTTCTCCGCCTGCTGCTGATACCGCTTCTGCTTCTCCCAGAGCTGCACTTCGTTGGCACTCCGCGTTCGCTTGGCCTCCAGAAGGGTCTGCTGTCGCTGCAGCTGGCCACGTGCCTCATCCAGATCCGTCTCCAGCTGCTGGATGCGCTTCTGCTGATTCTCGTTCTTCACCCGGGCATTCAGCTCCGTCTTAATGGAAACCACCGGACGTTTAAGTAACTGCTGGCGTAGCGATTGACTCAGATCTCGGGCCTGTTTCTCCCGCGTTGTGACATTGGCCAACTGGCGACGCAGTGCCTCCATTTGGGTGTGGTAGATCTTGTTGGTGGCCTCTGTGCGATTGAGATCGGCTGCCAGCTTGGCTATCTGATCCTCCGAGAAATTGGAAGTGTCTTTAATAAAGCGCTGCTGGTCGTCCTGTTTAATAAAAAAAAACGTATAAATAAAAGTTTCCAAGATTAATAATTATAATTACATGGAAGTTCTTGAGAGTATCCATCAAATCCTTGATATGCTTATCTTTCTCATCCAAAAAGGTGCGTAGCTGATCCAGTTCGGGACTCACATTGCTCTCCACGGTTTTTTCACGCTCCTGGCTGAGTTTTAGTCTATTTTAAAAATAAAGGATTATTATGCCCTGTTATTATCTACATCACAACTTACTTGTCCTTCAGTATTTCCACTTCCTCCTCCCTCGTTTTCAGGTTCTTCTCAGTGTACTCCAGTTTGTCCTTCAGTTCCCTGACTTGTTTGTGAAGAGTGGGCACTTCCTTGAGCTCTTCGGTGTCCTGCTTTTCTTCTTCTCCTTCTGGTTCCTCGGTTACTGGATCTTCTTGATGTACTTCCACCTCTTCTTGGGGTCTCTCCACCACCGAGCTGCTCTCAAATAGTTCCTCGATCTTCTCATCCGTGAGTTCATTAACCGAGTTCTCGGCACTGGAGGTGGAATCTGTGGTTGGAGTACGCTCTAAAACCGCCTTGGGTTTGTGTTCCAATTTCCCTTTGAGCTCCTGAATCTCCGCATCCTTGGTCTTGATATTGAAGTTCAAGTTATTCACAGTGGCCCTGAGGGATTCGTTTTCAGCCACCTGTTTACTGATGGTCAGTTGACTTTGATCCCTCTCTGTCTGCAGGAGATCCTGGTACTTCTGTATGGACTGATCCTTCTCGAGGAGTAGAGTGTGGAAGGAGAGTATGGTCTTTTCCACCACTCCACTGTGGGGACTCTCGGATTCGCGACTCTCCGATCTGGAAGCCTCCAATTGTTTGCCAAGGACCTCAATGCGTTGGTTGGCCTCCTGAAGGCTATTAGGGATTGTGATCTTATACCTTTTTATATCAATTACTTATACTTACGTTTCCTGCATTTTCTGCAGCTCCATTTGGGAATCTCTCCTGGTCTCCTTGTCCTCCACTTGGACATCTGCAGTCTGAACGGATTGATTCTGCTGGCTGAGAATGCCATTTGTCTGGACTGCCGTCTCCGAGAGCTTCACTGCATCCTGATTCGTTTGAGTGGCGTTATCCAATAGTGGATGTCTTCTAAGAGGAGAACCAATGGGCGAGGATTGCCTGTCTATCAATTGGGCGGCTCTTCGCATGGCCGGAATAGGAGTCACTGCATCCGTGTTGGTCTCCACATCCACCTTGGATTGGGTTTGGATAACTCCATCGCCAAACAAAGCCTGAATGGTACTCCAGTGTTCGGTGTCGGTGGCTTGTCGTAGCCTCAATTCACCCAGTTCCCTGAGGAGCTCCTCCTGTTTGGTCTGAAGGACCTCACAACGCTGTTCCAAGAGTCGCGACTGGGTTTCAGACCTAATAAGCTTCACCAGCTGCTGGGAACTCTCCTCTTTGGGCGCAATCTTGGCCTGCACCACTGCGGTTACTTCATCGATCAGGGCAGTGTGATCTCCTAGCCGCTGCTGCACTTGCTCCTCTTCCAATCTGCGTTGGAACTTTTGATAGGCGAACACAAAATTGGTAAGGAAGACCAGTGGCGTAAATTTGGCATATTTATCTTTGAGCATAAACAAGGAATGCTGGAGAAATCTAAATAAATGGGAAATTAATTTAGGAATGCCTAACTGTCTACAGATATTACTGTTTTATACTTGTGCTTTATTTCGCTGTTGGTGCGCTCTTGTTGGAAGTCCTGATGGACTTGTTGCAAGGATGACTCGCTGGCCACCAGTTGGCTTTGCAAAGAGTCCGCCTTCTGCTGCAGTTGCTCTCGCTCTGTTTCCAAGCGGGAGCACTCAGTTTTGACTGGAAGTTAATCTTATAAGTAATATATAACTTTTATAGAAAGAAAACTAAACTTGCCACTGTCCAAATCCCTCTGCACCTTGGCCAACATTAGTTTCTCATCGGAACTACTCTGTAGATCAGCCACCAAATGTCGCAGGTTAATGTGGTTGTCAGTGATCTCATTGAGTAACCTTTGCTGGGAGTGAATCTAAGGAGTAACAAGAAATTATAGGTAAATTGGATGACTATTAGCTGGAGTGACCTACCTGTCCATTGGCCACTTGAAGGAGTCCCTCCAACTGTTTGGTTTCCCTCTGCAGTTCCTCCTCTTTACTCCGCCAGTTGGCCAACTCGTGTTGCTGCTTCTCAAAGTCCTCGACTGTGATGTAATCCAACTGATAGTTCTCCTTGATTATGCCATACTCAGCACATATCTCCGAGGGCTTTAGTTCTCCCAGCATTTGTTCCACCGCCTGACCAAGTTGCATACTCAGAATGGCATTACGTTGCTCCAGTTTTTGCTGCTCCTCAGCGGTGTATAAATTACCACTTCTTAGTTCCTGCAATTGGTTTCTGGTGACCAATAGTTCATCCTTTTGCTGCTCTATATTTCTGGCCAAAGATGCCTTTTCATCTATGAAACTAAGCTCCTGTTTTCTAGACTCTGTGAGCAGTTGATCGTAATCCCTTCGCATATAACTATAGGAATTCCCCTGCTTTTCCAGTTGCAACTCCAAACTTATTAATTTATCGTGAAGCTGTTGATTTTGATTCAATAGTTCACTGCCATCGGCGGACATGTGAAGACGCAGTTCCTCGTAATGCTTCCGGAGAATGGAGAGCTCTGCGAGATTCTCGGATCTGGGTTCTGATTGGGGATCCGTAATGACGGGTCTTTGTAGTCCCTCTGTGGCTTCGGTTGGAGAACTCGGCCTTGTGGCTGTATTAATACAAGGATTCTCCTCATCGGGCTGTTCCTCTGGCATCTCGGGGACATCGCAAAGGCTTTGGACAGAGGACAGCTCACCCGTTTCCGAGTCGCTGTAGTTCTGCTGCTGCAGCAACTGACGCAGTGCCTCCTCACGGGCCTTCAGTTCCTCAAGTTGACCCTGGAGACGCTGCGGAGTGGAGGTGCCACTGGGAAGAGCTTCGATTAGTCGACGCAGTAGCTCGGAATCGATCGTTATGTGCTCTGAAGTGGCTGGAAAATAAATGATACAAAAACTGATTAAGATAACTCATAAAAAATTAACTCAAAATAGTAATATATTTCCTAAATGTAAGCCTAATTTTATTTCAAAATAGATTTGTAATTTTAAATCAATTTTTATATTTGAGAAGATTTAATAAAAATATTCGAAAAATTTTTATACCCGTTACTCGTAGAGTAAAAGGGTATATTGTATTCGTGCAAAAGTATGTAACAGCTAGAAGGAAGCGTTTCCGACCCTATAAAGTATATATATTCTTGATCAGGGTCACTAGCCGAGTCGATATAGCCATGTCCGTCTGTCCGTCTGTCCGTCTGTCCGTCTGTCTGTCCGTCTGTCTGTCTGTCTGTCTGTCTGTCTGTCTGTCTGTCTGTCCGTATGAACGCTGAGATCTCGGAAACTATAAAAGCTAGAAGATTGGCATTTGCATGTAGATTTGAGCAGTTCCTACGCAGCGCAAGTTTGTTTCAAAATGGTGCCACGCCCCTCGACGCCCACAATCGCTATTTTAAAAATTTAAATATTTCGGAAAAGTAAAAATGCAGTTTTATTGTGTTTATCAATACCTATCGAAATGTAGAAGAAATTTTTCAAATCGGACCATTCGTTAAAAAGTTATGCGTGATCAAAGTTTCTATCTCCATCTCCCTCGCACTCCCTTTACCTGAGTAACGGGTATCTGATAGTCGGGGCACCCGACTATAGCGTTCTCTCTTTTTTTTTTTTTTTTCTAAAAGTAATGGTTAATTTAAGGCTTGCCAACTCACCATCGTACTCCCGCAACTTCTCCAGGATCTCGTACATTCCAGAGCGTAGGATCTCGTTTTCAGCCAGGACTTCATCGTAACGGTTCTGCATCTCGGAGCTGGCTGCTCCATCGCCTTGACCACGTCGTGGGGAATTCTCGAGGGGAACATTGACACTGGCGGGAACTTCACCCACTTCGCTGGGCGCCTGCAAGGATTCATCCAGGCGCTGTGGCTGATCCTGTTGCAGTTCCAAGAGCTTTCGCCTAGATAAAAAAGAAAGTAGTGAATGAAATCAGGATGGTAATAACCCACTCACCTCAGTTCACTCTTGTCCAGCTTCAGTTGCAGACGCAGTTCCTCGGAAGTTCGCAATTTGAGGCTCAACCGCTCGATCTGTTTGTCCTTGTTGCGCTGTTTGGAATGCACATTTTTGGCCTGGATAACCACATCCTTGGGTATCTTCAGTTGACCTCGCAACAGCTCGTTTTCCTGGACCACCTCGTGCAGGGAGTTCAACTCCTGGATGTAGCTCCTTAGTTGCTTATCGCGTCCTGCCAGCTTTTGCTCCAATCCCGAGCTGCGTCGCAAAGCGGGAACCAAGCCATCCTCACCCCGCTTGTAGCACTCCAGGGCACTCAGGGCATGAAGTGCCTGCTTTGACTTGAGGACATTGTCCTGTTCGGAGGCCTCCAGCATCGAAGACAGCTCCTGATTGCGGGCACTGGCTACTCGGAGGCGCTCCTCCATCATCTGGCAGCAGGGACGCGGCTGCTCGGGATCCTGGTATCGCTCCTTTTCGAGGCTCAACTGGTTCATCACCTTGGTGGAGTTAACTATCTCCTCCGCCATCGACTTGAGCCTTAACTCCAGCTTCTCGATGTGCTGCTCCCGAGATTCCAGGAGCTGAAAGGTATTGGATGTTTCAAATTAAATAGTTCTTATTTTAAACAACTTTTTCAATAATAAAAAAAAATAAGTTTAAAACAGTGTCATATATTATAGATTTTTTTTTTTGTTTATAAAAAAAAAGCAATCTTTCTTTTATTTATAAATTTACAAAATCAAAAACTAGTTCAAAATGTTTTTATATGTACAAATTAATGAAATATGAATAGTAAATATTCATAAGCCCAATAAAAACAACAGAACTAATAATGTTACATATCTTAAAAAGGTATTGCATTCAAATATTATTTTTAAGGCAGTAAAAAAGGTGGAAATTAAGGACCTTTAAAATATCTTTAGTCCCCAAATTGAAAAACTATAATAAAATCGTACTTACATGTCTCAGTTTTATATGCTCTTCATCCTGTTGACTGTGACTGCTGGACGAAGTGGTCAGGACTGAGCTGATGCTCTTGCCCTCCAGCTGTTTCCTGAGACGATCCACCTCCTTGTCCCGATCCTCGAGCGCCTGCCTCCAACTCAGGGACTTGGTCTCGTATTTGTCCAGGAACTGCCGCATTTCCAGCTCCTGTTTCTCGCGTTCCACCTCCAAGAAGGTCACATTGCCCTCCAGTCTAGTGATCTCCAGGCCCTGTTGCTGCTCCTTTTGCTTCAGCAACTTCCGCTCTTGCTCCACTTTGGTAATGTCCTGGCTGAGCTGCACGAGATTGGCCTTGATGTTCTGCAGTTCTCGTTCGTGGAGGACTATGGTCTTGGATTGGGCAATGTTTTGGTTTTGGAGCGTCTGAAAGTGAGCACCAGTTTTGTGAGTGTGTTTGGAATAGTTAATATATCGTGTTAAAATTATTTTTAGAAAGTTTTCGACCCATTAAATATGTTTAAAAACTAAAACCTAATTTCCTTAAGATCAGGATTTAAAATGGACAAAAAAATGTATGTCTATTACATATAAAAACAATTATCTTGAGTAAAAAAGGATTTAAGCTATAAGTAACGTAAATACCTAAAATAATATTTAGCAAATTAAATTCAAGTTCAAATAAATAAAAAAATAATAATAATTTGATTTGCTAAATATTATTTTAGGTATTTACGTTACTTATAAACTTAATGCCAACTTACTTCAATTTCCTTGAGCAGTCTCTTGATGTGTTTATTCTTGGAGTCGATATTCTGGAGTAGCTGCTCCTGCTTGTCCAACTCGGACAAGGGATCCGACGAGTCCTTGTCGCTGGCCTCCGCCTGCTGGGCTGCCTCCCTCAAGCGCAACTCCAGCTGTCGGATTTCCTCCCCTAACTAAAGTTGCAGAGGGTTTAAGTAACTTGCTTTCACTACTTTATGTAATCTAATATGCACCTCCTTTGACTTGCTTTTCAGGCCATCGCGTTCGTCCTCCAGCTTCTGCAGCATTCGCTTCAGCTTCTCATTCTCGTCCTGCAGGCGGCGGTCAGAGGTTCCTGCGGCGCCACTCTGATCCTGCAGCCGCTGCACCTGCTCGCCCTTGTACTCCAGCACGGCCAGGGTGAGCTCCAGGGTCTTCCTCAGCGACTTCTTGGGCAGCTCCTCGATGGACTCGGCCAACTCGAGGAGCGTCTCGTAGAGCTCCTGCTTCTGGCGCGCCGAGAAGTCGCGGAACTTGCGCAGGGACACGGTTTCTGGTATATCCATGCTCATCCTGGTGGCTCATGGCCTTTGCTGTGCGGCCGTTCCTCACGTTCTGAGTGAAAATTTTCCCCGATTTTCCACACAACTCTCACGTTTGGCTTACGAATTCGTAACCGAGCGGTTGCCATGACATTTGGGCCAAAACAAAACCCGCTCGAAGGGTTGCCACTGACTCACGTGCGAGGGCCGGAAATCGGGGTGCCGGCACCAGTTAATGACCCGCTCTTTGTTTTTGCTGGCATTTTGTTTTGCTACCTGCTTCGGCTGCGTACGAAAACTTCCTGACAGGATAATTGCCCCCCGGGGTTGCTCCACCTAAACAAAAGGATCAGGAGTGCCCACCATAAACAAAAATGGCAATCGCGTAACCAGGAAAGTGTTAATTGGCAAAGTGTCAAAGGCTGAGTCCTGAAATTGAAAAGCCATTTCGGATTGCTGCGATGGTAACTTTTCCTATTCCTCCGCCTCTTTTTGGTAGGCAAAGGACCTGCTCCATCTCCTTTTTTATTGGTAACCTCACCTTCTTCTTTCCAAACTCGTTGAGTTGCCATAAACATTACGTTTGTCTACATGTGTAAGAATAATTGAAACTAATGGCAAACGACTTCGGTTGCCCTCCCATTTGTGGATTCGCCCTCTGCGAATGACAGCTGGGCCGAAAATTGAAATGATACTTCAAATGGCCAATTATCCGGGCAGCATTTTGGCCATTTAATAACCAGGAGCCCTCCTGTTGCAGCCAACTCGCATTTTACAGGGAATTTATGGTTTTAACGAAGTGGCACTGGCAGCTATTACTATAAGTTGCCACATTAGTCTTAGTTTTGTGAAACATTCTTACATCAAAGGAAATAAATAAATGAAATTAATAAATATAGTGTTTTTTTTAACAAAGGAGACATAATATGATTACCATTTAATCATGCATTTTATTCTCATGATATACAGTTTTTATTATATAAAGAACCAGTTAATGAATTTATTATATTTTCTTTAATACAATTTTTTAAGCGCATCGTAGATCCTTGTGGCTTTTTGCATCCAATTGTAGTAGCATAAGTTCGTAGGTGACCAGGGTGGCCAGAATCTGTGGGGATTGAATAAAAAAAGTTAACAAAAATCTCTAAATTATAATATTATATATAATATTACCCCAAAAAGGCTCTTTCTTGTCAAATAATACAGACGATAGCCGGACAGTCCGACAAACTCGCTGGTCAGCTGACTGGCGAACCTTTGCACCTCCTGAGTCCAGTCGCCATTGGGCACCATATACAAGGATCTCAGCGGCAGGAGCGAGGCATCGTGTATCCTGGATCCGGTCATGAAAACGAGGCCAGTCCTGGCCAGCAGAAAAATCAGCGAGTACCAGAAGTACACATAATTAATGGGATGTCGCAGTTTGCTGGTGAATGCAAATTAATTTCATAATACTAAAATTACCAAAAAGAGCTATTCAAATAAATATCTCACGTAAAAATAGCCAAAGCCTGGTTGCAGATGACATAAACATTATTTGCACAGGATACGAAGACAATACTCGACATACTGTCATCCACTAAACTGGTCAATTCACAAAGGCGAATGTGATCTCGTCGGATATCGTACCAGAGAGCATCTGGAACGTGCTAAAGGGAAAGAGTATTAATAAAAAATATATATCTTATAATTTGAAAATTCCTTTACACGACCCTCCAAAGCCAGAACTCGATCGGCAAATTGCTGAAATCTTTGAGACAGTCCAATACTGGTAATCACTATAAAGATGTCCATAAAGTTCCACAAAACGGTGAACGATCCATTTAACCACTAAAATACAAATACACATTTCTTAAAAATTAAGAAAATCTAAAACAAATGGAATAAACCATACAAATCCATAGCAAATAGAGAACATGTTGCAGGGCAGCAGAACCATAATGTCTGAGAACTCTTTCTCCAAATAATGTCCAAAGGTAATTCGGGAATGATTTGTTTGGCATTGCCTAATATGCATACTATAGCTGATATAACCGGAGGCATAGTACAGAATATGATCTCCTAAAATGGAATATTTTTCCTAAAAGTAATCAGTAGAATAATGAAGATGACTTACCTATGGCAAAGCAGAACACTGTAAGAACTACGATGTTGACCCTTGACCGAAGACTCCGTTTGCAACGTTTATAAGGAGGAAACAGCATCAGGATATCCAAGGAGCTCCACGGTAGCATTATTTGCGACCAGGAACGAGCAAAGCCAACGAAATTCAACCAGTTGACAATGCCCACGATAAGAAAGACCAAGCCAACTAAAGTGGTTATAACATCGGTAAAGATATTAGGGATCTGATGACTTAAAATTACAGCTCACCCATATTCTTGGCATTGAGTCCAGCATTAAAGAGAAGATTGGCACCCATTAAGGTTTTAAGTCCACCAAGAATCAGAAAAATACCAGTGACTCCAAGGCCAATGCTCCTTACTTTAAATTTAACATCCTGCGGATCGCGACTCAGAATATTTGATACTGGCATAATTCCAAAGAGCTGGGCCACACAAAGATCTGAAAGCAAAGAAATGTAAAAAATATTTGGGGTGTTATCTAAAGAAAATATATATATTATATATATTATACTCGTTGGGATATCCATATCAACAATTTAACTTGAAGAATCAATATTATAACTCTTATTATTTTCGGGATTAAGTCATAATAATATAAAAATATATAAAACTATATAATAATATAGTTCCAAATTTTTTTGGAAATTAGATTTAGGATATAAAAGTTAAGTGCTTACTGGGGCTCGATTTCTTGTCTTTATCGTAAACTAAAAGTAGCTTTTAATCTAAGAAAATAATTAAATTGTTAGATATACTTTTAAGCTCAGTATCGAAGCGGAAATCGGCCTTAACTTTAAAAAAAAGGCCTGATAACTTACATGGCCTGATGGCTCTGTAGAAAGTGTCCAGCTGCTCGAACTCGAGTCCTCCCTTGGCACATTGGCATCTCATTTTGAGGATGGCCCGTTGTTTTTGGCGTCGCACCTTCAGGTGCTTCAGGATGCTATCCGCAGCCTTCGACATGTTGCTCAAGTCTGACCTCCACTAGCACCGTTTAACTCGGACGTGTCTCGTAATTATTGTTTACATCCTTCAACCAGCTTAGTCTAAAGCCCGTAATTAGTGGCACTTCAATCGGTCACCACGGTGCAGCCAAAACCATTGTGGGGCTTTCGGTGCTCCACTTCAACTCCGCCCATGACAAGCTTTGGACCTATTTCAATTTCGCATTTCGTGTCAGTGCAAAAAGGACAGGCGTCATGAAAGGACCTACTTTGAATTTTCGTAAAAATCCTAGTAAGGGTAATGGAGTTAAATCAGTGGAGATTTTGGCTGAACCCGTAACTCCACCACCCAAGTTTGTGGAGGAATCTAATCTGGAATTTAGTATATTGGCCAGCGAGAGGCTGCCTAACTATGATAAACTAGATCTTTTCCATAGAGCTGTGTATCCATGTGAGTGGGCAACGAACATTTATAAGTATAATTCAATTCTAATTCCGATTCTCAGTCATGTTTTTGGCCCAATGTTTTGCTATAATGCCATTGTTGGGCATTAGAGAACCCAATCCACGACGCGTTCGCTTTGCCTACAAATCTTTGCCCATGATTGTCACGTTGATCTTCATGACTGCCACTTCCACATTGTTTCTGGCCATGTTCAGTCACCTGATTTTAATTGGTATTACCGCTAAAAACTTTGGTGAGATTAAGATATATTACATAATCTTATTTATTTATAACATTTCTCTAATCAGTGGGTCTAGTTTTCTTTGGCTGTGTTTTAAGTGCCTACGTGATTTTTATTCGACTGGCAAAAAAATGGCCAACAGTTATACGATACTGGACCAAAACTGAAATGGTTTTCACCAAACCACCATACGAAATACCAAAAAGGAATCTTTCGCGACGTGTGCAGTTTGCTGCCTTGGCCATAATTGGTTTGTCTTTGGGTGGGTATTTATTATAGTTTATTAAAATAATAATAAATAAATTTAATAAATCCCTTCAACTTTTAGGTGAACATGCTCTATATCAAGTTTCGGCTATTCTGAGCTATAAGCGTCGTCTAAATATGTGCACCAATATAACCGAAGTGGCCAGTTTTGATAACTACATTCAAAGAAACTACGACTATGTGTTTCAGATTCTGCCCTACAGTCCCATCATCGCTGCTCTGATGCTGGTAAATCCTCTTACTAAAAAAAATGTATATTATTATAAAGATTTTATCCCTTTAGTTAGTCAACGGAGCCTGTACTTTCGTTTGGAACTACATGGACCTCTTCATCATGATGATTAGCAAGGGTTTGTCCTACAGATTTGAGCAAATAACTGCTCGCATTCGTAAATTGGAACATGAAGAGGTCTCTGAATCGGTGTTCATCCAAATCCGGGAGCACTACGTCAAGATGTGCGAACTACTGGAATTTGTGGACAATGCTATGTCCAGTCTTATATTGCTTTCGTGTGTCAATAACCTATATTTTGTGTGCTACCAGCTGCTTAATGTTTTCAAGTGAGTCTACACAAAAAAAAAATATTTAGTTTAGAATTTAGAAGACTGATTCGTGAATCTAAAGGATTTCGAAATTTATTATTTGACCTTCTTAGCTTAAGATGAAAAACCTCTTCCTTTAGTTTTTTTTCACTAAGTAAAACCTTTACAGACAAATTTAAAAAATGTGTGATTTATATTAAATTCAATATTATTATAAAACATTTTTTTCTGCAGTTTTCAATGTGATAATATTTTATAATTGTAACCCTTAGCAAACTTCGCTGGCCCATCAACTATGTGTACTTTTGGTACTCCCTTCTGTATCTCATTGGACGAACGGCCTTTGTTTTCCTCACGGCAGCGGACATCAATGAGGAATCCAGGAGGGGATTGGGAGTCCTTCGGAGGGTTTCGAGTCGCAGTTGGTGCGTGGAGGTGGAGCGACTGATATTCCAGATGACCACGCAGACAGTCGCCCTTTCCGGGAAGAAGTTCTACTTCCTCACGCGTCGTCTGCTCTTTGGAGTGAGTAGTCCTTTGAATAGAATGCTAGTTTATGTTCACACCTCTGCATCTCTTTACCCCTTTACCTCTTTTGAACCCTTTATTAGATGGCTGGCACCATTGTCACCTATGAGTTGGTCCTGTTGCAATTCGATGAACCCAATCGACGCAAAGGACTGCTGCCCTTGTGCGCCTGATGAACAATAACAAGTGGTAGTGGAACGCCCACTCCTTGGCCATTTGTCATGTCAGGTGAATGTGACAGGCGCCGCAATTAGTTGTAAATACTTAGTGGGTAAATCGTTTAAAGCCGCCACGCCCCCTTCGGCTATATATCGGGGGCTTTTGGCACGCCAGATTGGCAAGTGAGTGGTTAGTGTTAGTTTGGCCATGCCGCAGGGCGAGACATTCCATCGAGCGGTCTCGAAAGGTTTGCAATCCTGTTCACTTCGTATTATCATAAATAAATATTAAATATTATGCCCTCGCAGTTCTATTTATTTCGCAAATATATGGCCTGCTGCCGGTGAGCAATGTGCGGGCTTTGGATGTGTCCGATATCCGGTTTCGTTGGTTTTCCCCTCGCATTTTCTACTCCTGCCTCATTTTAATCCTCAATCTTTGTGAATTTGGAACCGTGATCAACTATGTCATCAAGGTGGCCATTAACTTTCACACCTCCAGCACGCTTTCGCTGTATATTGTCTGCCTTTTGGAGCACCTCTTCTTCTGGAGATTGGCCATTCAATGGCCCAGAATTATGCGCACCTGGCATGGATTGGAGCAGCTCTTCCTAAGGGTTCCTTATAGATTCTACGGGGAGTACAAGATGAAAAAGCGCATCTATATTGTATTTGCCATAGTCATGTCATCGGCTTTGGGTGAGTACAGGGTATTAACCCTGAGAGAAGTTTTCTGGGAACTCTGAGGTTGAAGAGGAGTAAAAACAAAATGTTAATTAATAAGTTTATGTGATCGGTTTATTATTTTAAAACATTCAATTCTTTAAATATCCTTTTCAGTGGAGCATTGTCTCCTCCTGCTCAACTCATTTCATCTAAGCAATATGGAACGCACCCAATGCAAAATCAATGTTACCTACTTGGAGAGCATCTACAAATGGGAGCGTCCCCATCTTTACATGATCCTGCCCTATCACATTTGGCTACTGCCCATTTTAGAGGTGGTTTGCTTTCCAAAAAAAAAGCATTTTAATTTATAATTATTTTTAAAAATATTTCTAGTGGGTTAACCAGACAATTGCCTATCCGCGCTCCTTCACCGATTGCTTTATCATGTGCATTGGCATTGGTTTGGCTGCCAGATTTCATCAGCTCTATCGCAGAATTGCTGCTGTTCATAGGAAAGTAATGCCAGCGATTTTTTGGACAGAAGTAAGGGAACATTACCTGGCCTTAAAGCGACTTGTGCATCTTTTGGATGCAGCAATAGCTCCACTGGTTCTCCTGGCCTTTGGCAATAACATGTCCTTTATTTGCTTCCAGTTGTTCAACAGCTTCAAGTGAGTTAAGTAGGTTTTGGCAAGTTACAACTAAGTCAATTGTTTTTTTAAACAGAAACATAGGAGTTGACTTCCTGGTGATGTTGGCCTTTTGGTACTCCCTAGGTTTTGCCGTGGTCCGCACTTTGCTAACTATTTTTGTGGCATCTTCTATAAATGATTACGAACGAAAGATTGTCACGGCTTTGCGGGATGTGCCCTCCAGAGCTTGGTCCATAGAGGTAGTGATAAAAAACCTAAGTTATAATTAATAATTAATATTTCATATACAGGTTCAGCGCTTTAGTGAGCAGTTGGGAAACGATATGACAGCTCTTTCTGGCAGCGGATTCTTCTACCTCACCCGCTCACTTGTCCTGGCTGTGAGTTCAAACCATAAAATGTAAAAAATAATGCCTATAACCTCAATTTATCCCACCTCAGATGGGCACCACAATTATCACCTATGAGCTCATGATATCGGATGTCATTAACCAAGGTTCCATCAGGCAAAAGACTCAATACTGCAGGGAATTTTAGATCCCGGAATTTAGCACTCAAAATTCCAATTCAAGAGCACATTTAGTCATAAGTGTCACGCCCATGCACCTGCACCAAATCCGCATTCGCAAGATCCTAATCTGCAAATGGACTGGCATACGCCCCCTTGTTTATGGTGTGTCCTTTGGACTGGAAGGACCTCTTTCCATTTGCCAGCAAACAGCCAAGCCATGAAGCAGTCGGGACAAAGAGGCACCAGAAACACGCTTCAGCATGGAATCGGTCCAAGTAAGATTTCCAATAAGGGTTTAATTTATAAATTTTAAATATCTAAACTATTTTCAGTACTGGTTTTAGCCCAGTTCTTTGGCGTTTTGCCAGTTTCAGGGGTGTGGCCAAGTTCCCGCCCAGAGAAGGTCACCTTCCGCTGGATTTCTTTATCCTTACTTGCTGCTCTTGTCCTGTTCTGTTTCTCTATTGTGGACTGCGCTTTGTCCTCCAAAGTTGTGCTCGATCATGGACTGAAAATCTATACCATAGGTGGGTCAAGAGTTTGTAGATTCTAATCTGTTATTTTTTGTTTATTCAAATCTTCAAATTTTTTTTTATTTTCAACAAAGTCAACAGGTTTTATTGGCTAATTATCAATAAACTATACTACTTATATTATCTTAGGTTTCTGGCCAACTCAATATCTTTAAAATATGGTACCTTCTTGATAGCTTAAAATATACCTTTTCTTTTATTCATCCGATATATTTTAAATACCACACAAAAAAAACAAATAACCATAAATATAAAATACTTTAATGCTTATGAAACTGCCTTCCTTTTCCAGGATCTCTCAGCTTCAGCGTTATCTGCATTTTCTGCTTCGGAGTTTTCCTGCTGTTATCCCGCCGTTGGCCATATATCATCCGCAGGACGGCAGAGTGTGAGCAGATCTTCCTGGAGCCCGCCTACGATTGTTGCTATGGGCGTGGCTACTCCAGTCGCCTCCGACTTTGGGGAGTCTTCCTCGTGGTGGCTGCTCTTTGCGAGCACTCCACATATGTGGGAAGTGCCCTCTACAACAATCACCTGGCCATTGTGGAATGCAAGTTGCAGACGGACTTTTGGCAAAACTATTTCCAGAGAGAGCGACAGCAACTGTTCCTCGTCATGCACTTTACCGCCTGGTGGATACCCTTCATCGAATGGACTACCCTGTCGATGACCTTCGTGTGGAACTTTGTGGACATCTTCCTAATCCTCATCTGCCGCGGTATGCAAATGCGATTCCAGCAAATGCACTGGCGCATCCGACAGCATGCGAAGATGCAAATGCCTAATGAGTTCTGGCAGAGGATTCGGTCAGATCTTCTCGATCTCAGTGATCTTCTTGGGATTTACGACAAGGAACTATCTGGGTTGATAGTTCTTTCCTGTGCCCACAATATGTACTTTATATGTGTGCAGATCTATCATAGTTTTCAGTGAGTTCTTTTGATTAGTGAGTTCTTTTGATTAGTGAGTTATTTTGATTAAAAATATTATCTAAATGCGTCTTAGAAACTGTATATATAGAAACAATATAAATTGATGTAATGTAATTTTTGAAATATCCTGTTTTTAAAGCCTTTATATCCTTTAGAATTTCAATAATCTTACCATTTCAAATTCCAAATGAATATGTATTAACATATATTTGCTCTTACTTAACTTTCTAGATCAAAAGGCAACTATGCGGATGAGTTATATTTCTGGTTTTGCCTTTCTTATGTCATCGTTCGAGTTCTAAACATGATGTTTGCAGCTTCTTCTATTCCCCAAGAAGCCAGGGAGATATCCTATACCCTATATGAAATACCCACTGAGTATTGGTGTGTGGAACTGAGGCGCCTCAATGAGATTTTTCTTTCAGATCATTTTGCGCTCAGTGGAAAGGGATACTTTTTACTGACTAGACGTTTAATATTTGCGGTGAGTTTGTATAAACATTATTGAAATACATTTTGAAGATCTTAATTATCTGCTTTAGATGGCAGCTACTTTGATGGTCTACGAACTGGTGCTGATCAACCAAATGGCAGGATCCGAAGTGCAGAAAAACTTTTGCGAGGGCGGCGTGGGTTCCTCCAAGAGCATATTTTCCTAGATTTAGATTCCCATTTTTTTGCACCTTCTGTAATGGCACCCAATCAATCGCACCTGTCAGATGTTAACTATCAATACAATGCGTGTCTAAAACGTTTTGTTGGAGGTGTCTCAATTATCAAGTTCCTGCTGAAGAGCCATTTGTCTGTCCATGGACTTCAGATGGAGCGGTCCGTGCAGGAGAATACCCTGCATTATGCAATTGGCAATGGTGAGTGTGGTTTTTGATAGGTCGGATCCTTCAGTTTGCCTTTTCAGTTCTGCTCGTGGCTCGGATTTTCGGAGTGTTTCCCCTTTCCGGAGTTAGGCCTACAAATAAGCCGGAAAATGTTCGCTTTCGCTGGTTTTCCCAGATAATTCTATTTTTCGTGGTGGTATCCATTTTTGTCATCGGTGATTTTGTGCTCTCAGCTAAAATGGTATTTAGCAATGGCCTTAAGCTCTACACTATAGGTAAGTTATGGTTTTGCATTACATTTACCTTTTTGATTACCATAAAAACCGCAACGGCATATTGTATTAGTTTAACTCCCAATTAATTGCTTTTATTATTTTCTAATATACTTATTCCAGGTTCTCTAAGTTTCAGTGTAATTTGTATATTTTGTTTTGGAGCCTTTATAAACCTGGCTCGCCGATGGCCTCATATCATTCGTCAAACGGCACTGTGTGAGCGCATTTTCCTGAAACCCTGCTATGGTAGCTACGAAGGACTTCATTTCAACCGCATCCTTAGGCGTTGGGCTTTAGTCCTTTTGCTGACCGCCCTGTGTGAACACCTCACCTATGTGGGCAGTGCTGTTTGGAGCAACTACGAACAGCTGCGGGATTGCAATCTAAAAGTGGGTTTCTTGCAAAACTATTTTCTAAGAGAACGTCAGGAAATTTTCTCGGTCTTCGACTATAAAATCTGGATGGTCTTCTTCATTGAATGGAGCACCTTGTCCATGACTTTTGTTTGGAACTTTGGGGATATTTTCCTGGTTCTCATGTGTCGGGGATTGAGGATTCGATTCCAACAACTAAACTGGCGCATTCGCCAGAATCTGGGAAAGGGAATGAGAAAAGAATTTTGGCAGGAAATACGTTCCGACTTTATGGATCTGGATGACCTGCTGAAGCTCTATGATAAAGAGTTGTCTGGATTGATTTTGGTCTCCTGCGCTCAAAATATGTATTTTATTTGTGTCCAAGTCTACCATAGTTTTCAGTGAGTTTAATTTTTCCTTACTATATATTAAAAATTAAATGTGTATCTTCTTATTTAGAGTAAAAGGCGCTTTTATGGACGAGCTCTATTTCTGGTTCTGTTTACTTTATGTGATCACCCGCTTAATGAACATGATGTTGGCCGCTTCCTCGATTCCCCAAGAGGTAAAGGATATCTCCAATACCCTCTATGAAGTACCTTCAAGTTCTTGGTGTGATGATCTGGAGCGCTTGAGTGAGATGCTCCGCAATGAAACCTTCGCCCTCAGTGGAAAGGGATACTTTTATCTCACCAGAAGGCTCATCTTTGCAGTGGGTGTTCGAAAAACTTGTAATTTTTTTTAAATAGTTTCAAAAATTAATATTTTTTAGATGGCTGCTGCCTTAATGGGCTATGAACTAGTGCTCTTTCGCCAAATGGAAGGTGTCGTGGTGCAGAAGAGCATTTGCAGCCGTGGACCCGGCTCCTCCATGAGCATTTTCTTCTCTTAGTTCCGTTTATCATTTTCATTTTCATTTATACATACTTTATAAGCCCTTCCAGGACTGTCAACTTTTCGTATTTGCACAAGATTATGCATAGATAAGCACACAATTGGCATGGAGGCCATCAATTAGGGGTAACCAGTAGCAAATTGAGGGTTTACCATTTGTCAGGGAAGGATTGGCCGTCAGTCGAGCACGGAACATGGCCAGGACCACTGGAGATCCTGCCAAGCGGCACAGGTGCATCGCTCGCATCAAATTCTGGCGAAGATCACGCGTTGGCAGCGAGTAGGTGGATCCCATTAAGACCATTTAAATTGAAATTTGAATATTTGTAATTGTCAGTGTCACTCTGGGAATCATCAAATACAGAGTCGTCTCAAAGCCCTCAAGGCGATTTCAGTTGTCTCAAAGTAAGTTTTACTAGGTTTTAGTTATGATTTATAACAAGTATTTTATTTTATTTCATAGTTAGAGCTTGGCTTCTTCGGATAAGGAAAGAGGATTACAAATACATTGGGTCCTTCCAAGAAGCTATTAAACCAGGTAATAATAAAGGGACACAATACATTAATTAACTTTATAGTCTTTCATAGTCCGTAAGACTCGCACCACTTTTATTTCAATGTAATTTGAGATCTTTTTCTTCTATATTATGCATTTTTTAGTCCTCATCATCGCGCAGATATTCGCTTTAATGCCAGTTCGCGGAGTGAGCTCCAAGTTCGCTGAAGATCTCACCTTCACTTGGTTTGGTATTCGAACCTATTACGCCTTGGTCACCATCCTATGTTTTGGGGTAACCTCCGGTTATCTGGTGGCCTACGTCACGAATGTGTCATTTAATTTTGATTCCGTGGAGACCCTTATCTTCTATTTGTCGATATTCCTAATATCATTGTCGTTTTTGCAACTGGCCAGAAAGTGGCCAGCACTTGCTCAGGAGTGGCAGTTGGTGGAGGCCAAGTTGCCTCCTCTAAAATCGCCCAAGGAGCGCAGATCTCTGGCCCAGCACATCAAGATAATCACCATTGTGGCCACCACTTGCTCTTTGGGTAAGGGATTATATATTTATTTTATTTATCTAGCATGTAAACTAATTTACTTTTAAGTGGAACACATAATGAGCATGCTGTCCATGGGTTACTATGTGAACTCCTGTCCCCGTTGGCCGGGTCATCCCATCGACAGCTTCCTGTATTTAAACTACTCCACGGTGTTCTATTTTGTGGATTACACCCATTTCCTGGGACTGCTGGGAAAAGTGGTCAATGTTTTGAGTACTTTTGCCTGGAACTTCAATGATATTTTCGTGATGGCTGTTAGTGTGGCTTTAGCTGCTCGATTTCGGCAGCTTAATGATTATATGATGAGGGAGGCCAGATTGGTAAGGATTTTGATTAGGGAAATATAACAGAATAGATTAAATATAACGCCTTTTTAGCCCACCAGTGTAGACTTCTGGATGCAATGTAGAGTTAACTTCCGGAACCTTTGTAAATTGTGCGAGGAAGTAGACGATGCCATATCCACCATTACTTTACTCTGCTTCAGCAACAATCTGTATTTCATCTGTGGGAAAATCCTCAAGAGCATGCAGTAAGTTCACATGGTAAAATGTATTATAACTTGCATTTATACAAATAGGTTTGTATAAGATCCTTTGCCAATCAGTATTTTTAATACATTTTTCCAGGGCGAAACCCTCGATATTGCATACCTTGTACTTTTGGTTCTCGCTATCTTATCTACTTGGTCGTACCCTCATCCTGTCACTATATAGCTCCAGTATCAATGATGAATCGAAGAGACCTCTGGTCATCTTTCGACTGGTTCCCAGGGAGTTTTGGTGCGATGAGGTAAGCAAGGATATATAAATGTATACCCAAAGTTGCATTATCGTTTCCGAATTTCCAGCTTAAACGATTTTCTGAAGAAGTTCAGATGGACAATGTGGCTCTGACAGGCATGAAATTCTTTCGTCTCACACGCGGTGTTGTCATTTCGGTTTGTGTCGCAAAAAAAAAATGTGGAAAAATATCTAATTATATAACTATACTATATCTTTAGGTGGCTGGTACAATCGTGACCTACGAACTAATTTTGCTGCAGTTCAACGGCGAGGAAAAGGTGGCCGGCTGCTTTGAAAGCTGAACTTTGTGGGAGGGACAAAAGGCTAAACCCGCAAAATATGTACTTTTATTGTTGCTGTTCCTTAATTATAGATAAGTGCAAAACAACAGGTGTTTTTAATAGTCATTGGGCACTTGCTGTGTGACAACTCAGTTGACTGGGCCAATCCTTTGGAGCAGTTTGCCCTTGCGCGTGGATTCAGAAGGTTGCACTATGAAGTTCCTGCCCAAGCTGGAGCGCAAATTGCGCCGGCTGAGAAAGAAGGTGACCAGGACACCACTGGTTAGGAAACTGGATTTGGTTCACGAGAGGTGGGTGTGGAAAAACATTCCAAATGTAGTGGGAAAACATACGATAAAAGGTCAAAAAGACAAAGGTCTGTAGGAAACTCTTACATTGCAATATATATTTGTATGTTTCATAGGGTAAATTAATTTATTAATTAATTTAATTTAATAATTTTACTCTTGTTTAGTGCCCGAAAGAAAGCCTTTCAGGAAAGTTGCGAAACCTACAAAAACCAGATGGATAATGAGTACGAAGTGCGGAGTAATTTACCCAGTAAGAAACTAATAGTTAAACAAAAATAAGACTTAAGAACCATATCCTAAATAGAGCTATCCCGGAGCAACAAGGAGGTCTTCCTTAGCGATGGAAGCTTCCACCAGGCGGTGGGCAGGGTGCTCCTCGTGGCCGAGTTTTTCGCCATGATGCCAGTTAAAGGAGTGACGGGAAAACATCCATCGAATCTGAGCTTCTCCTGGCGAAACATTCGCACCTGTTTCTCACTGGTTTTCATCGCCTCGAGCTTAGTCAACTTTGGACTATCATTGTTTAAGGTATTGAACAACCCAATTAGTTTCAACAGTATTAAGCCGATCATATTCCGGGGATCCGTGCTGCTGGTTCTCATGGTGGCTCTGAATCTGGCCAGGCAATGGCCCCAGTTGATGATGTATTGGCACACAGTGGAGAAGGATCTGCCGCAGTATAAAACGCAGTTGGCCAAGTGGAAGATGGGTCATACCATTTCGATGGTTATGTTGGTGGGAATGATGCTATCTTTAGGTAGGTTAAATATCTTAGAAGATTCTTAATTCATAACCCTTTTTCCCTCTAGCGGAACACATTCTGAGCATGATATCGGCTATAAACTATGCATCGTTTTGCAACCGAACCGCCGATCCTATCCAGAATTATTTTCTGCGCACCAACGACGAGATCTTCTTTGTGGCCAGCTACTCAACTTACCTAGCTATGTGGGGCAAGTTCCAGAATATATATTCGACCTTCATATGGAACTACATGGACATGTTTGTGATGATTGTCAGCATTGGATTGACATCCAAGTTTCGACAGCTCAACGATGACTTGCGAAATTTTAAAGGAATGGTCAGGGTTCTACTAAAATGGTTTATTTTTGTTTTAAGTAATGATAACTTGCAGAATATGGCACCTACTTACTGGTCGGAACGTCGCATTCAATACAGGAACATATGCATATTATGCGACAAAATGGACGATGCCATTTCCCTCATAACAATGGTCTCTTTCTCAAATAATTTATATTTCATTTGCGTCCAGTTGCTGCGAAGTTTGAAGTGAGTTTTTGAATTTGAAAGAAATTAAGTTAATCATTGCTAAAATCTTTTCTTAGCACCATGCCTTCGGTGGCCCACGCAGTTTACTTCTATTTCTCTCTCATCTTTCTCATCGGTCGCACTCTGGCGGTTTCACTGTACTCCGCCAGCGTTCACGACGAATCCCGGTTAACTTTGAGGTATTTACGTTGCGTGCCGAAAGAGTCCTGGTGTCCAGAGGTGAAGAGATTTACGGAGGAGGTAATCAGCGATGAGGTGGCACTCAGCGGAATGAAGTTTTTTCATCTTACAAGAAAGCTGGTGTTGAGTGTAAGTTATAAAAAAAATTAATGTATAGATAAGATATCACTATTACCAGTTTTTCCGGCGAAAACAATCAGGTTGCTGGGACCATAGTCACCTACGAACTCGTACTCATCCAATTTCACGAGGATAACGACCTGTGGGACTGCGATCAGAGCTATTACTCGTAGGACGACGACTATCACAAGATTTATTGCATAATAAATAAAAAATCATCTTGCACTTTATTATTATTGTTTGTTTAAAGCGGTAAAAGGAAACCAACAAAATGTCGCTCTTAATATCAATCGGTTACATTGCCTAATTGTACGTCACTTTATCCGCTATAGAGATTCTACGTGTGTCCGTGTGTAGATTTCACAAAGAATGGTCGCTAGTTCACTTACAGGCTAATCGGCTAACTCTGATGGTGGATGAGATAAATGGGGCACCTACTGTCGGCTGGCATGGGGTCTCTCAGTGTCAGCGAAAGTGTCGTGCTCGGAACGCTTCGAATATACAATATGCGATATTGGATGCAAAATTCAGCTAAAGATTTCAATTACTTATGATTAAATTTAGTTAGGTGTGTGTTACAATCTTGTTTAACTTCGTGTTTCTTTTTTGCAGCTACAAATAAAGGTAACATGTTAGGAAGTTTGGTGGTTTCTGGTTGCATATGTATGTCTGTTCCATTACAAAATATATGAAGCGGAAGCTACACGATAACTACATGGTATCATTATGTATGTATGTGTATATATAGGATCCTAGCACAAGTAAGTCTGTGTCTACTAATACGATTTCTACGACTGCCAATAAAGAACTACAAAAACTTGTTCGATGTTTTTTTGAACGCCTTTACGCTTCACACGGAAAAATGCAGGAGGGGGGATTCGACTCGACTGAGAGAAGGCAAACATAAAGTATCACAAAGATTGAGATCTTAAATTAAAGCATAGCGAGAGAGCGCAAACGGTCGGTTGGAGGATTGGCCTTAATCCGTATTGAAGATGGGGAATGCAGAGGCTCGAGTAGCGAGTGTGGCATGAATGCGTTGCGTTTGCATTAGCGTTTTGAGTAAAACAAGTCTGGGGTATCGGCATTGCAGATCCTCAGTGCCGCTTGGCGTCATATTGCTTGACCTTCTCCGGAATGGCCGCCTTCTCCACGACCACGTGCAGGCCGAGCTCCTCCAGTGACTTCACGTAGACTAGCTTGCGCCAGAACTTTGTGCTGGAGGATAAAGAGGTATACATTAAATTAAAACCAAATTTAAACTCATTTGCTGTCCACTAACCTCACAAAAGGCCGCGCCATCCACACCAGCGACTTGATCCAGAATGTGGGGTGCACCAAATACATATGCTTTAGGCTTTTGCGCAGCCGGCGGTCCAACAGTTGGTAGCATCTGTGGGAGAATAACCCAAGCACTCGTTTAGAAACTCACCAGAATCAAAAAGAGCGAAATACTCACCGTTTGAGCCAGGGAAATGGCGGCACATTCCGTCTGTTGGAGCCGCCATGCAGATAGATCAGCACATAGTCATCTGTGACCAGCTGCTCTAAGGTCTTGACCACGTAGAGAAACAGGTTGTCCATCACATAGCTGTAGTCGGCCCTCGACCTATCAGGCAGGTGGCAGGCGCAAAAGATGACTATGGCGTTTTGGCCGCCAGATTTGAGATATCCGCCGTGGGATAGCACACGCTTGTAGGGCTCAATGACTCGCATGTCGATCTCCCGTGTGCGTCCATCGGGCAGAGTGATCTTCTGCCAATTTCGTGAATCACGCCGCTCTTCAGCAGCCGTATATTGTGGCAGAGTGGAGCCACCCGTGCCCGATGTCGGGGCATTTGGTGTGGGCGTAGTGGCCAGGCCGAACTCCAGGTCAAGTTCCAGGTCGTCATCATGGTCGGGCAGTAGCTCCGGACCTTCGCAATCATCATCGTCATCCTCTCCATCCAACCCATCGATCAACGAGCTCGAAGGACTCAAGGAGGCCAGATTGTGCTCGATGTCCTCGTCATCATCGAAGCTGTGATTGGAGATGGAATCCAAGCTAGATATGTCCTCACCGCCAGGAAGTGTAGTGCTACGCTTAGACTTCTTGCCATTGCCATTGGGCATCAGGGAGACAGACTGAAAGTTTGACTCCACGGCGGCCAAGTACTGGGACACATCCGCATCCGACTCGCTGCTGAGGATATCCGGGCTGTTGGCCCTCAGCAGGCTGACCTTGGCATCCTGTGGCTTGTTCCGGGCTTGATTCAGTGAGTTCTTCGCCTGCACCGTCTCCGTGGTGGGCACTACGTCCGGAAAGTTGTTCCTCGGCTGCAGTTTCTCCTGATTTTTCACCTGATAGGGCTCGGAATCCGAGTCCGTGTTGGTTGGCGACATCAACGGATGACTGTTGGCCAGGGTGCGCTCGATGGTGTGTCGTTGTGGCATCATTTCCAGGGGCAGCATCTCCGGACGCAGTATTCTGTTGTCCAAGGCGGAGCCAGTCTTGAACTCGAGCTCCTCCTTATTATGGTCAATTGTATGCTCCAATTCCAGGATATTCTTTTCAGGAGCTGTGGACACCGCATCATCCGCGAGCGGCGAGACGCCCGTGGAGTCCGTCGGCGTCTCCGAGATGTCCATTTTGCTCTCTGACTGCGAAGATTCCGATTCCGCGTAGTGCAAACTGCAAATCGATTAGTCATATATACAGTCAATCCACTGTTTTGTTTTTGCTGCAGGCTTATTTACCTCATAGTTTCCCTTGTTATTTGTGTGGCTAGTGCGAAAGTTCGGCTGCCCGCTCATCCAGGCACTCATCTAGTAGCTCCGCGCATCGGTTCCGAATTATGAGTCAGGCTTTGTGGCCTCAATTCGCGGATATTTAAATGCCAGTAAACAAATTTTACACTCTCGAGAGGGCTCCAGCACCAGGGCTGCCAGACGGTTGGACGTGTGTGGGTGGAAGTGTTGGACAGCGTGGGTTTTGCGGGACATCTGGCAACTGTTTTCGGTGGCAACGGTATTTTGTAAGAATTTAAAATTCAAAAATAGGTTTATATTCATACTTTTAATTAGCTAATTTCATTAATTTGTAAAGCAAATTCAAGCAGTCGACCCCTGAGTTAGCACACATTGGACATTTGGAATATGTTTATATTCTTGAAGGTTATCTAAAAATATAAAAATGATAAATAAAAAAACGTTTTTCTGCCAGTGTCACTTTTTTCGACCATCTGGCAACTCTTTACACCCAAATTACTTTTTTCTGCTGCTGCGGTCACACTGCGTGTGTTGTGCGTCGCGAAAATAAATAAATTTTAGCCCGTTAAACCCTTTTTAAGCAATGGAGGTAACAAGGATCACCGTTAGCACCGGAAATGCAGTGCCCGTGACCACCCCGAACCCCCCCGCAGTGCATATTAATCCCCCCGCAACTGCGAGCACACTAATCCAAGTAGGCGTGACGCCAGCAACAACTACCGTTGCCTCCATAGCAGCAACAACAACAACAATAATAGGAAGTACAGCTAATAATTCAACACCACTACGAAATCCGATTCAAAATCTCCCGATTGAACTGCAAAACGATCAAAAGCGAAGGAGGTAAACCGATAACACATGTCATTTTGTCCCAAAATCTAATTGGTAACCCTTACATTGCCCATTGAACAGTTCATCTCGGACGATTAAAAGGAAGCGTTTTGATGACGAAATAGTCGAGTACAACATCGCAGTGCCCACAAATCGTGGAGGAACAGACGCCAATCGCAGCAGCAGACCACGGACTACATCCCAGAACTATCCCGCCTTAGTGGGCGTGCCGCATACCACGTTAGCTCCCTTGAATATACCCATTTCCACGCCGGATACGCCACAAACACCGGGCTCCGTGGATTCCCTGGTGCCGGGCACACCGAGTACCGTTGCTTCCCTGCCCCTAGCCACGCCTACTACGCCCGCTCCTCTGGCGACGCCTCTTCCAGTTACTCCAACCGTTTCAGCCGTTGTGCATCCCAAGCCACCCGTTATGGAGCGTACTGCGGCCAGCGAGAGGCGATCGCGTCCTGTGCGTCCTGCCAGCAAGAAATCGCAACGCAGGAACGGTCGTCCCATGGGCCAGATGGCCACCAAGGATCTGGGTCGCTGGAAGCCAATTGATGACCTAGCCCTGATCATTGGCATCCAGCAGACCAACGATCTGAGGATTATCCATCGCGGGGTGAAGTTCTCCTGCAAGTTTACTTTGCAGGAACTTCAGCAGCGTTGGTATGCCTTGTTGTATGAGCCTGCGGTGTCCAGGATTGCCGTGTCCGCCATGAGGAACCTGCATCCCGAGCTGGTGGAGTCCGTTCAGCGCAAGGCTTTGTACAGCGTGCAGGAGGAGGATCTTTTGGGAACCATCAAGAGCGTAAGTGTATTATTCCCTTTAAAACAAGAGTCATACTTATCAGTAATTTAATCCCACAGTCGGAGCAACCAAAGCTAGAACAGTTCCAAGAGCTTCTGGACAAGAACGCCTCAATCTTCTACTGCGCCCGCACTGCCAAATCTCTGCACAACCATTGGCTACTTCTCAAGCAGTACAGCCTCTTGCCAGATCAGTCGGTGAAGCCTCTTTACGGCACGGATGAGCAGCCGCTTAGCTTTTCGGATGCAGAGGATCAAATCTTCGAGCATGACTTGAATGAGCCGCGTGACGAAGCTCTGGAAATGGAGAGAGCTCTGGCCGATCGTCGCAACAAACGTGATATTCGCCTGCTGGAGAACGAGCTGTCGCGCTGGGGCGTTCTAGTTGATTCCGTTCTTAGTCCGACGGCCGCATCCGAGTTTGACAACCAGACGCTGGCCTGTCTGTGCGGCCGCCATGTGCGTTACCTTATGCGCTCCAAGGAGATCACATTTGGCCGCGATGCCAAGGACTGTGTGGTGGATGTGGATCTGGGACTAGAGGGACCGGCTGCTAAAATCTCGCGTCGCCAGGGTGCGATCAAGTTGCGCAGCAATGGCGACTTCTTTATCGCCAATGAGGGCAAGCGGGCCATTTTTATAGACGGCACTCCTCTGCTGTCGGGCAATAAAGCGCGATTGGCTCACAACTGCACTGTGGAAATATCTGGGCTGCGCTTCACGTTCCTGGTCAACTACGAGCTGATCAACGCCATCCGCCAGGAGAGCGCCAAGACATCGAATCCCCTCAACTAGCTGCGCTTAGAGCGAGCTGGATAAGAGTCTTTAATGTATTCAAGTACTTAGTAAGCAGGAAAAAGAGAATTCTGGAATAAACAGCATATTGACAATATGTTCAACCCATAAATGTATTGAACTTTTGATATTTTTACTTGCATTTTGTAAACTTTGGGTAAAACTTTGTGTGACGATTAGAATCAGTCTTACAAATTATTGGTTGTTTTTGTAACCATACGTTTTTTTTATGGAATACTTTAACAAACACAAAAATGATTTTATAAAACTATTTCACCATAGTGAAATATGTTTATTAAGCATTTAATAATCCCCTCTAGGCGAATACCATTAAAACTTTAAAAGCCATTTAATTATTTTTATTAGCATTTTTATGAGTTTAATCAACTTTAAGTATTTTAAGTAATTTAGAGTGCTAAACAAAACGCCCACTCTGTAAACTCGACAACCGCAAGGCCTCCAATCGAACGGAAGCTGTTGGTGACTGCTTCAACCATCGATTGCGAAGTGGAGGGGAAGTGGTTAAAGAGCTCGAGAGTTCTCCCGGATGGGGTCAGTTCTGCCCACGAGAAACCGTCTCGGCTCTGTCTCCGGACTTTTACGACTCTGCGGGCGCTGTGTCATGTGGCTAATTTGCGACTAACCCGTAAGCTGCTATTAATTACAGCTCAGTCGCTGGAAAGTGGCGGCTAAGAGGCAACACTCACACACCATCCACAGATCCATCCATCTAACCATTCTATCCATAACCATTCTGTTCGCATGTCACCGTCGACGACGTTTACAAAGGTGAATTAAGCAACAAAGATTCGCAGCTCTGAGAAGACTCACGCGATTGTATAATGTTCTTTCTTCTGGAGGGCCTCTGGGTTCCCAACTTCGAGGGGTTCACTTGTCACGGCAATTTAGTTGCTGATCTCTGCGATTGTGTTCAGGCAAATTTGTTCGACCTTGCGCCTTGGGAGCCGTGTGGATACAGCCCCTTACAAATTGTAACAAATCACTGATCACAGATCGGGGGAGATTGACTACTCCGACTGAGTTATAAATGATAGCAGCTGTTTGGGTAATTAATTGAGCCACCGACAGCCGGGAACCATGACACCTAATATAGAAATTAGCCGGCGAAAGAACAGGGAGAAAGTTCGATGACTTTCTGCGGCGGCCTTTCTTCGAGGTCGAGTTTGGGTTCGGATTCCGATCCGATACGATCCGATCGAGGGGTTCTTTAATTTGTATTGTTGATACTATAAACTAATAAGCCAAGCTGCGCAGCATATTAAAATATAATTAATTGTTGTCACTGTCTATAAAAAGTCAATTTACCTCGGCCGTGTACCGGGAATTCGCTGGTCCTCCTCCCATCGCTCCGAACTCTCCATCTTTCTCCGCTTTGTTCCCAGTGGAATTCCAAATTCTAACGTTGATTTGTGTGCATTTTTTGTCCGCCGGCCAATCTTCTTCGGCTGCTGCTTTCTTCGATGATGATGGTGATGGTGATGGTGTGCTGATGTCGGGGCTAATGAAGCCCGGCTTTGTCTTATTATTATATTTTGTATCTTTTGTGCAGTTCAGCGAACCTTTGTTGTTGCTGCTGGCTTGATATTCCGATATTTTGGCGATGTCGCAACTGCTAAAATTAGTTTAAAATTTCGCGAGATCTTTCTCTTCCCTATTAGCGTAGGTCATGCTGTTCTTGCACTTGGAAAAACATTTTCCTTTGATTAAATAAAATCGCCAAATAACAAATTGCATTTACTTTATGAAAATACAATTTTCTTGAACATTGTATTACATAAGAAATTGAGAAAACCTTTCTTAATTCAAGTTCCAGGATTTCAAATTTTAAATGCAAATAACTTCTGTTAGTTTGTTTTGCTTAAGTGTTTATTTACACATTTTTATTACATTTTTATTTCTTTATTGATTTATTAAAAATATAATACGTCTTCTTTTACTGCAATGTTTGAAATGTTCTTTAATTAATGAAAGAATTTTAATAACTTGAACCCAAAAAAAAGAACTTATCAATTTAATGGTGTGTTAAAATCACGGGTTAGTTTCTAACATTCAGGGTGAATAATTTTCCTAGTGTATGACCGTGCTCCAAAGTGTCCGAAGTGGAGCACCATCGTCCACTCCATTTTATGCTGGCATTGCGTGGGGGTCTAAGCCAAAACAGCCAGAACTTTCACAGTTCGATCGCTGAGATCATAGCTTAGCCATAGATCTTAGCTCTATGATTTATCTAGTGATAATTCTCCTGTTGAAAAAAAAAACACCTGAGCCGAGCTTGGCCCAGTTGGGCTGACATAATGCCTTGATTATCTCATTGCATTATATAAAGTAAACAAATAAAATTGTCACAGCGCCCCAAAGATTTCGTGACTCTGCAGGAAAATGGCCAAAAAGCAATCGAAGTCGGGGCCATAAAAATAGCCTACTGAACAGTTTGCCGAATTGAAATATGCCAAAATCATTTCCCCCCTTTTTATAAGGCACCTGCCGGCATATGTGTGACTATTACATTCAATTCAAAAAAACAAAACATTTATAGCGTTAGTCAGTCTTTGTTGTTGTAGCTGCAGTTTGATATTCATTTTGCTAATCGCATTTCAATCAATTTCATTTCAATTGTCAATGGTTGGAGGGGTATGAGATGCACTAAAAAAAAATATAAAGCCCTTTCAAATGTTAAAAATGTATTTTTATTTATTAATACTTACAATTATTTTATAAGTGATTAAAGGGAAAAAATGTGCCCTTATTCCATATATTTTCTTCTGTGCTTTTAAGTAAAATCTTTTTCCTGTAAAACACTAAATATAATAACAGTCTTTAAAATAATTAAAATGTATATTATATAATGAGTTCTCTTACATTTTAGTTTCTATTTCTGAAAAATCAAGATTTTTTTGTTCATCACAATTTTTCATCAAAATTATTAACTAAGGTAACCACAAATTAAATATATTTCTTCCTGTACTTAAAAGTGGGCAGGGGGCGTGGCTGCTTCTGTTTGGAGCGACATTTGTCGTAGACACGCATGTCAACCGTATGCGTCATGTGAAATATTCAAATTTAGCTTTGTGTTTCGCATGTAACGCATAAATAATCCGAAACCCCCAAACAAAACTGAACATAGTTTTGTTCCGCGTCGCTCATACGCACAGTGGGTCGTCAAAGTCAAAGTCCAGACGCTGTGAGCTGCATTGGTAATTGAATCGCCGTGTGGCTTTGTTTATTGAACTAGCTGGCAAATATATTGTATCTTCAGCGTTCGTTCGTCTATGATTATTCATGGAATGCTCGCTGATTTATCCCTATCCCCTACATTTCGAAAATGATTTCATGCCGTGTGACGTCAGCTGCATCGTCTATATACGAGTAGTAGGCCCAGTCGATATGATCGGTCTATCAGGCGGCAGTCAGTCAGAAAAATTGACTGGAGGCCTTGGAGTTCGGTGCTCCATTAGACAAGCGACTCCGAGTCGCCCACGCACTTGATATTTACCAACAACAATGGCAGCTCTGGCGCCAAAATAAAGCAAGTTCAATTTGCAACTCCACTTTCGGGTCTTAAGATCTCGAGAGCAGTTGTTGGGGCTCATACCATACAGATACCATCGAGTGCCAGACACTTTTTGCAGTCGAGACAAATAATTACAACGACTTTGATTTTTTAATTAATTCGAGCCACAAGGCGAGCAAAAGATACAGATACAGATGGCCATAGATACGGCACCAGAAATCATATGCCGGACTTTTATTATCCGTGTGGGTTGGCGGGTTGTTGTTTTGTTTCTAGGTTTGTTTTTTGTTTTGTTGGCTTCTAATGGATTATGAATATGGTTGCATACCCTATTTGAGAGTATAACAATTTAGGGCAGGGGAATGGTTGTTCAAGTAATCCAAAACAATCTCGCAATCAAAGATAATTTATGGGGTTAGATATTCTAAGCTGCGTTTGTTTTAAAGCTTACATGTTTTATATTATTAATAGAGAGTTAACCATAAGAACAATCACTAATAAGTAAATATATAAATTTTTACAAAGTTGCCTACTCTTAAATTTCAAAGTTATTGCCATTAAGTAAACGTTTCAAAGTGTGTTAATTAGGTGGGTAACCCCGAACTGAATCATTGATATAGGGAACGGAATCTAGACCCCCTTCTCTTCCGCTTTTAATTAGATAATGCCTCTCCCTCCAGCGAAGGGTATCGAAAGCTTTGCACTTGGCCTTTCTCCCTTGACTATCAAATATTTACGCTTCCAGCAAAATTCGCTGACTCAAATTGCGAATTGCCTGGAGATTTTTTTTGTATTATTAGATGTGTTTATTTGTCTCGATAAAAATTGCTCGCATATTGCTTGGGGTATTTTAATCATTTTTTAACTGATCGGAAACTGTCGAGACGTGAAGTTATCTAACTCCACTTCGATTTGAACCCGCTTCGCACTTCAAGATCCAACATGCCAAGGCCGCTCGCAAACCCTTTCGAAAATGAGCGGCTTTAGCACCTGAAGTATTTATCACTCATTTTGGCCTAGAGATGCACTGCACCAGCGATGTGTGATCTTTAGACTCGACAATTAGATGCAATTACTATTTTTCTATGCTATAGGATAGTTCGATTTTGGCGCGTGACAATTGCGGGTGGGCCTTAAAGCCGAGAAATCGGCTTACTCGCCCCGTAAAGTAGATTAAATGTGGCCCAAGCAGAACTGACAAAAAAAAAAGACTACACGAACCCAGAGCCGAGGCTTTGGCGCTCGCTTTTGAACCGAAGCGGTTTCGAATTTGAAGTTTTTAAACCGTCAACTAAGCGCGCTGCGAATTTAGTGGCAAACGAGCCAGCCAGTCGACCAGACACACGAGCGCGAGTTTGAAAAACCTGGCCCAAACTGAAATTCAAGCCGCAAAATTATAAGCGATCGCATATTGCAACGAGCGTGGGCTGCAATCGGAAGTGTTAAAAAAGAAAAAAATATTCACAAAACCCCAGCAGCTGGAGCTGGAACTAATTGAAAGCCTCGCTAGGCTAATTGCGAATAATGAAGATTGCCAAAATTGGCAACCCCTAAGAGAGATATAATTTGGAAAATCTTGTGCGTGTGTACAGAGCCGTGAAAAGCCAACGGCAAATAAATTGCAAATTAAATCGGAAAAATATTGAAAGGCACCGTAGGATCACCATGAAATCGTGGCTGGTAAGTTACACAGCTTTTTAATCAGCGATAAGTTGTATACAAGACAAGAGTGAATTTGGGGGAATGAAAATCGGCATACAGCAGTGCTTGACAAACGTTAAAAAAATAAGTGCGACAAAGGTGGTTAACTTTCATCCACATTGACGTCAAAGGTTCGGTTCTTGTTCTTCAGGAGATAGGTGGCCAGGTAGCTGACCGGATCATCTGGACGATCGCGGGCTAGAGCCTGCAGTCCATGGAGCAGGATGGGGGCCACGGTCTGGTCGAGGTACTGGCGCACCGGCAGGGAATTGGCATCCGGACGCGGCTTCTGGCAGGCGGCAAATGCATTGGGCTCCCCCATCGATTGCTGCGAGGTGGACTCATTCTTGGCCAGATCTCCGTTGCCCTGGAAGCTTCCATCCCCATGAGACATAGGCATGGTTGGGCTGTGGAAAATAGTTTTTAGTTTTGCAGTTTTTATATTTTTAAAATTTTAGATGAAGAATTTTGACAAAAATGTAAGATTGAAAAATAATCAGGTTGTCTAAATTTCCGACTTAATAATTCAAGTCAATTTGCTTTTTTTTTGAATTAAGTAAGACTTACCTTGTGAATTTAGGAAATATATTTATAAAAATTTTCTTATTTAGTTTATTATTCGAACTTAGATCTACGCGCTTTGAATGTTGCTAGTAGAATGAATGTGTCTACCCGATTTTTTACACAAGTTCTGAAATCAAAGGCTTGGCCTACTAAGTAAAAGGTAGCACAAGTCAAATAGTTCTCATTTTCAAATACTTCATTACACATCAATGTTCAGAGAGTAACTCTCTGCACTATATAAAATATAACGAGTAAGTATTACATTTGGAAACTTATTGAGATTGTTTAAATAATTTATGAACTTTTATTAATTTTGTAGTTTAATTTGAAAATTATTATAAGATTAAAAAATGATTTATAATTTTTAAATTTTTAGAACTCTTACAACTTCTGTGTAAATAGTTAATTTTTTCAATGCATCTATAAGGGAAAGACGATTTTATTTTTTTTAATGCATCTATAAAAGAAAGACTATTCTCTTGACAAAAAATGCTGTTCTAGGAATTCAAAGAATACGGTTTATTGTTGTCCCCACTTTATTCTGTATTGAATGTTTTCGATGATGTCACCCAGAGTTTTCCCATCGCATTTTAGCCGGCTCTCGGTTTGAATTTCAATCACCCTTAGTCGGGTCGTAAATCCATCCATACTCCCATAGATAAACGACCGACCTCGACCCAAAATTTATGTGAAGCGGACAAGATTTAAGAGCATCGTTCGGTTTGTTTAACGGGTTGGCCAAAGTCGGGGAATTATCCACGGCAATTATCTCCTAAGTGGCTACCAAGTAACCCGCAACTAATTAAGCAGTCGGTGGCAGATGGAACCCAAGTGCAATGCCCATAAATTGACCCACCTGCAAACTTGTCGCTAAATTTGATTTCAAAACGAGCCAGCTGGTTATGGGGTAACCCTTGATCAACGGGGTTCCATAATCCCCACACTTTGGTGGCCATACAAACGTGTTCTAAGAGTCGTAAAATCAGTGTAGAATCGCCTGCTAAATTGTTTGCTTATGTTTGGCAACACTTCTCTTAATTGCCCCCTGTAAATCACACACCCCCCCGCCATCTCCCTCGCACCTTCCCTAATAGATCTGTCGCTGTGTTTATACGAAATTTATTGAATAATTCATGGGAAGTGATTAACACATATTTCGCTGCGAGAAACGAGAAACCTGTAGTTTTTGACCCATATTTGAGATAATTTTGCCAGAAATTTGAATACGAATAGAAGCGGTCAGCAGGCAAATACAGAAGGGGGGAAAACTTTAGGGGGGGGTAACGCTATATGCCCTAACTGTTTTCGGAGGCCTCAATCATTCGGTTTCGACAAAAATCGTGCATTACATGGAGGCTTCCCCCAGATATTGATCAGCGAAGAGAAGCTAGAGAGATGGAGAGTCCGCCAAAGGTCACTGGCATCTTGGACGCAATGATGACCAATGATGATGATGATGATCATGACGCAGATGATTATGGGCTATTCAGATACTCCAAACTTCAACTCACCGGTGTATCTTTTTGTAACTTTTTGCATTTTTCAAGTGGGCAGCAGCACGTGGGCCTAACACTTGGTTAGTTTTGAAGGCAACTACGGAAAGGGCCAACAAATCAAAACAAAACAGCGAAGGAGAAAAACCCAACTGCAGCCCACAATTGGGCCAATCTCTAGAGAAAAACGAGAGGGGGGAGGGAAGAGGGAAAGAGTGCCAGCTAAGTATATGCAAATCAGTTTGCCCGGCATCAAAAAACCAAAACAGAAAACAAAGACCCCAAAAAACATAGCATTTGTCGTACTATTTTGGAATCGAAGATAGCAATACCCAATACAAATATTTAAATATAAATTCTACAAATAGAATGTCATGAATTAGTTAATATACAAATATTAATCCAACCAAAACAAAGTCAGCTTGACCTACTATAATTATAATAATTAATTTTCGGATAACTCAACAATTTGTAAAATTTAGAATATAAGTTCACACAGCGTATCATAACGCAAACAATAACAAATCACACTTTCATATTTTAAATAAGTTTTCTTTACTGCCTACAATAAATAAATAGTTCAGTGGAATTAGTTGTTTAAGTACATAAACAAAATTAAAAAAAAACCTGGGTAATAAAATGTATAATTAAATAATAAATATACATATTTTAAAGGCCCCCGTTTCTCTTTCCCTTTTGTTACAAATTCTTGCATAAATATATCACCCCCGATTCCAGGGCACTCAAAGAAACCAAAAACAGAGCAGGGCGAAATTAGCGCAACTGAATTAATTAGCGCAGTGGAATCACTTGCCACATTTTACTTTTATTATTTATGCGACCTTGAGGGAGATAGCCAGTTCCAAAAAAAGAGAGATAGCGAAAGAAACGATCCATGGCAGAGTGACAGAAATAAATTCAAATTGTCTTTGCCATTTTGCCTCGCACTTTTCTTCACCTTCGCTTTGGGCCAAAAAAAAAAAAAATAACCAGACTCCGAGACAGATTAGTTGCCCTACGATAATTATGCAAGACTCTCCTAGATGGATTGATATATGGGCGGCCGATTTCTGTTTCTCATGTTTTTCATTTCACAATTACCCATTATTAAATATCATTTCAAATGGATCCCGCCCCTGCCGGCGGCTAATTCGCATTTTGTTTTTCTGCATTTCACGCATAAATTATTTGGCCATAAACTGTTTTTGGCCACAGACCGATCGATGATGCTGCAACTTTTTTTCGGCCACATTCCGAGATATCTTTCTATCCCACAGGCTGACCCAATTCCTTTTGTTGCTCCCGAGGAGGTGGCTAATTTACCTGACCACTCTACAATATTCTATGACTATGTTTCACACGCCACACAATTTTGCACTGTTTTTTTTTTTAATGGCCTTCTTAACAAATTAGACACAGCTGCTGTTTTGCAGTCGAATGGGAAGCGGATCCAAATGCGGTCACTGCCATAAGTGGCGGGTCACCTCACGAGTGAGTGATGTGGGAAGATGTTCTGGGTGAGACTCAGTGGCAATTAAGCCATTGGGTCACCCATGAGAGTGCAGCTAGTAAATACTGAGAATTAAGTAGGTACTTATGAAAGATGAAACATATAATTAGGATACATTTTAGTTGTATTTTTCTTGAGAATTTAGTAGGTACTACTGAAAGATGAAACATATAATTAATAACAAATCAGTTTTTATAGTTACTATTGCTACATAGTTATTTTTTTCAAGCAATGATTATTATAGTATTTTTTAACATTTAAATTTTAATGCATGAAGTTTTTTAACTGCAAATTTTCACTTTAAACATTTAAATTTTAATGCAAGATGTTTTTTAACTGCAAATTTCCCCTTTAAATAATTGCCAGCTACCATTAGGATTGCTTAATTCATTTTTGAGTGTTGTCTCGCAATCCTGTACCTCTAAATTCCATTTCCTTGTCACACTTCTGTCTGCAACGCCCCGAATTTTAGACTGCGCATAAAGCTAACTGGTAACTGGTAACTGGTATCTGACAGTCTGCAGTTGTTAGAGTGCAAACGAGGCAACCACGCTTGCAATCAGAGACACTTTTGCCCACACAAGAACTGACGGCGAGCGAGGAACAATGTCGCCAGTTTATCGGGGAGAATAAGAAATATATGCATAGATATCCAACGAATAGTATAAGTGAGTCCCACGCATGGGACGCCTGTTGAATGCCAGATGAGGGAGCTGCAGCGGGGCAGAGATGCTAATCAATCCGCTTGGCATCGAAAGTATGCCAAAGTCAGCCGGCTGGCCTGGCCCTTTTTCACATTTTCCCAACCCAGTGGCAATGGAAATCACACACGGCGAAAAATGTTTAGCAAATTTGTTATTTTTGATTAAAATATGTACATAAATGAAGAGATGAAATACGAACCATGAATGTATTCCGTTCATATAATAATTACAAAGTTTTCTGTCGTTAGTTATTTTTAACTAAACTTTAGAAAGGAATTAAAATTCCATATAAACGGATTGCAATTCTTTTTTAAAAGCTACGAAAATCTGTAAACGTTTAGAATTAAAACATTAATAAATAATCAGAAAGTTTTAAAAAAATTAAAAACGGTCTTATCTTCAGAAGTTTTAAAAATGAATTCTCACTGAAGAAAATTCTAAAAGCAACTAAAGCCTAGTTTGAATGGTAGTATTTAATTTGCATGAAGTACATACTTTACAAAGCCTGTTGAAAAACAAGGAGTCAACTAAAACCTTAGAGACCTTTTTTCAAGTGCATCAGTTCGAAAGTAAAACACAACAATTATCACACATAGCTGGCATTTTTGCATATAACGCTGACACAGATGGCGCCCGAGCATGGGGGCATGCCTCTGCCAAAAAATGCGGCTTTTCCCACAGCGCTTAGCTTTCCGCCGGAGTTCATTTACACGCAGCGCGCAGACAAAAGCCAAATTCAGCGCCGGCAATTACTATGATTAATTTCGCTTGATATGTGCATCGGGCTCTGGACTCTCGGCTTTTCAGCGGCCCAGCTCAGGCGCAATTATGAAATACGCCTAAGCATTTTTGGGGGGCTGCGAAGAAGAAGAAGAAGCCGGCAGAGGTGGTTGGTTGCATGCCCGCACGCTGACAATGAAAATTAGGGGGCGGGGGAAGGGGGTAAAACAACACTTTATACAACACGAAATTAAAACACGAGCGAGCAATGAACAACTGCGCCTGCATTGGCCCATGTCGAAGTCGAAGAAGTCGGATCGAAGTCGCAGCTGAGCTGAAATTTAATGCGCTAGCAATGTGCTCGTGCAGCTTTCACTCTCTTTTGGGGCCGAATGTCAGCCGGGCTTTACGATTCGATTCGCTTGGTTTTTGGCCACCGTTTCTGGGGCGTAGATTGGTCAGGTCGGTCGGTCGGCCCATCGCTGACAAATTGGAGCAGCCAAAGCAGCAGCAGCTCCCACAGCTGCCAGATGTCGACTAGTAACTACCAACTGCCAAGTGCCAAGTGCAGTGCCAAATTGCGGAAACAATTTTGGCGACGAAGCGCGAAGCGCACAAAAATCAACGCAAAAAACAAAAGACTTAAGACACGAACTGGCGGAGATGGCTAGATGAATCACACGCTGGCGG